CTGGCAACCCCAAAACTAGTTGTTTGAGTAACAAGGAGAGAAATAGCAGTGGCAGAGAAGAGAGCCCCTACAACCCTTTAAATGTCAGTTACACAGCTCTTACAACTGAGGCTTGCTAATATATGCAGATAAAATTCATAATCAATGAGAGAATACAAAGAGGTGCTTTTTTAATTTTTTAAAAGCAAACAAACAAACCGTCGCTTCCATCCTTCACCCATCTCATTAGTTTTATTTTGAAAATTAAATGGAAGCCTGTGTACCCTTCAAAGCAACTTTGCAGAGAACAAAGAATAAAAGGAATAAGCATCAAGAAAACAAAATTGGATTTTGGCAATTAAAAAACATGAGCCTGCTGAATTCATAACCTTTTGCTAAAGACAGGACAGATGCCAATTCAGGCAGTCAATTATTTCCATCGTTTCCATTAGTGGTTTTCTATTGATTAGGCTAGCCTATCGTTGGGCAGAAATATAACTAGATTTATTCATTTTTAATTGCTTGTACCTTTTTCTATAAACATAGTTAATGGGGGGTTTTTTAGTGCTAAAGATCAGCCATTGTTAAGATAATACGAGTATTTATAAGACATATTCATATTTCACGTGTTGAAATGCATTTAATATTTATAAAATAATGTTGAACTCCTCACTTCTAGCCATTAGATGACACATTTGTGTGTGTGTGTGTGTGTGTGTGTGTGTGTGTGTAAAAGTGTGTCCCAAAATCGATCCAGAGTCAATGCAAAGGAAATGGGAATTCGCTCATGACTACCGTATTTACTCGGATGTAATGCACACCTTTTTTTTGCCAAATTATGTCACAGAAATTAGGGTGCACATTAGATTTGATGGCGCATTAGATTCGATGGCAAGCTTGAAAAACACCACTGACATAGCAAATGCCTTTTTTGGTTTTGAGGTTTTGAAAACTGAGATGCGCATTAGATTCGACTTTGCGTTAGTTTCACATAAATACGTTATACTTTGGAATGAATCCACACACCTAATGGGGGAAGGCACAATTCTTTGTGGCAATTCCTGAATCTGCCTGAATACTTGCACAACAGAGAGAGAGAGAGAGAGAGAGAGAGAGAGAAATCCTGGAGTTCCATATATATTGCATGTCTTAGAAGTCTTAGAGTCATAGAACTGCAGAGCTGGAAGGAACCCCAGTCATAGCTGTCAACGTTTCCCTTTTTTTAAAGGGAAATTCTCTTATCCTGAATAGGATTCCTCACAAGAAAAGGGAAAAGTTGACAGCTATGACCCCAATGGTCATCTAGCCCACCCCCTTGCGATGCAAGCTTTGCACAACATGGAACTCGAATCCACAACCCTGAGATTAAGAGTTCCATGCTCTACTGACTGAGCTATCCTTGTTGAAGAGTCTAGCAGAGCGTATGCCATTTCTTTTACATAAATATTATGGGATCAGTATGGAGCTGGAGATACACAGAAGCTTTTGCCACAATAAGTTGGTAATAATAATAATAATCCTTTTATTGTCATTGTACAATCTGTGTCCAATGAAATTAAACGAGCCTCCCTCCCCCCCCAAAAAACACTCAATCTCTTATCGAACAACACACTATCTCACAAGTCAATTGTGCTGTGTTATTTTCCTTTCAACAGCCTAACAGCCCACGGATAGAAGCTACCGTATTTTTCGCTCCATAGGACGCACCTTTTCCCCTCCAAAAATGAAGGGGAAATGTGTGTGCGTCCTATGGAGCGAATGCAGGCTTTCGCTGAAGCCTGGAGAGCGAGAGGCATCGGTGCGCACCGACCCCTCTCGCTCTCCAGGCTTCAGGAAACTATCCGCAAGCCTTGCAAGCCCGGTGGGAGTTCCCGCGGGCTCACAAGGCTTGCAGGCAGCAGCCTGCAGCCCCGGCGAGTGTCCGCAAGCCTTGCGCGCCCGGCAGGAGGTCCCGCCGAGCGCGCGAGGCTTGGGGCAGCAGCCTGTCGCCCAAAGCACGGGGAGCCCTCCGGGGGGCTCCCCGTGCTTCGGGGGAGTGTCTGCAAGCCTTGCGCGCCCGGCAGGAGGTCCCACCGAGCACGCGAGGCTTCGGGCGGCAGCTTGTCGCCCGAAGCACGGGGAGCCCTCCGGAGGGCTCCCCCCTGCTTCGGGCGAGTGTCTGCAAGCCTTGCGCGCCCAGCAGGAGGTCCTGCCGAGCGCGCGAGGCTTGGGGCGGTAGCCTGCAGCCCGAAGCACGCGAGGCTTGGGGTGGCAGCTGCGGCGGGGGGGGAATAATTTTTTTTATTCATTTCCCCCCCAAAAAAACGAGGTGCGTCCTATGGGCCGGTGCGCCCTATAGAACGAAAAATACGGTATTTTTTAGACTGTTGGTACAGCTGATTATACTTCTATATCTCCTGCCCGAGGGTAGAAGATTAAAGAGGCGCTGGCCAGGTTGTGAGTCATCCCTGAGAATTTTTCTCGTTCTCCTAAGGCAACGATCCCTTGCGATGTCATCTAGCGGGCTCAGGGGACAGCGCATGATCTCATGTGCTGTGTTCACCACCCTCTGTCAAGACTTTCTGTCCATGGCTGTCAAGCCAACGTACCACACTGTGATACAATATGAGACGACACTTTCTATTGTGGACCAGTAGAAGGAGGTTATCAATTGTTGTTTAACATTGTTCTTTCGCAAGACCCTGAGGAAATGGAGTCTCTGTTGGGCCTTTCTAACCACCTGAGTTATGTTGATTTTCCAAGTGAGGTCCTCACTAAGATAAACTCCCAGGAATTTAAAGGAGGAGACTCTCCCCCCCCCCCCCCGGATATACAATGGGGCAGGTTCCCCTCTCTTCCTCCGGAAATCCAACACCATCTCCTTTGTCTTACTAATATTTAAAAGGTAAAGGGACCCCTGACCATTAGGTCCAGTTGTGACCGACTCTGGGGTTGCGGCGCTCATCTCGCTTTATTGGCCGAGGGAGCCGGCGTACAGCTTCCGGGTCATGTGGCTAGCATGACTAAGCCGCTTCTGGCGAACCAGAGCAGTGCACGGAAATGCCGTTTACCTTCCCGCCACAGCGGTACGTATTTATCTACTTGCACTTTGACATGCTTTCGAACTGCCGGCCTTCTGATCGGCAAGCCCTAGGCTTTGAGGTCTAACCCACAGCGCCACCCATGACCCTACTAATATTTAGGTGCAAGTTATTCTCTAAACATTGCTGCAATCTGCTCTGATTGTACATTTTATCTTTATGAATGCTGTTTTTAGTGTGTTACGCAAGCTGGTCTTTGACCTTAATAAATTATCTACCATTCTCTAAGCACCATTTAGATACTTTTTGAACCTGGTCAGCCTGTTAGGGTGCTCCTAGACTCATCGTTTGAGAAAAGGACATGAAGAGCAACACTCAGTCTTACGAGCCTCTTATGAGTCTCTTTCACACTTGCTAGGCAAACCGCTGATCATTGCAGCATGAAGCTAAGTTGGGCAATGTAGGAGCAGTGGTTGGAGCATCAGACTCTTAATGTCAGGTCGTGGATTGGGGAAAAGATTCCTGCATTGCAGCGGGTTGGACTAGATGACCCTCGAGGTCCCTTCCAAATCTCCTGCTTCTAGAAACCATCCTTCTCTAGCATTTACAGATTGTGATCAAGATGTAAACGATTACTGACCTCTAGTGGAAATGGGAGGCCTTTCAACTAATTTTTGTTTCACTCTGAGCACGGGAAGACCTTTTGAAAAACCATGTACTGTTAATTTTCTTTTATCTAGCAGAACGCCTATACAGTGGTACCTCGGGTTACAGATGCTTCAGGTTACAGACTCCGCTAACCCAGAAATAGTACCTTGGGTTAAGAACTTTGTTTCAGGATGAGAACAGAAATCGTGCGGCGGTGGCAGTGGGAGGTCCCATTAGCTAAAGTGGTACCTCAGGTTAAGAACAGTTTCAGGTTAAGAACGGACCTCCAGAACAAATTAACTTCTTAACCCGAGGTACCACTGTACTGTTTGGTTGTAGGAAAACCTCTAAGTAGCTTACAAATGTATATAATGCAACATTGAATTTCTCAGTTGGAAACAATTAAGAAAACATTCCAAAGAGGATTAACAGTAGCTGAAAAGAGAGAAAACCCATGTAACTTCTACATGTCTAGATAGGCTTGGACAAACGAAAAATCTTTCAAAAATAATACAACAAAGGCACCTGCTTAATGTCAGCAGGCAAGGAGCTTGAAAGTGCAGGTGCTGCCTCAATAAAAACCTGATTTCTTACAAGTATGGAATGAGTATTATGGGACACCTATAACCAGTGCTTTTTTTCTGGGGGTACGGTACGCAGGGGTATGCCATACCCCTAAACATTTTGTGAATCTTTGTACTTTTGTCCATTTACTGTATTTATTTTCCCTGATTTGAACTATAAAATGGTGGTTTCCTTGAGTCAAAATGAGAGTACCCCTAAACATTTTTTAAAAAAGAAAAAAAGCACTGCCTATAACGGAATATATATTTGAGAATATTTGCATTAACAATTTTTTAAGGAGAATGCACTACCGCTTACAACCAACTTAGGATCTAAGTTGTCAAGAGGAGTATGATGGATTACCTCATAGTGAGATTCATGTGAAACCATGCTTTTAAGAGAGCTAAACAACAACAACAACATCAACAACAATTTATTTATAGCCCACCCATCCGGCTGGATTGCCCAAGCCACTCTGGGCAGCTTCCAAACACATATTAAAACTCAATAAATCATCAAACAAACAAATAAAAACCTCCCAATACAGGGCTGCCTTCAGATGTCTTCTAAAAGTTGTGTAGTTGTTTATCTCCTTGAGATATGGGGGGGTGTTCCACAGTGCGGGCGCCAGTACCAAGAAGGCCTTTTGTCTGGATTCCTTCTAACAAAAGTTCTACACCTCAAGTTATCGAGCCCTAAGGGATCCAGGAGCCATTATTTATGGATCTCACCCAGTCAATCTAATCCTAAGTCGTCCGCCATTATGATGTCACGAAGCCATCTCACCGCAGAGTTCCTATTATGACATCACCTACTGGACGCCTGGCAGATAATCTCCACATACTTCAGAAGTGCATTGGAAAGACAGAATGGGTGCCACTTTGACGATGACTTATTAAAAGAGGTCCTCCCTTTGGTCGTGTGTGCAATTTTGGCGGGTGTCGGTTTTCAGTGTCCATGATACAGTGGGAAGAATCCAACAGATTTGTCTTGGAATACATCCAGTCGTCCCTTCTCAAGAATGAACGGGAAGCGGTCTGTGCGGAGAAGTTTGGAGCAACCAACACAAGGCTTTCAGGATAACCCAAATATTTCCAGTGGGCCAACGGGATCCGGTGGAACACAGTCAAACAGGTAGAGCAATATTGTGTGTATTTGTATCCTGGTAAAGTAACAGGATAGGGACGCGGGTGGCGCTGTGGGTTAAACCACAGAGCCTAGGACTTGCTGATCAGAAGGTTGGCGGTTCGAATCCCCGCAACGGGGTGAGCTCCCGTTGCTCGGTCCCAGCTCCTGCCAACCTAGCAGTTCAAAGCACGTCAAAGTGCAAGTAGATAAATAGGTACTGCTCCAGTGGGAAGGTAAACGGCATTTCTGAGCGCTGCTCTGGTTTCGCCAAAAGCAGCTTAGTCATGCCGGCCTCATGACCCGAAAGCTGTACACCGGCTCCCTCGGCCAATAAAGCGAGATGAGTGTCACAACCCCAGAGTCGGTCACGACTGGACCTAATGGTCAGGGGTCCTTTACCTTTAAAGTATCAGGATAAAAAACATGGGGGGAAAGGACACATAAGAGAACGCTTAGGTTTATAACTTTAATACTGCCAGAGGGTACCATCAGACACGGGTGGCGCTGTGGTCTAAACCACTGAGCCTCTTGGGCTTGCAGATCGGGAGGTTGGCAGTTCGAATCCCCGCGACGGGGTGAGCTCCCATTGCTCTGTCCCAGCTCCTGCCAAGCTAGCAGTTCGAAAGCACACCAGTGAAAGTAGATAAATAGGTACCACAGTGTCGGGAAGGTAAACTGAAGTGAAGGCCCAAGACAGTTGTTGATCATTATGTGAGCTGCGCACAGGTGGGCTGCAGCAAGCGAGCGAGCTACCACCATTCCTGTGGAGCCTCCTTTTATTGAGACAAATATGCAAGCTAGGCAGATACATTTTGGGCTGTGACCTTTACACATCTTCCGTCCCGAAATCGTGGGGTGGTACAAAGCTATTTTGGCACCTGTTCCACAGCGTCATTTTCGCCTTGCACAGTGTATGACGTAGGAGACAAAAGGTCTCAGGGAAAAACTTACAGACAGGACACCGCTGACTCTGAGACCGCAAAAGGTCAGACATGGGTGGAACGATGTACAGACAGCTGTGGCTTGTCTGGGGGGGGGGGTTCCCTGCACCCCAAGGTCACGCATGCAGGCAGACATGGCTGCCTGCCGGTGGGAAAGTGTGCTCCCTCCGGACCCCACTCCCCACTCCGCAATATCCCTACATAAATGGTGTTTCCGTGCGTTCTGGTTTCCTTCGCAGTGTCCTGTTGCACTAGAAGCAGTTTAGTCATGCTGGCCACATAACCCGGAAAGCTGTCTGTGGACAAACACCGGCTCCCTTGGCCTGTAAGCAAGACGAGCGCCACAACCCCATAGTCGCCTTTGACTGGACTTAACTGTCCAGGGGTCCTTTACCTCATTTACCTTTACCTTTTACCTCAGACTATCAGTATTTTGCAGGTGAGGTTCAAGTGCATACCATGGCATTTCGGTGTGTGCAATTCAAGTAAATTAAAGTGCTCTGTTACTGTACCTCAACAAATTCCCTTGTGTGAGACATGCCACATATTTAACACTTTGAGCTCATGTGAGATATTTCATGTTCCTGCCGATAATATGCATATATTTTTTTGTTTGGAGTCACAGTGATTTCTCTAAGGCTCCAATTAGGGTGTCTGGATGTAACAGCAAACAGAGCTCCTACACCTATAATGAACTAATTAATGAATTACATTTCTATCCCACCTTTCCCCCCAAAGAGCTCAAAGTGGCCCCTGTGGTTTCTCTTGCCCGCTTTCTCCTCACGACAATCCTGTGAAGTAAAGTTATGTTTCCTTTTCCACAAGGGAAGCTCCACAAAGCGTTTCCCAAATGGGATGTTGACTTTTTGCAAGTTATTACAGTTGCGTGTCGAGGTCCCTAAGACACCCCCAAAGAAAAACACAATTGACACTTAATTTTTGTTTAAGGTTTTTGGCATAATTTTGGCCACAACTTTATTCAAATTACAGCAATGTGAGTGGTTGCTTAGACATTGGTAGCACTAACTGACCCCGCACAGGGACAGCTCTGACATTCGCACCCCCCACGAAGTCAGAAAGGGTAAGTCACCTGGGGAGAGAGACGGGACTGGGAACCATGCCTCACCTCTCCCCAGAATGCTCCCAGGGGCTTACATGGCCCTAGCCCCTTGCCAGGGGGTTTCAGACAAAAGCATGGGGAGCCCCTGGGTTCCTTTAACGGAAAATCCTTGCAGCAGCAGCATTTTGGAGGGGCAGGCACAGCCAAATCCATACCCCTCCACCAACCAATTCCCAGACCAATGCCTAACCGCAACCTTACAAGTTGTGACGATTTGCTACGCAGTAGGCAAAAACCAAGTGGCACACACTAATCAGCCAATAGGACAAAATTCCTACCAGGCCCCTGCCCCAAAGCAGACGACCCCATGACAGGCATAGCAAGGTCAAGCAAACAGCCTAAAATTAGGGAAAGGAGGGCGGGTGATCCGAAGTAAGCAGCGAAAAGAGGAAGTTTCTCGCTGCGAGCATTGTATTTAACAAATAGGGCTGTCAATCAACAAATGGCAACATCTAGATTTCCCCAGTAACAGCGCGCCCCTGCTTAAAGGATGGCCAAACCATTTGCCTAGCAACAGTAAGGGGTCTTGTCAGCCCCAACCGCAACTCGTGCTCTCCATGAGGGAGAACACGCTATATCAAACTAGATTGCGAATTTCTTCACGAAGGATGCCAGTGTGGCTTTCCCATCCAATATACCTTTATTTACTGTACATTCACTATGGGCATTGCAGGCGGGATTCAACTAAGTTGTTGTGTGTGTGCTATGAGCTCCATTCACGCAATGGGACTTGCCCCTGCAACCCTTCAGTCTGTTCTGACTGCAGCAACCCAGTCAGATGGACGGGGTACAAATAATAAAATAATAATAATTGAAGGAAACCTCCAAACAGGTTTAGGGGACACACAAAGGGGGGAGTTTTATTGCACAAGTGGAGCTTGTTCCCCACTTTGTGCTTTGCTGTTGAAATATACTCGGAGTCAAGTGTGGATTTCATGCTCTTTATTCAGTTCATAGTAGTGAGGAGGAATGGAAGTTCCCCCGAAATGTCTGCTTTATATACATTCTTTACACAATGGGCCCCACGTGATTGGCTAATTCAGGGATTCTCCTGTAGGCCAATCAGGTTGCAGATTCACTTCCACCTGGAGTTGGATTGGGTGGCTCCTGCGGACCAATCAGACTGCTGCATTCTGGATCCTATTGTTCTAGGACCAATCAGACTGCTGCAATTTGGATCCTATTCAACTCAGTACATAACAGCTGTATTCTACTTCTGGTATGCAACACTGACTGCTGCAGAGAGAAGACGAGATCCATATCTGGGGAGTTTATCTAATATGGCATCTGTCAAACTTTTCAGTGGCTGTGCAGCTGCCAAGACCGGGTTTTTGTTTTGTTTTGTTTTGTTTTGTTTTTTGTTTTGTTCTAGTCTATTAATTAGGATAAGAGCATGGGTTACATACACATGGCATTTTCTGTATCTTGCAGAATCTTCTTAAGACAAACCTTCCCCACACCACTTCTGTCGCAATGTGCAATGCCAGTTTCCATGTGATTTTTTCTTTACTCCCATGTGCCCTGTTCCTGGCTACAGTTAAATCATCATCATAATTTTATTATTTATACCCCGCCCATCTGGCTGGGTTGCCCCAGCCACAATGGGCCACTTCCAACACATATAAAAACATCAACAAACATCAAACATTAAAAAACCTCCCAGTACAGGTGTCTTCTAAAAGTTGTATAGTTATTTAACTGTTTAACATCTGATGTGAGGGCACCACTGCTGAGAAGGCCCTCTGCCTGGTTCCCTGTAACTTCGCCTCGCAATGAGGGAACCCCCCAGAAGGTCTTCGGAGCTGGACCTCAGAGTCCGGGCTGAATGATGGAGGTGGAGATGCTCCTTCAGGTATACTGGGCCGAGGCCATTTAGGGCTTTGAAGGTCAGCACCAACACTTTGAATGGTGCTCGGAAATGTACCGGGAGCCAGTGTAGATCCTTTAGGACCAGCATGAACAGTTATCTGTATGGATGAAATCCATCTGTTTTTGAAGACAATGGAGGAGGACACCTTTGGGGGTGAAGTCAAACATCTGGAAGGTTACAGTGGCTGCTGTAGTTGTAGAAATACTGGAGAGACATGTTTTGTTGCAGCTGGAGCAGATGAAGGCATCCGGTTGTGCTGTTGCAGATGCACAACAGGTTTTCTTCTCTCTGAGCTCCTTCCCAGCATTCATTTCTCCTCTGGTCACACACAAGATTCCTGGTGTCTACAAACAGTGTGCCACACAACAACCAAAGAATTTGTAGGACATCTTTCCTTTTTTCCCCTGACAGAAGCATGTCCATGAAGGAATCTTAAACACAAATGGTTTTGAAGAACGCTCAGATAATTTACAACATTTCTTCTTTCAGCTGGTACTTACGCAATTCCACAGGGAAATGCCCCAGAAACTCTACTACCTCAAGTGGTCAAACAACTTCAACAGCCGATGAGGGAGTAGAAACAGGGGGTAAGTTCCAAAAGGCGTGCATTTATATGTTTTTATTTGGGGGAAATTGCATACCATCAACATTAAGAAATAACACCAGAATGCAGCATAAAATCAACAAGAAAATTGCATTTCTAAGATGAATGTATAACATATCAGTACAGTGGTACCTCAGGTTAAGTACTTAATTTGTTCTGGAGGTCCGTTTTTAACCTGAAACTGTTCTTAACCTGAAGCAACACTAATGGGGCCTCCTGCTGCTGCCGCGCCGCCGGAGCCCGATTTCTGTTCTTATCCTGAAGCAAAGTTCTTAACTTGAAGCACTATTTCTGGGTTAGCAGAGTGTGTAACCTGAAGCATATGTAATCTGAAGCGTATGTAACCCGAGGTACCACTGTAGATCTTATTAGTACATCAGCATAGTTGGGTCTCCCCTTAGGGAAAGTCTAGGTAAACAGAGGCGTTTTAAGCAAGTACCTAAATGCCAGTACTGTAGGTGCCTGCCTGATGTTCGTAGGGAGAACATCCCAAAGTGCAGGTGCCACCACACTAAAGGCCCTGGCCTTAGTGGACATAAGACAAACCTCAGGAGTCTACAGCATGGCTAAGAGTGTCATTCCTGAGGATCAAAGTGCACAGGCAGAAGTATGCAAGATAATGTGGTCTTGAAGGTAACCTCGTCTGGTTTTGGGCTTTATATAACAGCAGCGTTATTGCAATACCTTCAATGTGGCATGGTAATAATAATAATAATAATAATAATAATAATAATAATAATATATTATTATTATTATTTATACTCCGCCCATCTGGCTGGGTTTCCCCAGCCACTCTGGGCGGCTTCCAACAAAGATTCAAAACACATTAAAATGTCACACAATAAAAACTTACCTGAACAGGGCTGCCTTCAGATGTCTTCTGAATGTCAGGTAGTTGTTTATCTCTTTGACATCTGATGGGAGGGCATTCCACAAAGCGGCTGCCACTACCGAGAAGGCCCTCTGCCTGGTTCCCTGTAGCTTTGCTTCTCACAGTGAGGGAACCGCCAGAAGGCCCTCGGCGCTGGACCTCAGCGTCCGGGCAGAACGATGGGAGTGGAGATTCTCCTTCAGGTATACCGGGCCGAGGCCATTTAGGGTTTTAAAGGTCAACACCAACACTCTGAATTGTGCTCGGAAACGTACTGGGAGCCAATGTAGGTCTTTCAAGACCGGTGTTATGTGGTCTTGGCATATGGGCAGCCAGTTAAAGTCTTTAGAGTGTTGTTTATGCTGTACTTTTGTACTGTTTTATTGTTGTTAGCCGCCTGAGCCCGGCTTCGGCTGGGGAGGGGGGGATATAAATAAAAATTTATTATTATTATTATTATTATTATTATTATTATTATTATTTCAGTACAGTTAATATGGGCTTTTGATAGACCACTCCATTCAATAGCCTTGTTGCCACTTCCTGCTCAAGCTGCAGCTTCTGGAACAACTGTCAGGGAAGCTCCACCCAGAGTGCATTGCAGTAAACCAATTGGAAGGTCACCAATCCCTAGACCACCATAGCTAAGCTATCTTGATCCATTCCGCTTGTCTTCTTCTTCCATCATCTTTCAGAGTGAACAAGGCCATTCAGTCTTGAAACCAGATCCGAACCCAGACTGGAATGAGTCTGAATAATCAGTATATTTCAGGAATGTCTGCAGTTGCTCCACTGCCACTGTCTCCATCACTCCCCCCACCCAAAAAAGCCCAGGGTATTTGCAACTGGTTGATAGCTATCACAAAGCATTGGTTTCGGGTAGAGCTTCTTTAAGATTGGCAGTACTGTCTTCACTGTAAGGTTAATCAGTTGTGTTGTGAGCAGTGGCTGGAGATAAAATGTTGTCTGAGACCCTCTACACAACTTGATTAAATCTACTCTTCAAAGATTTATGGGACACGTTGAGCTGAGCTTGCGCGTTGAACCGTTCTCAAGTCTAGCTCAACATGTGCAAATCTCCGGAAAGACTTAACTTTGGTTAATTTCAGTACACACTCAGTCAGTTAGACACTGAGTTATATTGCCTACCCAACAACAATTGTTTGAAGCAATCACAAAAAGAGCACAATCAAACAGCAAGATTCTAGGCTGCATCAATAGAAGTCTAGTGTCCAGATCAACACCTTGGTCAGACCACACCTGGAATACTGTGTCCAGTTATGGGCACTGCAATTTAAGAAGGTTGTTGACAAGCTGGAAGGTGTGCAGAGGAGGGCAACCAAGATGATCAAGGGTCTAGAAACCAAGCGCTATGATGAACAGTTGAAGGAGCTGGGTATGTTTAGTCTGGAAAAGAGGAGAGTGAGAGGAGATATGACAGCCATCTTCAAATATCTCAAGGGCTGTCACATGGAAGAGGGGGAAAGGCTTGTTTTCTCCTGCTTTGGAGGGTAGGACAAGAAACAAAAACTTCAAGTTACCAGAAAGGAGATTCTCACTAAACATCAGGAAGAACTATCTGACAGTAAGAGCTGTTTGACAGTGGAACAGATTCCCTTGGGAGGTCCTTGGAGGTCCTTTTTAAGCAGAGGTTGGATGGTCATCTGTCATGGATGCTTTAGCTGAGATTCCTACACCCTTGAGGTCCCTTCCAACTCTACAATTCTATGATTCAAAGCTTCCAAGAAACCAATGGGAGCAGAAGAAACAACTGGTCCATTTTCCAGATGATGCACGTTTCAATTTTAGATGGAAACACTGAATCCTAGGTGTCACTGATGTCTAGCTAATGAGAGGATGTTCTTTTGGCAGGAGAGTCATCCAACAGAGGACAGATGAGGTTCACCAGAGAAGTTATTGGGAGGGAAAATAGCTGTGGCACCTTATCATCTGACTCGTCTTGCGTATCTCAGAAGAGTCTGCTAAGTATGTATCCAGTTGCATTTGCTTGACACTAAATGTGGGACTTCCCATACTTGCGTAACAAATCTCTTCCAGACTTTTGCTTCTGTGCTGTCAAGAGAGATGTTTTAGTTGTATGCTATTTGTTACTTGTGTCGAAAATGGCAATGAAATATTCGGAAATAATGTTAACTTCCTTTACAGGTTTTTGTAAGACTTACAGCTGGGATGAATGCATGTGTAAGGGTATCAGGGGGTTGCTCGAGAGCAATCAGGCAAATGCCTCCCTGGTCGGCTGTAAAGCCTTGTTATTGGTGCCAAAAAAACCTTCACCATGCAGACCACCACTATTCTGTGGCTGACTCATTCACTGGCAGAATCTGAGAGTGGGCGGTCCTTAAACCTTCCCCAGCAGAGTAGTTTCTTGATGCCCAGCCTGCGCCTCCCCTCTCGGCGTGGAAGCCTACTGCGCAAGGAGGGCATGGGTAACGGGGGACCTCCCTCCTCCCCGCTTTGCTCAGGCAAGGTGTCCTGGCACCGCCACGCAGGCCCCCCCCCCAGCCCTGCAGCTCCTCTCCACTGGAGGCGTGGTTACTCACCTCCGCTGAGGAGGTGCTGCTTCCCACGATCTTTGAGGGCTCTCTGTAATCCATCCGGCTTTTCCCCTCTCGCCCCTGAGCCGATGACAGTTCCCTGACAGCATGTGAAGAGCTTTGCATACTAGAAAGTACTATACCAATGTTTAATACTCTCTGCATTACAGTGGTACCTCAGGTTAAGTACCTAATTCATTCCGGAGGTCCGTACTTAACCTGAAACTGTTCTTAACCTAAAGCACCACTTTAGCTAATGGGGCCTCCTGCTGCTGCTGCTGCGCCGCTGGAGCATGATTTCTGTTCTCATCCTGAAGCAAAGTTCTTAACCCGAGGTAATATTTCTGGGTTACTGGAGTCTGTAACCTGAAGCGTACATAACCTGAGGTACCACTGTATTATGGTTACTGCAAACTGGCCAAAAGTTGCATTTTCAAATGAGAGAATGAGCCCAGATTCTGCCCACTCTTCATAGGTAATCAGACAACCAAAGAAAAAGCAATTCCTTAAATGCTTTGTGATTTTCCCCTCTACCCTGCAGGAGCGATATGTACCATTCCCAGCAGCATAATAGTTACTGTTATCTGCCTCCCAGAATTCCTCTGTAAAGCCTGTATCTGTTTAAGGTAAGCATCAGTGCTCCGCTTTTCTTTCCCCCCTTTTAAAATAAGATTTTATTAAAAACCTTTTCATAATACAGTAAGTTATTCATGCTTAAGAGCATTTTGGAAGCCTGGTCTGGAACAAGAAATGGTTCTGGCATAAATCGTACAAACTTCACTCAGTCAATGTTGTTGTTGTTGTTTCATTATCTTCCGCAAGTCTCAAGGTTGTGGACAAGATAAAATCAGCTTAGAAGCAATCAAAAAGACAGAAAGGAACAGCAACCAAATATTAAAATATTATAAAGTAAACACCCATGGCAGAGACAGCAGGTAAAGCTGGTCAGAACAAAAACAAATGGATTCCTTTTCCCCAAGGAGAGTGCAGAGAATGGCTGCCTGTTGCTAATACTGAGTGAGAATCTTCATTGTTGTAGCTCTAAAGCAGGGGTCAGCAAACCTTTTCAGCAGGGGGCCAGTCCACTGTCCCTCAGACCTTGTGGGGGGCCGAAAATTATAATGAATTAATTCCTATGCCCCACAAATAACCCAGAGATGCATTTTAAATAAAAGCACACATTCTACTCATGTAAAAACACGCTGATTCCCAGACCGTCCATGGGCCAGATTGAGAAGGCGATTGGGCTAGATCCGGCCCCCTGGCCTTAGTTTGCCTACCCATGCTCTAAAGAAAGGTTGCCATAAATCTGGAATTTCCTGGAGGACCTGTCCAGGATTTAACTGTTGAAAATAAGAGTCCAGGGGGAGTTTTGGGAAATTGGCAAATGTCCAGGATTTTGAGGTTGATTGCCTAAAGAAAGTTCATCAACTTTTGTCTCCCAAATTTTACTTCTGGCAATCCTATCTAAAGGTTGTATCCAATGCTAGCCCTGCTCAGAGGAGACTCGTTGAAATGCATGGTCATAACTAACTAAGGTCCATTCTTTCAATAAAGGCAAAGGTAAAGGGACTCCTGACCATTAGGTCCAGCCATGGCCGACTGGGGTTGCGGCGCTCATCTCGCTTTATTGGCCGAGGGAGCCGGCGTACAGCTTCCGGGTCATGTGGCCAGCATGACTAAGCCGCTTCTGGCGAACCAGAGCAGTGCACGGAAACGCCGTTTACCTTCCCGCCGGAGCGGTACCTATTTATCTACTTGCACTTTCATGTGCTTTCGAACTGCTAGGTTGGCAGGAGCAGGGACCGAGCAACGGGAGCTCACCCTGTCGTAGGGGTTCGAACTGCCGACCTTCTGATTGGCAAGTCCTAGGCTCTGTGGTTTAACCCACAGCACCACCCATGTCCCATTCTTTCAATAGGTCTCATCTAAAAACTAAGTTGGATACAAGCCAGAGTCTCTTCGTTCCTCCTTCTGTGGAAGATCTTGTTGTACATAACACAACAGGATGTGACATCATTGCACTGTGCACTTTCTTCATCTTACCTACCTGGCAGTGGGGGGGGGGACACAAGGTGTGATGATGTCACATCAAGCATTGTCTTATACTAGACAGTATTAGGAAGAGAAACATGAAGTAGCAGCAACTCCTGCAATGCCTATCAAATGATCAGAGGTGAATTCTTCCTGGTGAGTCCAGCAGCCATTCCTTTAAGCAGGGGAGCCAGCAGTGTCACAGGATCCCCATTCCATTTCTGTAGACTTTGCTGGATCTCAAGAGTTGTGTCATCATGACTATCAGCCTTTTGACAACACAGCCTTATTTCCTCTCCAGAGACCAATGCACTATGGCGAACTTCACGAAGTCTCTGAAGTTCTTGTCTATAACAGTCCCAACCATTTGTGGTGAGTATTCGTAGGGTTCCGTTCTTAATTTTAGGCAAGACAAACCAAGTTTCACTCACCTGCTATTAGGGCTGGGCAATATATCAAATCTATCTCATCCAAAACTGGTTGGAAGTCCATATCGTGATATCGGTTTCAAAGTTTTTGACCTAGCGATATATCACGAATCGTGGTGTGTGTTTTATGCAAAAATCACAACATGTGGAAAACCGTGAAACCAGCTAATGCTTCCATCCTTATTTCAGACATTGTGATATATCAGTACAGTGCTTATTTTCTTTTAAAAAATGTTTATTTTTTTAAAATAATATTTATTAAAGTTTCACAGAAAGAAAACCACATTAGTAAAGAAAAAATTAACAATGAAAAGAAGAAATACAAAGAAAAAAAAGAAAAAAAAGAAAAAAACAATTAAAAACAATTTCATCTTTCCCTCACTTCTTTTACATTTACTTGTTTCCCGGACCTCCTCTTACCTCCCTCTTTTGTATTCTAATTAAATATGTTAATCCAACAATTCCTTTCCCTCCTTTTTAATCCTAATCTTTAATCTTGATATAATATAACTTTAAATTTTACATTTTACATATTAAAAACCAATTTTTCCATATTCTTTTGGCCTGTACAGCTAGAAACCCCTTAACTTCAATCCAACATCATTCTAACATTAATTAATTTTGCAACATTTCTGTAAATAGTCTTTGAATTTCTTCCAATCTTCTTCCACCAACTCTTCTCCCTGGTCACGGATTCTGCTAGTCATTTCCGCCAATTCCATGTAGTCCATTCTTTAAAAAAATGTTTAGGGGTACTCTCATTTTGACTGAAGAAAACCAACATTTTATAGTTCAAATCGGGAAAAATAAATACAGTGGTACCTCATGTTAAGTACTTAATTCGTTCTGGAGGTCCGTACTTAACCTGAAACTGTTCTTAACCTGAAGCACCACTTTAGCTAATGGGGCCTCCTGCTGCTGCCGCGCTGCTGCAGCATGATTTCTGTTCTCATCCTGAAGCAAAGTTCTTAACCTGAATCACTATATCTTTGTTAGCGGAGTCTGTAACCTGAGGCGTGTGTAACCTGAAGCATATGTAACCCGAGGTACAAAAGTACTTTGTACTCTTTGGACAAAAGTACAAAGATTCACAAAATGTTTAGGGGTATGCGTTCCCCTGCGTTCCCCCCAGGAAAAAAGCACTGTATCAGTATACCGCAAAGTTTTGCTGATGATATATAAGGAAGTTGAAAATCAGATATCATCCATTTCGATAATTTCGAAATTTTGATAATTCCAATGCAGATTGGTTTCCCTTTTGTGAATATATCCAATGTGAATATAACCAACCCCTCCTGCCTCTCGTTCTTTGTTATGGCAGGAACATTTAAATACTGGTTTGCTATTATTCTATTCCGCAACTCTGCGCTACTTTTTTGGTTGCTGTGTGCTTGTATATATTTAAAAATTCATAAATAATAATAAAAAATAATAAAAAATTGAAACCCAGCCAGATGGGCCGGGTATAACTAATATATTATTATTATTATTATTATTATTATTATTATTATTACTATCAATAAGTGTTTCTTGTTTATTTCTCTAGCCGCCATTTACTGCTCGTGTCTCTGCATGAGGCTTTCCGACGGCCTGTCATCAAAGGTGAGCACCTTTCTGGACGGGAACGTAAACTGAAGTTGGTCAAAGCGAGAAGCAGCTAGGGCAAAGGTATAAAGCTGGCAGGTTATGCATAGGATTGAGACAGGCAACTTCTAGAGTATCTAGCAATTGGCACAAGGAAAAGCATGTTGAGTGGGTAGGAGGCCTAAACAAGATTTTGTTTAAACTATCGGCATGCCTTAAGATGAAATGTTATGACTCCGGGTTCATAACATTTTTGACATCTAGGATGGAACACCTCTGAGAATGTGCAGAGTTTCTTCTGCCCACCCCCCAGAAAGGGGAGGATTTAGGTAGGTGGCACTCATCCCATGAAATAATAAGAAGAGTTTGCCCTGAAAGTAGAGTTGCCATATTTTGAACAGCAAAAAAGAGAACGCTATGACAACTCTCATTTTAAATACTCCTACTGTATGTAGCCTGTAGAAGCTCTGCTATATTTCTGAGGTGGGCAGGAGAAGAGGAAAGCAATTCTTCAACCACCAGTTATGTCTATGCCTCATCCAGAAAGTACAGCCAGGGACATTGTGGCAAATTTTAAAAAAAAAAACCACCCGGACAGAAGTTTTAACTCTGAAAAAGAGGACATGTCCTGGGAAAAGAGGACACATGGCAACCCCACAAAGGCCCAAAGATATTATTAACGTTGAGGTGTGTCTGTTTGTTTTTTCCCCTTCTTTTTATAGGAGCTTACGCAACTGTATGAAACTGAGCTGAAATCGTTGTGGTAAGAGGGCTTTTCAGATAAGAATCCTGCTTAAATGCACATGTCGCTAGGTTGGTCATTACTCCTTGTGGGAGCCTTGTGGGTGAATCTCTAGGCTGCTCAGAGGGAACACAGGATAAAATTCTCTCCGTAGGTATTTCTGATTAAAAGCAAAAATGGTTGAAATTCTATACCCAGGTGCACCTTGGTGGGCTTAACTTCAGAGCAGCCATAAAAAGGATTGCTTACCCTCCAAGCGTCCTGATTTTCCAGGGTCCAGAATTACGAATCCTGTTTCCATGGAAAATAAACGCCCTGCACCCAGTGAAGGAAACAGTCAATCCGTTTCGAATTCTTTCACTGCAGTGCTTCAGCACCCAGCCACTTCTTAGGACAGGCATAGGCAAACTCGGCCCTCCAGATGTTTTTGGGACAATTCCCATCATCCCTGACCACTGGTTAGCTAGGGGTGATGGGAGTTGTAGTCCCAAAACATCTGGAGGGCTGAGTTTGCGTATGCCTGTCTTAGGAAATGTGGGGAGTGTTGACTCCTTTAAATGGAGCCTCACACTTGTCTACTCAGAAGAAAGTCCCACTGTATTCCCTGGAGCTTACTCTCAGGTACCTGGGTCAAGACTGGGCAGCCTTACACTGAAATCCGAAGCGTTTTTACTCAGAACTAATTCCTACTGAGTTCAATAGGATTTACTCTCTGGCAAGTTCCTGATCATGTTCACAGTTTCTTCTTCTTCTATTATTATTATTATTATTATTATTATTATTATTATTATTATTCCCCACCTTTTTCACTGACGGGGACTCAAGGCAGCTTACCACTAAAATTTTATTTCATTCCCTTTATCTGTTGAAGGTGTTGCTCACAATCCCTCCCCTCACACTTTTTTTTTCCTTTACGACAACCCTGCGAGGTAAGTGAGGGGGAGAGGTTGCATTGGCTCAAGGTGACCAATATCAATGTGTATATGGCGTATATCTGTGCAGGAGATCAAACACAAGAGAAGATTCCTGGTGTCCTATTTTCATCTGAGAAAGTTGGAAGGGTTGGAATAGGATGTCCCAATCTGAACCTGAGAAATGCTGGAGGGGAGGGAATTGCATTGCAAGACACACTTAGCAGGAAACTTGGCACCACATGACTTACCCGTTATTTGAAATTAGCCTTTGACTGATCATCCAGAAAAAGCCCTAAACTGCAGGTACCTGTTGATGGTTTCAATTACTACTGCATCGCAGCCGGTTGGAGAACCGGGTTCCTCCTGCTGGACAAGCAAATGATTCCTGATGTTTACATTGCTCCCATTTTTCCATCTCAAGGAAGTCCCAGAATTTGCTCGAAGAACAAATCCATGAAATCCAGGGCCTTAAAAAGGAGACAGATCGCCTGCGTGCCGAAATCAACAGCATCAATGAAGGCATCCTGAAATCTGTGAAGGAAATCCTGGAGGAGAGCGATATCCCAGGAGAGAACAAAGATGTAGGATGCTGGAAAAGGCACCTCTCTGCTTTGCACTTCATCCTCTCATTACAGGCTTGTCTTGCTGTTGTCATAACCTGGCAGCTTTAAAAAAAGGGGGGGGAGAGTTAGCCTTGTTCCCTATCAGAAGTATATACTGTATTTTTTGCTCTATAAGACTCACTTTTTCCCTCCTAAAAAGTAAGGGGAAATGTGTGTGCGTCTTATGGAGCGAATGCAGGCTGCGCAGCTATCCCAGAAGCCAGAACAGCAAGAGGGATTGCTGCTTTCACTGCTCAGCGATCCCTCTTGCTGTTCTGGCTTCTGAGATTCAGAATATTTTTTTTCTTGTTTTCCTCCTCCGAAAACTAGGTGCGTCTTGTGGTCTGGTGTGTCTTATACGGTATATAAAAAAGCAAGCCCACTTATAAACACAGCCTCCTTTGAGGGCAATGGTTTCCATACCTGATAAGTTCAGAGGAATCCCTGTCTGCTGCAGAGGATTCTGGGACATGTTCAAGGGTTGACTCTAATTTCACACAGGTCAGCCTGTTGGGCATCGCTGTCATTCCATGCAAACAGAGTGTGCCCCAGAACAGTGGGAGGGTTGCATACTCTTTTAATGCTTTTAAAAGAAAGCGCAACACTGGAAATATAACTTTCACACACATACTGCGGTGCTTGGCTATGTATACATTGTCGCTGTTTGTATGAAAGTTAATTTGTTAATGGATTAAGAAATACCGGAAGATGTCTGGATTTTGCCTTCAAGGTCTTAAGGTATGGAAGATACTTAACCACCCCTGCCCACCCCAGCCAGTTAAAATGCACGCCCCCTCCTGCCAGTTCTCACCTGCCAGCGTCATCCCTATGTTCACATTCCCTGCCATTCCAGCAAATCTTAACTTTGGAGTTAGGGCCATGTGTTTGCCAAGATAATATTTTAGGATTGCCATCCATCTGGACATAGCCGGAATGCTGCAGTCGGAAGCAATGTCTGGGCGAAAATTGCTTAAATGTCCGGGAGAATCCAGGCAAGCTTGCCCAAAACAAAGCTAAAGAACTTTTGTGTCTGGATTTTTCACTTTTTGAAATATGGTAACCCTATCATATCTTGCTTTGCCATATGAGCGCATGATGCGCATTTGTCCATATTCATGCAACTGCTGCACGTAGAGCCTTAAGCTGCATTGTTCAAACTCCTTGGATAATTCATGTGTTGCAATGCATGCCTTTGATATCTGCAGTGACTCTGCCCTGAGGTCTCCCTGATCGGTCTTTCCCTCTTTCACAGCAAGTGCTCACAACGATCAACTTGGCTTTTAAGAAGATTTATGAAGATCATGTGCAAATGGCTGATTGGGCTCAGAAAACAATAGGTAACAATAGACTATGCTCTTTTCTTATTACCTGAATAAACAAAGCTACTTCCTGCTGCCTTTTAGGGTTGAGCAATTGAAACCCATTAAGACTGTTGCCCAAAGTACTTAGGTAAAGGTAAAGGGACCCCTGACCGTTAGGTCCAGTCGTGGACAACTCTGGGGTGCGGGGCTCATCTCACTTTATTGGCCAAGGGAGCCGGCGTACAGCTTCCGGGTCATGTGGCCAACATGACCAAGCCGCTTCTGACAAACCAGAGCAGCGCACAGAAACGCCCTTTATCTTCCCGCCACAGCGGTACCTATTTATCTACTTGCACTTTGACGTGCTTTCAAACTGCTAGGTTGGCAGGAGCAGGGACTGAGCAATGGGAGCTCACCCCGTCGCAGGGATTTGAACCGCCGACTTTCCGATCGGCAAGCCCTAGGCTTTGTGGTTTAGACCACAGTGCCATCCGCATTGTGATATACCGATATATCACATCTTGAGAGTTAGTTTTATTGTGTATTATATTCTATAATTTTGGAGTCTTGAGAGTTAGTTTTATTGTGTATTATATTCTAATAGATCATTGAATATTACTTTATTTGATATAAGTCACTCCATTTAGAAGCTCTGTTTTATTTTGACTTTCTATATTGGATCAGATTGTTATAAGGTGCTTGTGCTTTGTTACGCATTTGCTGCTGTAAGCCGCCTTGTGTATAGCAATATAGAAAAGTGGTATACAAATTGAAAGTGAAATGAAATGAAAAATTCCATATAAATGCCCCTGTCGCCCCTACATTTGGGTAATCTCTATGAACACAAAATTGGGAACATGCATTCTGAGGTAATTTTGTAGAGGTCTAGTTGCCTCACCTCAGGAGGGATACTGTTGAGCTGGGACAGTTTCTCCAAAATGATCAAGCGCTTGCAGAAACTCCCGCTCTGAGGAAAAGTTTGGGTTTTTTTGTAAAAAAAAAAAAAATTAAATTTTCCATTAAAAACATTCCAATTAATCACAAATCAAATCATCAAACAGGAAGAAAGAAGGCCAAATTACATTCCAAATTATTAAATTCCAAACGCTCTGAGGAAAAGTTTAGAACATTTCAGGCTTTCAAGTTTATATATAAAAGTACACATGGTTTGTGGAGGAGGTGGACAGACACATTTTTCTTCCTCTCTCATAATACCAGAGAACTCGGGCTCACCCACCCAACGAAGCTGAATGTCGGAAGATTCAGAAAGAAAATACTTTTTTCACATAGCCCATGTTTAACTATGGAACTCACTCCCACAAGATAATGATGGTCTCCAACTTGGGCAGCTTCAAAAGAGATTTAGGCAAATTTATGGGGGATAAGATTATCCATGGCTACAGGCACTATGGGCATGTTCTGCCTCCACGCTTGTGAGGTGGTATTCCTCTCAGTAGGAGTTGGTGGGAATGACAAGTGGGGAGTGTTGGGTTGAAATCACGACAGACGAGTGGTGGGTGTCAAAGGAGAGGCGTCTGCCGGGGCAAGCCCCGGGAACTCTCTTTTATTGAATATTACAAACATTGCCACAGGTGTGCTTGTGGCTGATTGGTTGATACAAACACAAAGCATCTTGTTGCTGATTGGTTAACATAGGTACAAGGCGGGAATAACATATGTCCATTTATCATTGATAGGTCAAAGGATGAGGAATGGGGCTAGAACTAGACAGGCATGAATCCTCCTAATTAAATTATAACTAAAGATTAATATAACATGACTAAAACAATTACTAATGATTGATCATAACATGAAAGAATATAATAATGAAGTTCCGTAGATGTGGTCAGCTATGCATTAAGAACAGACCATATTGTTTTGTACATGAACTTGAAATGAACTGAAGCATGAGAGAATGTCTAGGTGTGCTGGGCTTGGTGTGTTTGGAACAGTATGTGCAGAAGCAGAAGCGAGACTTCCCAGAATGCAAGAGGAAAGAAGCAAGAGTTCTCATAGTAAGCATAGCAAGATTTCATAGCAAGACTTCCCACAATGCCACAGTTATGTGCAGTAAGAGAACTGCAGAAAGAAAACTTCCCTTCAGGGAGAGTTGTCCTTGCACTCTGGTCCTGCTTGGGATCTTCCTAGGGCCCCTGGCTGGCCACTGTGAGAATTGACTAGAGAATAGGCTTGCCATACGTAAGGAGAACTCTGACATGTCCTGCTTTTCAGGTGCAAAAATGGCATCAGGATGGAATTTTGACAAATTGGCAAAACGTCATGGAAAATCCAGGTGTATGGCAACACAATGGAAAAAGCAGTGGAAACATCTCCAAAAGCTTAAATTTACAGTCATACCTCGGGTTAAATATGAATATTTTCGGGTTGCGCTCCACGGCGACCCGGAAGTAACCAGGTTTCGCCACTCGCACATGTGCAGACGCTCAAAATGACGTCACGCGCATGCGCAGAAATGGCGAATCGCGACCTGCGCGCCCACAGAAGCATTGACACGGGTTGCGTTCACTTCAGGATGCGAACGGGGCTCTGGAACGGATCCCATTCGCCTCCAGAGGTACCACTGTACTATTCTGGGGGGAGGTTTCCCCCGAAAAGCTCAACAAATTGGGTTTGCAGGTGTCAGGAATTTTTCTTTTTGATCCACCCAGACTCTCCTTATGTGGCAATGAGAAACTGTGCTATGGTCAGTGAAACACAGATCGGATGGAAATTTAGGTCTTGTTGGTCAGTAGAGCTTGCTCTCCCTCTGTTAATTCTAATCTTCTTTTTTTATCTCTATAGGAGCCACAATTGATAAAGACAGGACATCTAAGAGTTATGTACCTGAGAGTATGCAGAACTGCTGGTTTCAATGGCTTTTTGTGTCTTCAACAAATCCTCCTGATACTGTTCTGCAGGTACAGTAGACTGCCTGTGTTATATCACTGGTAGTACAGGTTTGGCGCAGTATTAGGATTCTTCAGTCATCCATTCTCCAAACTCTCGTCTTCCTGCCTATCCTCCAGGTGTCCGTTTTCCAGGGACAGCCCTGGAATTACAGAAGCTGTCCTGGTTTCTGATTTGATCCCGGCATGTCCCGTTTTTCCTTTTTCCTCCACTCCAAGTCTCGGAGACTTATTTGAAACTAATCCCAGATAAATACAGACAACTGTTTTTTGTTTTTGTTTTTTGTTTTTTATTAACAGTTTCAACATAACAAAATATCAGAACATATCTTCATTATTTCCCCCCTTCCCCCCACCTCCCCAACAAACCCTCCCCCCCAAGACTTCCTTCAGCTCCTCTCTCTGATTTCTCAACACATATTGTTCTCTGCATACTGTAAAATTGTATAAATCCTTATATTATCTATCTACTATATTAACCTTCAATAGATTTGTGTATGTTTATGCAAAACTTGCCAAGAAGTCCAGTTCATTTTGTTGTCTTTTTGTAAAAAGTTCCCATTCTTCTTTGAAGTCACAGTTGTCCTTATCTTGCAGTTTGTATGTCAGTTTAGCCAGTTCTGCATAGTCCATCAATTTTCTTGCCACTGTTCTTTTGTCGGGGTTTCCTCATTCTTCCATCCTTGTGCTATCTAGACTCTAACACAGACAACTGTTTATCAAGTCGTCATCGTTACTGTGTAGCTGCCCCGTTCTTAAACCAGCCATTCATCTCCGTGCCAAAAATTCCCTGTATGAGGAAGTTTTTAATATTTGACATTATGTTTTTATAGGTGTTGATAACCACACAGAGTGGCCTGGGGTATAAATAATAAAATTGTTGTCGTTGTTGTTATAATATCTGCCTCACTTGCATAGCAGGCCCGAACAGAAATTGTGGGAGGTCGGTAACCAATGATCATCTGTACTCGGCCACAGAAGTCAGTTTATATCTATTGGACCCAAACTGCAACTATGCCTGGGATGGTGGGAGTATCATGTTTTAGTCATTTGAGTTGCTTCCTGTCTCTAGCCAGATGTTTATCCTGGAAACTGCTGGGCGTTCCGGGGTTCTGAGGGCCAAGTAGTAATTAAACTGCCGGAGAAAATCCAACCAACAGCTGTTACAGTTCAGCACATCTCTAAAGCCATTTCTCCCTCAGGAGGAGTCAACAGTGCCTTGAAGGACTTCTGGGTTTTTGTGAGTATTAATGTTCAACTCGGCATTGCGCTCCTCTCAGATAAAGCTGTAATTTCAGGCACTGGGAGGGCTACTCAGGAAGCCCTGGTGCATGGGCTGCTTCTCACGGACAGGGCATGGGTTAAAGAAAACTAACACACATCACCGCGTCAAGCTCAACCAGAACTGAGGAGCACTCTAGGAGGCTGCCTCATGTTGAGTGAGATCACCAGTCCACGTAGCTCAGTAATGTCTACACACTCCAGTAATGTCTACACACCACTGGTGGCAGCTCTCCTGCGTTTGAAGGCCAGTTGGTGTAGAGTGAGGAGGCCAGGGGGCCATGGTCCTGGGTGCAAATTTCTGACCAGGCACAACCAGGCACCCCCACAACAGGTTCCCTCATTGAGGCCTGAGCCACAGGGAGGCAAGCTGCACCCAGGCAAGGCTTGCTGCGAGGACAGGAGGGCGAGGTGACACAGCAGCACTCCTGGCTTTGCGTTTCTCTGCCTTATCTCTGCTCCCAGGTTGGGGCTAGTTGGCAAGGAGAAACTCCCTTGATTAGATGCTGGCCGGAGAAGGGGCTGACTACTGTCCAGTCCACCATAGGGTATAACAGTTGCCCTGCCCCGGGCAGCAGCAACCCACGCTACGCACACTTGAGGCAAGAGCCAGACTCTGGTCTTGTCTGTATGGTTGCCTACGTTCTGTCCATGTGTTTTTGCATGTCTGTCCTCTTAGCCTGCCAGGTCACTGGCCTCTTTATCTTCTTGCCCTCCAGTTTGCCTGAATCCTTCCTCCAGCTCCTTTTTGATAGGGCGCCTTCAGCTAGATCAGGTGTGGCGATTTTTGTAGAGCAAGCGCCACATTCTGTCACAGGCCACCCGAGGGCCACATGCCAGAGCAAAAATAGGCAGAGCAGCAGGTGTGACTCTTAAGCTTTGTCCAGTAAAAGGTGGACGTTTCTACATATTCATATTCTTCCTTGATATACCACTTCATATTTCAACAGACATCTCTAAGCGGTTTATGTGCCACGCGTTCCATCCTCCCATCCAGACATGGGAAAGGCACTGTCACAGTTCAATGATACAAGTCATCCAGGCAAAAGCACCCGAGGAGGCTGCAGTATGGGGACATTGAGGGGTGGGGCCTGGGATAGGGGGTGGGACCTGGGAAGAATCCCGGGGACCAGACAAAGAAGGCTAGAGAGACACATGTAGCCATCATCCCTGGGCTTGACCCATGGACGTAATTAACTCTGCTTCTGCAGCAGCCTCCTAGGGTGCCACCTTAAAAAAGAATTGTTTCCCAGACCCTCCTTTAGGCAGTGTTCCATCTTTGGTTTAAACTTTCTGTCACTAATTTCAGCTCCCCGCTACTTCTGGCTTTCCATTTTAGGGGCTAGAGGATGAAACACGAGAAGAAACTCTTCTGGGGAAATTCATGTATGATATTGAGAAAGCAGCCATTCAGACATTCCAACTGAAGGTACCCTAACTAATAATAATAATAATAATAATAATAATAATAATAATAATATATTTGTACCCTGCCCATCTGACTGGGCTGCCCCAGCCACTCTAGGTGGCTTCCAGCATATATAAAAACATAGCAAAACATTAAACCTTAAAAAGCTTCCCGATACAGTCATACCTTGGAAGTTGAATGGAATCCATTCCAGAAGTCCGTGCGACTTCCAAAACATTCGGAAACGAAAGCACGGCTTCTGACTGGCTGTAGGAGCAATCGGAAGCCGCGGAAGCCCCATCGGATGTTCGGCTTCCAAAAATAGCTCGCAAACTGGAACAGTCACTTCTGGGTTTGTGGTGTTCGAGAGCCGAAATGTTCGAGAACTAAGCTGTTCGAAAACCAAGGTACGACTGTACAGGGCTGCCTTCAGATGTTTCCTAAAAGTTATATAAGTACTCATCTCCTTAACATCTGAAGGGAGGGTGTTCCACAGGGCGGTCGCCACTACCGAGAAGGCCCTCTGCCTGGTTCCCTATAGCTCCCTGTAGAAGACCCTTGGAGCTGGACCTCAGTGTCCGGGCTGAGCGATGGGGGTGGAGATGCTCCTTCAGGTATACTGGACCGAGGCCGTTTAGGGCTTTAAAGGTGAGCACCAACACTTTGAATTATACTTGGAAACATACAGGGAGCCAATGTAGATCTTTCAGGACTAAGCATGAGAGCAATGGGGTATCAAAATGGAAGAAGCCCACTTGCAATGGGCTGCCCCAAAAGCAGTGTTTGGGAGACAGCTCCTTGCATACAGGACAGTTGCTCCACTGCTGTAATGTACTGAGTTGAATAGGATCCAAAATGCAGCAGTCTGATTGGTCCTAGAACAATAGGATCCAGAATGCAGCAGTCTGATTGGTCCACAGGAGCAGGGACCAAAACAAAAGGCAACTCCTGTTAGCATCAATGGGAAGACCAGGGTTGCTTCTCATATACAGATTATAATATGTGTGGGTACATTACTCCAGTCTAATTTGAATGGAGGAGGAAGTGGATTAGTAGCTAAATAATGCTCAGATGTGGACAAGCCTTTGCCTCCCAGTCATCTTACATAAATGGGATATGTGGATGGTCGGTACGGCAAAGTACAGTAGAAGGAGACTTGGTCTGTGTGGGCAACCTTGCGTAGAGGACCTGTACCACTATTTATTGCAATGCCCGCTATATATAGAACCAAGAGACCAATTTATAAAACCCCTGCTTATGAATGGAACACACTCGAATAGGGCGGAAAGAGTGAAATGGCTGCTGAGTGATACTGATGACTTCGTAACTTATAAAGTAGCACTATATGCGTTGGCAGCTAAGAAGATCAGGAGAAAAGAACTAGATAAAATAGTGGTCAATTGCAAAGGTGATTCAGACATTTATTTATTTTTTGTCCTGCTGCTCATTGTGTGCATAAGGGATCTGCAAATCTCAACTTTTTTCCAATTTTTTTTATTGATTTTCCAAAAAATTTTAGACAAACAAGCAAACATATATCTTAACTATACTTAATCCAATCTCAGTAACATTGTTAAGTGACTTCCTCAAATCCCCCTGGCTGAGTTTCAGTGTATATCATTGTAACAGTTTTCCAAAACCTATTTTCTCATAAAATTAACTAATTCACTTATCATCTTTCTTTCTTTCCATTTTAACTTTAAACATATTATTCTCTAACATTACATATTTAAATCCTATCTGATATTTGCAAGTTTTTCCAATTAAGTTATCTTAACATATTTGACTAAATAGTCTTTAAATTTCTTCCATTCCTCCTGGTACTCCTCCTCCTTCTGGTCAATGACTCTTCCAGTTAGGTCAGCTAGCTCCGAAAAGTCCATCATCTTCATCTAGGTGATTTGGACATTTCAGCTGGCACATTCTATCTGAGAACCCCCTGCGATTCTCTTTTTGTTTCCTTTGTGAATGATGCCATGGCCTTTGGCTAGTGCAATAAAGTTGTTGATGATGATGATGAATGGGGTGTGTGCCCTGAACTCTCCCCCTGTGAAGTTGGGCTCTCCTTGGGAGATTAAAAAATAAATAAATCTGCTAGAACAATTTGAGATGATGACAAAAGTACTGGTGAAGCACAGCAGTGTTTAACACATTTGATTCCGTTTGTTCTTTCTCTTCTCATCCTCTGCATTTCAGAACGAGCATTTAAAACAGTTTCTGCATATAAAATTCAAGGTGCTGAGCAATTGGGGCAACTCAGAGTTCACCTGTATTTATCGACTCCGGGTGCATGGGAAGATGGTCGGTTCCTCGCCCATCGGATGAAGGCAGGGGGTGAAAAATCTTGCAAGATGAATAAAAGGAAAGAAAACAGGAGTACCAACGCCCATCGTACTGAGCAAACTGTAAAGAGCACTCGCAGCTCACTCTGACTTTTTCCTAGGGGAGGGTGGAGAGGGAAGTATGGAAGGGGAGGAAGGGAAGAATCCTAATTATGCCAAGATATTTAAAGTCTGACAGGTGTTCATGACGGAAAGACCCAATCTGTGGTCTGCCCAAGAAACCAAGACAAGAATGACAGGGGAAATTTCAGATGATCAATGCAAAGTCGTGGCACTGGCAAATTGATCTTAAGTCACATGAATATTTTTGATCCTGTCCAGTTTTCTGTGGAAAGAGGGCGGGGGGGATAGTTACGAAAGTAGGCAATCTCCCAATAAAGATTTCTGTCTAGACTGAAGTGTGTAGAGGCAAGTGAGCTGTTCGTGGAAAGGGTGCCTTTGATTTATGCGATATATTGCTTTGAGTTAAGCTGTTCTAAGAGCTGCTTCCATGGACTGTGCTGTGGCTGTGTTCTAGAATGTTCTTCCTTCTTTTAGGTGGCTTTCTAGAGACTAGGGAATTTGCTTCATGTCAAATACATCCCGAGTCCGATCTGCAAAATGCATGTCACTTACTGTGAAATCCTATACATGTCTACTCAGTACAGTGGTACCTCAGGTTACATACGCTTCAGTTTACATACGCTTCAGGTTACAGACTCCGCTAATCCAGAAATATTACCTCAGAACTTTGCTTCAGGATGAGAACAGAAATCGTGCTCCGGCGGCGCGGCGGCAGCAGGAGGCCCCATTAGCTAAGCTGGTGCTTCAGGTTAAGAACAGTTACAAGTTAAGAACAGACCTCCAGAACGAATTAAATACTTAACCTGAGGTACTACTGTAGTAGTAAGTCCCCAACTGGACTTACTGCATGTGCAGAGGAGGGTGAGCAAGATTCTAAAAGATTTGAAAACCAAGCCTTATGAGAAACGGTCAAGGGAGCTCGGTATGTTTAGCATGGATAGGAGGAGACTGAGAGGAGATATGATAAAGGTAAAAGGTAAAGGGACCCCTGACCATTAGGTCCAGTCGCAGACGACTCTAGGGTTGCGGCGCTCATCTTGCTTTACTGGCCGAGGGAGCTGGCGTACATGTGGCCAGCATGACTAAGCCACTTCTGGCGAACCAGAGCAGCGCACAGAAACGCCGTTTACCTTCCCGCCGGAGCGGTACCTATTTATCTACTTGCACTTTGACGTGCTTTTGAACTGCTAGGTTGGCAGGAGCAGGGACCGAGCAATGGGAGCTCACCCCATTGTGGGGATTCAAACCGCCGACCTTCTGATCCGCAAGTCCTAGGCTCTGTTTAACCCATCCTCAAATATCTCAAGGGCTGTCACATGGAAGATGGAGCAAGCTTGTTTTCTCCTGCTCTGGAAGGGAGGACCAGAACCGATGGCTTCAAAGTACAAGAAGGAGATTCTGATCAAACGTTGGGAAGAACTTTCTGATGGGAGGAGCTGTTCAACAGTGGGATGGACTCCCACAGAAGGTGGTGGACTCTTCATTAGAAGTTTTTGAGCAGAGGTTGGATGGCCATCTGCCAGGGATTCTTTAGCTGTGATTCCTGCATCACAGAGGGTTGGAATGGATGACTCTTGGGTTCCCTTCCAGCTCTACAGTTTTGTTATCCTATACAGCCACTTGCCGACCTCTCCATCACTGCTGCCGCTGCTACCTTCTGTTGAGCTATGAAACACCTTCCAGGGGCATACTTCCAGTTAACGGTGCATAGGATTGCTGCTTAAGGATGCTATTTAACAATCACCTGCCTTCTAGGGGTGTGACAGGTATACTCTCTGACTATAGAACATTCCCATGAACTCTGGGAGTCCCCCAAAACTCTGCCTTCCCCAATAAATGATACACCAGGATCTCGTGTACAGTCCAGGAAGCATGCTGTGTAGATTCTGTGTAGGCAAAAACCTATACAATTGTAAAAAAACAAAAAAGTAGCTAGGGAAGATGTTGTTTTAAAGTCTTCTTAGGAAAGGAGGGAAAGCAAGCAGTAGCGATGAGGTGGACCTTGGGTACAGTCTGCTGCTCCAACCAGCTGCCCTGCTCTGATCTGAGAGGTGCTCCCAGACATCCCTTGTAATGTTAAAGGACCACAAGGACAGTGTTCCTATTGTGCAGTCCCAAGAGTTGCCCTTCTGCCTTGCCAGCCTCCTCCGTGGCACTGCAATATACCGTTGCACTTCCTGAATGGCGAAACGTTCCATGCAGCCGCCTGAAGTCCATCGCTTCCACATCAGGTCTCCAAAGAAACACTATGAAATGCCATTCACTTCCAGAGCTCAAACGTGGCTCTCTCTCTCTTTTCCAAGTTTCTGTCTCTGCTTCTGCATCGAACAGCAGTTTCTATGGATTCACACACACACACACAAATACACATGCATATGTACATCTATAAATACACATGCACACAGATTACAGTATCTCTAGCCAGTAGAATCTGGGGGCAGGGCAAGTCCTTTTGCCAAAATGGAGCCGTGTTCAGCTGTTTCCTCTTCACTGTGGACTCCCCCACCCCACCCCCAAGAAAGTGATTACAGTGGTACCTTGGGTTAAGTACTTAATTCGTTCCGGAGGTCCGTTCCTAACCTGAAACTGTTCTTAACCTGAAGCACCACTTTAGCTAATGGGGCCTCCTGCTGCCGCTGCACCGCCGGAGCACGATTTCTGTTCTCATCCTGAAGCAAAGTTCTTAACCTGAAGCACTATTTCTGGGTTAGCAGAGTCTGTAACCTGAAGCATATGTAACCTGAGGTACCACTGTACTTATTTGACTTTCTCCATAGATCAAATAACTAAAGATGTTGACTCGCTCTCTAGTAGAACAATGACTTTCAAACTTTCTGCCTTTAGGGAACTCTTTCCATGTTTATTGGATTGCAAAGGATTCTGATGCATGTTCCAGGACACACACACACACGGTAAAGTTTAGTGTGCACTCTAGCCAGACAAATTTAATACCTCCTGACATTGCTATACATTGCAAGGGGAGTGTTCACAGTGGTGGGCAAGCTGTGGTTTAGAAAACCTGCTCCCTGATTACTGATTTTTCTATTTTATTTTTTTAATACACTTTTATTGGGTTTTTTAACATATCATTTCCAACAATCATATAACATAACTTCTTATCTTATACAATGTTTTAGACTTCCGTCAACACCTCTGATGATTTTTCGTTCTTTATCACTTATTCTGCATTTCTTAATTTCTCTATTACTCTTAATTATCATTAACCAATAGTTCTTCTTATAGTCTTTCTTGCAATATTTCAAATAGTCCTCCTTACAAAACTTCTTGCAGTCCTACTAGCGTAATCTGTTCATTACAATTACTTTTCAGATAGTTTGTATATTTACTCCAATCTTCTAAGAATCTCTGCTCCCGCAGGTTTCGAATCCTTCCTGTTAATTTATCTAATTCTGCCTAGTCCGTTAATTGCATCCGGATTACTGCTTTTTCTAAGTGGGGATCCTCTGATAAGCTTCCAAGGAACACAGGAACACCGTCTGAAAAACGCACAGGAGAAACAGATCAAGGAATGTTTTCTACCACAGACACCTTGGTTCCATCAGGATCTCGCATGTTTTGACCCAGATGGAAGAGGAGCAAGGAGCAGGAGCAGGGGGCGTCTGGCAGGCTGGGACCCAGGGATGGTGGTCCTCCCCTTGGGATTCTAGATATTGGGGAGGGGGAATCAGATCTGCCAACTTGCTCCACTGGCCCTCCTGCAGAGCACAATACTGTGGTCAAGAACCAGGCATCACCTCCATCGGTGGGATCGGAAGCATCTGCCTAGATGCATGTGCAGCAGTCCTATAGGGTGAGAGAGTCTCATGACTGAGCTTTCCCCATGTCTGTAAAACTTTGTGTCAACCGTTGGGACAGCTTTGTAGCTTCCGTTTGGATCAGAACCTCTTGCATTGTCATGTAACTTGGAATCATGACATCTTGTGCTTCTCACAGAGCCTGTGAAGCCTGTATAAAGATATATATCTTACTCTCAAGTAAGAGCTGCTGTCGTCGTGTTTTGCAATCCTAAACATCTGGAGAGCACCAGGTTGGGAACAGAGAGAGAAATTAACCGACGTGTTTTTTAAAAACTCATCTTTTAAAGCAAAACATGGCCCCTTTACTGGCTTCCCCCAATTAAAAACCATCATGAAAATACTGGTTGCAATTCAACGATATAACAATGTACATAATACAGTCATACCTCGGGTTACAGACGCTTCAGGTTGCGTGTTTTCAGGTTGCGCACCGCGCCAAACCAGGAATTACTTCCGGGTATTACCCGGGTTACTTCCGGGTTTCAGCGCTCACGCATGCGCAGAAGCGCTAAATCATGCTTTGCGCATGCGCAGAAGAGCTGAATCAAGACTCGCGCAGACGCGGCGCTGCGGGTTGCGAACTTGCCTCTCACACGGATCACATTCGCAACCCGAGCATCCACTGTACAGTGGTACCTCGGGTTAAGAACATAATTCGTTCTGGAGGTCTGTTCTTAACCTGAAACTCTTCTTAACCTGAGGTGCCACTTTAGCTAATGGGGGCCTCCCGCTGCCGCCACACAATTTCTCTTCTCATCCTGAAGCAAAGTTCTTAACCTGAGGTAATATTTCTGGGTTAGCGGACCGAGGCACCACTGTATGCAAAACTTGATGATCGCAGGTATAGGAGCAAGAAGTGAAATCCTGACTTTACACTGGCTCAGTTAGGGTGCTATTTGCCTGCTGCTTTCTGCAACAACAAAAAACCCCTCATTTCAAGAAGAAAAAAACAGCCCTGTCCCACTGCATCTTTTAATAACATATCCTTACAGAGGGAAATAGTCTATAGCATTCTGAAGGGTCGCTACAACCTTTGGTTCTAATCGCCAATGTTTTATGGATTCCTTCCCTTTTTTATTTTATTTCTTTCTCTTTTATGATGTTATTGTCTAAATTATGCCAATAAAAGGATGGATGAATGTTCTAATCCATTTATCAACACGTCCCGATAGTTCAGCAAATCCAGCTCATTCCCACATTCTTAACAGCTCAAGCCCAACCATGCCTACTCGGAAGAAAGCCCTACTGAACACCCATCAGTGAGGCTTGGTGATTTGATGCTAAACAGCTAAACCAAAGCAAGTCTGGCTGCTGGCGATGCCATGAATTTGAATCTGATCAGGGCTCCTTGAAGAAGAAAGGTGGGGTGAAAATAAAATAAAAATATAAAATAATAACATAAAATAAAATAAAAAGGTAGGACGTAAATAAAATAGAAATTAATATACAATACAATACGGGAGGAGACCTTAGACATTCAAGTGAGGCTCTTTTAGGTGATATACGGGAAAGCTCGGCTCTCTGCTCTGTTTGATCCGCTTCTGCTGGATTCAATATGCAGGCGCCGCCCCCCAGAGCCAGAAAAAGGGTAGAGCCATGCATAGCAGCCGCAGATTCCGGGGCAAAATGCTAACTTCCTACGCAAAGCAAGGAGCCGTTCTCCCTCCTGAAAAACCGGATAGAAAGACGTTACTGGGGTTTTCTTTTCACGCTTCCTGCGTTTTGGATTCTCAACAAAATCACCTTTTTAATTTAAAAAAACTCACATTGAAAAGTACTGGGAGGGGGAAAGGTGCCTACAAAGAACCCCACCCGCATCGCCGGAAGTATGAACCGTGTGTCACTTTACCCTTTTTTCCTTCTTCCTATCTCTATGGGGTCTTGCGGCGGCGGCGGCGCGCGAGGGTGACGCCACTTCCTGTCCCTCGGTCGCCGTGCTGCTGCTGCTGCCCGCTGCCGGGCAAGGTCGCGCGGCGGGGCCGGGAGCGCAAGGCGTGTGGAGATGGCTCCTCCGGGCTCGGAGCTGGGCCGCGGCGGCGTCGTCCCTCAGGGGACGACGATGGGCTACACGGCCGACGAGAAGCTTCGCCTGGAGCAGCTGAGGGCGCTGCGGCGCCGCTGGCTGAAGGACCAGGAGCTGAGCCCCAGGGAGCCCGTCCTGCCCCCGAGGAAGCCCGGCCTGGTGGAAGGCTTCTGGGAGGGGTTCCTCAAGCCTGGCGGGCTCTGGAGGCAGCAGGTGAGGCGGGGAGGGAGGGAGGCCCAAGGGTTTAGGTCAGGCATAGGCAAACTCGGCCCTCCAGAAAGGAACTAGTGCAAGTTCAAGATGTCCCAAAAAGGAACTAATTCCCAGTTCACTGTGGAATGAACCACTTCGGTTCACCCTCAGTTCACGGTTCAATGGAAGTTCATCCAAATCAGGCATAGGCAAACTCGGCCCTCCAGATGTTTTGGGACTACAACTCCCATCATCCCAAGCTTGTTACATTGAGAGACCACCCTGGGGTGTTTTTGTTTCAATTATGTATCTTTGTGTTTTTATATTGTGATTTTATCCTATGAACCGCCCTGAGATGGGGAGCCACCGCAGAGAAGGCCCCGTTCTCGTGTTGCCACCCTCTGGACCTCTTGAGGAGGCGGCACACGAAGAAGGGCCTCGGAAGATGATCTCAGGGTCTGGGTAGGTTAATATGGGAAGAGGGGGTCTTTGAGGTATTGTGGTCCTGAGCGGTTTAAGGCTTTATAGGTCAAAACCAGCACTTTGAATTGGGCCCGGAAACTAGCTGGTAGTCAGTGCATTCAGAACCAGGATCGGTGTAATGTGCTCAAACTGCCACTGAATTCTGCACTAGCTAAAGTTTCCAAACTCTCTTCAGAGGCAGCCCTACATATAACGCCTTGCAGTAATCTAACCTTGAGGTTACCAGAGCATAGACAACAGTAGTTAGGCTATCCCTGTCCAGATAGGGGTGTAGCTGGGCCACCAGCCAGTGAGGCCACCTGAGCCTCGAGCAACAACAAAGGATCCAGGAGGACCCCTAAGCTACGAACCTGCTCCTTCAGAGGGAGTGTAACCCCAGCAAGAGCAGTCGATCTCCCACCCATCCGGTCTAGTGAACGAGCCACTATCAGTGCCTCTGTCTTATCTGGATTGAATTTCGGTTTGTTGGCTCTCATCCAGTCCATTACTGAGAGAAGACACTGGTCCAGCACTTCCACTGCCTCAGCTGCAGATGTAAAGGAGAAATAAAGCTGAGTGTCATTAGTATACTGCTGATAACCCCACCCAGCAGTTTCATGTAGTTACCTATTTGTTTGCTACATTTATAAACCCCTTTGGGTGGTTTTTGTTTTGATTATGTATTTCTCTGTTTTTATATTGTGATTATATCCTGTGAACCACCCTGAGACCAGTGGGTATGGGCTGGTGTACAAATTTAATAAATAATAATAATTTATCTTCCAAGGAGCTCAAGGCGGTGCATATGGGTTTCATCTTCACAACAACCCTGTTTATGTATTCATTTATTTTACTTGCTTATTTGCCAATTCGCTTAGTGTGCAGTTGTTTGTTTATTACATTTATAAGCCGCTTTTACCTTCCAAGGAACTTCTTGCAGCTGTGCTGGACAAGAAGGTGTGAGGTTACAACCCGAAGCCTTGCTGGAGTTTGTTCCTCTTATGACTAACCATGGTATATTGTGGCACTTGAAGTAGCCCAAAGTCTGGCGTGAATTAATCATAAACTATTTGTTTTAATTTTTATGAATGGAAAAAAATATTGTTTATATCAAAGTTCTTAAGATGTCAGGAACTAATAAGAAAAAACTGCTTATTTTTAGGTATTCAAAACCTACAAAGCTTCAAAGTTTCTTGTAGTTCGGCTCCTTATTCCTTTTTGGCTTGCCCACTATTACACCAAGTATCACCTAGCGGTATGTATTTTGTAGCATTTTGGTAATACAGCTTTGGGACCTAGCCATGAGCATAGATTTATGGATATACAATATATATAAGCACCTTTTCTATGGTGCTTTTCTCCACATCCCCAACCTGCCTTTTGCTGAAAATCATAGGTTGCTGTTTAGAAACAGACGGCCAACTTCTTAAGCCCAGGAGGCTGGACTCCCTGTCTGTGTGACATCATTTTCCTCCAGCAACATCTTGGCTGTAAAGTTTAACTCCGGTCCCCCAGGTTTAAGGAGTTGAAAGGTGCCCTTCCCTTTTGGGGAACAGGAGTTACAACAACAGAACACTTTGTATCCAGTAGCCAAGGCCAAGTCGCTGCCTGAAACCTTCAAAATTTTTAGCATGATGAGCTTTGACATTTCTAGTTACTGGTTGGCAGATGAAGCGCCATACAGCCTCTTCCCTTTTCTCTTCTGTTCTCCTCCCACCCAGCTTAACAAGATTGTCAAAGCTGACTGCACTAACAGTACATTCAGTAGGTGCTTAGGCACACAGTACAAAGGGGGATTGGTGTATGGGAAAAATATATAGTTACACTTTTTTTGATTCTTTTGCCATTAAAAAAATACCTTTGACTGGCTAAAATTCCTCATATATACTGTTGCTTTTGAATTAGGCACTGTAGATATACTTGCTATACTTTTAAGCTGCTTTCTTAAGGTGTTTTGCCTAGAAAAGGGCAGTGTAAATAGCTAAACAAGTACATGTAATTTTGTCCTAATGCCAAAGATCAGACTGCGTCTTCCTGTTCATGGGAGTGTAGCGTTCTATTGGGATGTGTGTGTTTTTCTCAGCTGTGGAGGACTTTGGCTCACTTAAGAGGGCACAATGAGCTTCGGCATAGCAAAATAGTTGCAAGCTACAAGGGACTGAAAAGCTATTGAGATGGGACAGGGTATAACAAATGCCCAGAGAGCTTCCAGAAGGGCGACTTCCCTTGGAATCCTTAAGTTTGCTATTTTCATTCACAGCGTCGGCCATACGGAATAGTCGAGACGAAGCCCAAGATATACCCAGTGAGTAAAATTTGCTTTTATTCCTTTGGCAGTCTGCTGTATAAAGAATTAATAAAGCAACTACGTGGAGCAGGAGTGGAGAACCTCAGACCTGAGGGATCAATGAGGCCCTCTGGGTCTCTCCATCCAGTCCTGTGTTATGGCCTCTCAGGCCATATACATCACTGTTCCTGCTCTGCGGTTTTAAGTGCTTATGCCAGGCTGAAATATGTTCATCAACAGTGGTGATCCCTTTTGCTTGCTTTGGTGAAGGATCAGGAGGTGTGTGTGTGTGTGTGTGTAGAGAAACTTCTGGCTTTTGTGTGACTGAAAGGTATCCTACTGGACAAAGGCAAGTTGCTCTGCCCATTTTTTACTGGCCAGGTCTGATTTTGCTTCTGACTACCCAACTTCCCAAGGGACGTGGGTGGCGCTGTGGGTTAAACTACAGAGCCTAGGACTTGCTGATCAGATGGTTGGCAGTTCGAATCCCCGCGATGGGGTGAGCTCCCATTGCTCGGTCCCTGCTCCTGCCAACCTAGCAGTTCGAAAGCACCTCAAAGTGCAAGTAGATAAATAGGTACTGCTCCGGCAGGAAGGTAAACAGTGTTTCCGTGTGCTGCTCTGGTTCGCCAGAAGCAGCTTAGTCATGCTGGCCACATGACCCAGAAGCTGTACGCCGGCTCCCTCGGCCAATAAAGCGAGATGAGCGCCGCAACCCCAGAGTCGGTCACAACTGGACCTAATGGTCAGGGGTCCCTTACCTTTTTACGAAACTTCCCACCCCGTCCTGCAGCTTCTGGAGGGCTGCCCATGAGAGAATGGGACCATTGAATTGAAAATGGTTACCTACCCTTTGTATGCAGGGTAAGGTAAAGCACAAAACCAGTAGCACGTATTAAAACTTTTACCTATAGGTCATAGAATTGTAGATCTTGAAGGACCATGAATGAGGGTATTCTCATCCTACCACCTGCAACCTTTCGGCCCACATGTATAGGGCCCTTGAAAACCGTGTGTTTGTTGTTTCTGTGGGGCTGGTGTAAATACACAAGAGTCCTTCTCTGTTCCTGGTATGAGAAATACAGTTCCAGAGTGAGCATTTCCACTCACAGATAGCAGGTTTGGAGTATACTTATTTCTCTGCTCTAGGAAGACTTTGTTTTTTATGGTACAGGTAAATAGCAACTTAACGCGCATTTAACTTCTGCACATCCAGCTTTATGCACTTGGCAATTTTAAAAAATAAATAAAGGGAGCAGGTGCCCAAGAAAAGATTTTGGCAATCCCACCCGCCCTTGAACCCAATGGGTTTTGTCGCTACACAATTTTGGGTTTAGGAGCTATCCCCGGGACACAACCCCATGTAAGTCAAGAGTTTCCTGTATAGCAAAGTATACGTGGTTTTGAAAGAGTGAGTTTAGTAAATCAGTTATATAGCTGGAATTTCTGATTTGCAAGAAAATATTTCCAAAATGTGCTGAAATAGGAACATAATTGGTACTGAAGAAGGATGTGTGCTTCATTCAGTGTCTAAAACAACTGTGTTACAACAAGAATTATGATTTCTTTTAACTTCTTAGGGTGACATAATTATGGAGACGGGGGAAGTAGTTCCCCCATTGGAAATACCCAGCAGCCATCATTAAGAGACTCAAGAACTTGGAAAACTACAGACGCGTGTCTGTCTTCAGGATGTATCAAATTTAACAATAAAGATGACTTCCAGACTACTAGTACGGCTTTTCATTTTTGAAATAAACATATTATTTCTCTGACTTGCTGTTCAGAACAGTAATGGAACATCCCTGCACGGCACACAGCAGTGAACAATCTTACGAATTAATAGCATTTTCTGATAGCATGGACCGCCTACTCCAAAGAAAGGGATGGCATGTGATAATGTGCTCAGGGTCTCTCAGTGCAATTCTTGTAGGTGTTGCTATTGAATTCACTCATTATAATTCTGGATGCAGGCCAAGGAGAGACTGCAGCTTGGTTGTATTGGGGGATGGGGAGGGGAGAGCACAGGCTTCAACCATCAGTTAAAACTATTCAGGTCATGAACAGTTTAACCAGCATTTAAAAACATGGCAGAATGAACCCATTTTATACCTGAACAAAGCCAAACAGAAAAAGAAACTAAAGCTACACTTTATATTTACATATAAATTATGCTGCCATAAAAAATCAATAACCCTTTAAAAACAACCTTATAAAATATAGAATCTTTTATTACAAGGATTTGATAAGCATATGCTTCTGCTTATTTGAGGGCAATGTAAACTATCGGGATGGGGAGGAGTAAGAATGTTTCTTCAAAATCATGTACTGTCATTTGAGATTAGTCATTGGAAAATAGAGCTTTGGCTGGAATGCAGGATGTGCTGTTCAGATGTAGAGCGGCCCTTCATTTTGTTACTACTCACCTTTAATCTCTTAACAGATTATTGATATTGCATTGTAAATATTAATGATTATATTGTTTCCAGATATTCCAACACTTCTGTGTCTGGGCTGTTAAAACAACTTCTGTGTATGATCACTGTCTTATTGAAATAAATCCAGCGAAAAAGTTTACAGCTTCATTGTTACCAATTTATTGCTTCAACAGTAGAATTCTATAATCTGTTTTGAACATGGAATTAAGGAGTGACCTCTCCACCTTAAAATAATGAGTTTGTCATTCAACCTACAATCCCTATATACATAAAGTTAGTGGAGTATTCTTAGGTGTGGCAAGTCTCTCTTTGTGTTTGGCTATCAGGGCCAATTGCCACATTGACCCAAGTGGAAAGGAAACATACAATGGTGATCCTGAGGCTATGCACACTCTTCTTACAGAAATTTCTCACAACAGACAGCAAGACCATGCTGAATGCTATCGCTGCCAAACAGAGATTAGTAAACAGTGATAAATTCTACACTTCAAGTTGAAGATCAGACTGGTTGTGACGGAAAAGGAAGATCAGCTCAGTTTTGGGAGAAGAACAACTTCTCAAAGGAGGGAGAAGAGATGCAAACTGATTTGGAATTTTATTTATTCTTGCATTTCTTCCAAGTAGCTCAAGGTGGGAGACGGTTCACCTCCTCTTTATTTCATCCTTACAACAGCTCTGGGATATTATTTGTTCCTTTCATTATTCACACATAAACCATCTCCAAGGGACTTAGAAAATTGAAAAGCATAAAGGATGGTATAAAATACGAAAGAAGAGCAATGCATACAAATAAACCTATAAAAGAAATGCAGCAAAACTTCAGCCAATATGTTAGGCTGAGAGGATGGCCAAGTTACACCTTGTGTGCTTCATGACTGAGTGGGATTTGAACCTTTGTATCCCACATGGTAGTTTGACACTAAGCACTGCACATACTGTTTCTCTTTTTAGATTTCAGAAAGTAAAATACATTAGGAAGCCTGGAAAAACTACTGGATTTCATTCATTTTCACTATACATGTGATAAATCAGGTTTGCTGATAAAATCTGTTCAGAAGTGATCCAGATATTTAAAACAGGCTCTTTTAGGATGCCGACTTAAAGCCTCATGCTTGAAGTGAAATGTATCTGAATCGTGAAATGGAAGGGATCTGAACTCTAAAAGTTGTCTTCTTAGTTGATGTTAGCAGAGACAGGCATGTGAAAAGAGTACATTCTTTTTCATTGACTGAGAACAAAAATCCCTTCCAGGGGTTTTCTTGCTCTAATCCTTATTTGAGAAGTTTCAGTATTTTTGTATTTTTTTGCAAATCTTGCTAACTTTGAATTCAGATTCTTTTCACAACTCATTCCAGCAGCAATAAAACAACTGTAGATATCTTCACATTGCTGCATGGCCTGTGGGAATGTTTTGCTGCTGAATGTCTCACAGATTCTGTGTTTCTGCAGGGTAGTGTTCCTTCAGCTGCCATTTGGCTGCTATTCGTGTTGCATAAATGACATATCCCCATGAAAGCAATACAATGGTGAGAAGAATCTGTTAAAGGCAGAATAAAATGGTGTTTATAGACATTTACATTTGACATGGGACGCTTGTTTCCAAGCAGAATAAAATGGCTTTTCTTAAGCAGCCCTGTGCCATACATTTAAAGCAGTAAATGCATTAAACCACTTTAAATAGCCATGGCTTCTGCCAAAGGATGCTGGGAACTGTAGTTTGCTAAGGGTGCCAGGAGTCGTTAGAGAAACCCCTATACAGCGCATAGTGCTGCAATTCCCAGAGTTCTCTGGGAAGGGAGACTGTGAAACCACCACATTGTATTTTTGCAAGGGGAACAGGACTCCCCCAACAACTCTCTGCACCCTTGCACTACAATTCTCAGGATTCACTGGCCGCAGACAAAAAGCGCAATGCAGCTGGGGCCAGTGCTCCAAATGAAAAACCTACATTATAATTAGAGCCTGGTGCTGATAACGCCGTGGTTGCAAGGTTCGATCCCCATATGGGACAGCTGTATATTCATTAATTCCAGTATTTCAGTGGGGTTGGACTAAATGATCCTCGGGGTCCTTTCCAACTCTTCAATTCTGTGAATTGCAGCATATGCGCCCTTGGCCTGCGTACCCAGGAAACGTACATAGGATTGCAGCCCAGTAATGCAGGATCCTGCGCCTGTCTGCACAGCAACCAGCCTCATTGAGTGCAGCGGTGGTGGACACGCGACAGGATCGCAGCCCAAACCGCCGCCTACCAAACTTCCCGTTGCCACGAAGGGCGTCAGGAGCCTGACTCCCTGCTTGCTACGGAAGAGGCCAAAAAGAAACAAGGGCGCAACGGACGCCTTACCAGCGAGTATATCCACTCCAGCGTCCTCCGGCTGACTTGCGCCATTCTCGCGCTCCCTCCGACTCGCAACCCGCAGCGGAGTCTCGGGAAGTTGCGTGAACAGGAAAGGGAACCAGCGGCTGCGTCCCGGGGAGCCATTTTCCTTAAGGGAGCAAAGCTCTCAACCCGTCCTGTTGCTCGAGGGCAACCCTTTCCTCGGACCCCACACGCGATCGGGACTATCTCTCGCGCAGGAGAGGCACCAACGGCTGCAAACCCGCCGAGAGTACCAGTCCCGGGGCTCAGCTCCTACCGAGCACGCCTGGCTCTGGGTTCGAGTTCTCCCTTCCCTGAAGAAGCATTCAGCATGCATATTGCTTTCAGGTCCCGCGCGGCGCTCCTTCCCGGGCTAAACTGTGCATAGGATCGCAGCTTTAAAACGCTTGCGATCCAATTATTTGGGAGCAAGCTTCGTGGAGCTCCGGGGCTTGCTTCCAAGGAGAGATGCTCCGGGATGCTACGGTTCCTGCGCCAAAAGGGAGCCTCGCTTCCCCGCTCGCTTGTGGTACCCGGACCCACGGCGGGCGCCTTTGGGGAAACGGTTTCTATATAGGAAGGCTTTGATTCCCCACTCATCCTTTTTTAAAAAAAATAGTGCCAGGAAGGCTCGCTGATCTATCTAATTCAATATCTGCATGGCTTTAAAACCTGGGTCTCCCGCGGTGATTGAACTACAACTCCCATCATCCCTATGTAACAGGACCAGTAGCAAAGGATGATGGGAAATGTAGTCCAAAAAGAGGCGGTGTTTGGGAGACACTGGCTTGTAGACGATTATTACACACGAAAGCTTATATTTAGTTGATCTTTAAGGAATTATTTAAAAAGATTTTTCCTCTTTCATCTTGTTATTTATTATGGCTTATAGACAGACAGTAGATAGATAGATAGATAGATATTATAGAGAAGAGATCTGCAAGTGTGGGCTGGGAGTTGGACGGGAAAAAACAAAACTGGCCAGAAACCGACATTATAAGGCTGGGGGAGGGGGGGTTCACTTGATTGACAGCAAACGGCCACGACTGTGGCGTCACTGGGGGGAATGGGGCCTGGGGGAGGGGGTCTGTGGGGGTGAGAGAGTGAGTGAGTGATATAAACCAACGCAGGGGTAATTTTAATAAGTTTCCCTGTTAACCCGGAAAGGGAAGAGGTTGCGTATCCGGGTCGGCCAGGGCCAGAGCCGTCCTGAGGAGCCGCCTCCCCGCCGCCGCTGTCGCCCAACGGCCGCCTTCGACGCCAATGGGTGACCCGCGGGAGCTTCGCAGCCGAGCCTCCGGGGCCAACGGCCCCCGGCGCCAGAGATCGAAGGCTCAGGTGAGCGTTGGGCTGGGGGGGGGGAGAGAGAGAGAGAAGGTCGGGTCATCCGGGCACTCCGCTTCCGTTGCCCCCCCCACCTCCCTCCGCTGTTAACGGCACACGGCCAGTCAGTCGTCCCGGCGCTCGCTCGCTTTCCTCGTCTCGCGCCTGCGCCTGGATGCTCCTTGGCTCCCCTGGGTCGCCGGTGTCAGTCTAAGGTTCCCCCCCCCCGCCCTCCCCCTGGGAGTGTGGTAGGTGGTGGGGAGAAAGCGGGGGTTCGGTTAAAATGATTGTATTTTAATATTTTGGTGGAAGCCGCCCAGCCTGGCTGGGGAAACCCAACCAGTTGGGCGAAGGTATAAATAATAAATTGTTGTTATTGTCATTATTATTGCTCGACTCAACACTACTCTCCTTATTATGTACAGGAAATACAATGTACATGCCGTAAGGAAACCAGAAATATATATTACCAATAATATATATAACCAATCACATAATATTATATTATATGGGGGGGGGGAGGTTGCTCCAGCCGCTCTGCGTGCCTTCCTGAATATATATCAGTACATAATAAAACCCTAAACCTTGAAATGCTTCCCTATACAGGGCTGCTTTCTAAACATTATATAGTTACTCACCTGTCATCAATGTCCCTATTATCATTATGTACAAGAAACACAATGTGCGTACCGCTTGGCTGTAAGGAAACCAATGATATATATAACCAATATATAACCAGTCATATAATATATATTGGGGGGGGGGGAGTTGCCCCAGCCACTCTGGTTGGCTTTCAACAAATTAAGCACAGTAAAACACGAACGTTAGAAGCCTTCCTATACAGGGTTGCCTTTCAGATGTCAGTTAGTTGTTTATTTCCTTGACATCTGATGGGAGGGCATTCCAAAAAACAACAACAAAATATTAATATTCTCAGCCAAAACCAGCAGCTTAAAAAGTAGCTGAACCTCATAGAGCTTCCACGCATCTGAATTGGTGTTTTAAGGAGGCTCCAGAAGTGGTGCAGGGAAGGCAAAAGCACCGACTAGGCTTTGGGGAAGAAAGTGGCCAAATTGTAGGACCCTGTCAGAGCCCTCAAGCCTCCTTCCCAAAGTCAGGCGCATCATTTACACAGCTTTGGGGAGGCAGCATGATGCTGAGAACTGACTGCCCCAAATGCCTTGAGGGCTGCATGTGTCCCTTAGGCTGTGCGTTGGATCACCTTGTGCTAAGGGCTTTCATGTTGACCAAAGCACCAAACTTTGAAATGACAGCTGTCAAGGGCCACTCCTTTAACAGACACATTATTTAGATAATATTGATGCAGTGTTGTATGCTGTGTTGTGGTTAGACCCAGCTTCACTGCTGCCTCTCCTTTGCACTTTTTCTCCCTCTGTGCTTTGCTGTCCTGGTTATGGAGACATGGAATATGTTTCTTCTGCTGTCGGTATAGAAACTGTTTGGGCTGGTAAAGCAGGGATGGCGTTCTCTGCTTCATCAGCCAAAAATAGCTTTCTGCAACTGTGGACTTAACAGAATAGGTATGAAAGAATGGTGCATGGCCTAGGGATAATGATAGGGGACTGTTTCCAGGGCTGCAGGCCAGATTAAGCTCATGGACCAGAGGTTCCCCTTCTCTGTGGTTGGAGGTTCAGTTGGCTGACACTGTATAATTTCACTTCCAGCTAACTCAGCACTGATTTGGATCATTGATTTGGATCACAGATTGCTGAGTGCACGTGGATCATTGCCTCTCTTTTTTCTTATTTGCAGAATGTGGCACCAGTGACAGAAGACTTCACGGTGGATCGCTGTTCACCCAAAGTTGGCACCAATAAGCTGCATCAGACAATGTCCTCAGATTCCTCACCAGACTCCAAGTGTCCGATCTGCCTGGACCAGTTTGAAAATGTGGCCTACTTGGACCATTGTTGGCATAAGTTCTGCTTTCGTTGCGTGCAGGAGTGGTCCAAAAACAAGGCCGAATGCCCGCTCTGCAAACAGCCTTTCCACTCCATTGTGCACAGCATGAGATCAGAAGATGACTTTAAGGTTTATACAGTCCGGCCTTCAGACACGGACTATTTCGCTAATCCTGACGGGAGGCGATTCCGTTACCGGACAACTTTAACAAGGGAGCGCCGTACGTCAGCTTATCCCCGGAGAAGTTCCTCTTCTCGAACAACGGTGTCCCCTCCAGACAATGGGATTTTGTTTGAAGGGTTATCCAGCCAGACGACGAGGCAGAGAAATGCAGAAATGCAGCAAATGATCAGGCGTCTAGCTTCGAGGCGACAAGCCTGTTTAGAAGGCAGGTCCATGCGTCAGATTCAAGAACAGGAGATAATCAACTTCCGAAGAGCTCTGTACCGCTCTGGCACACGTGTCAGGAGCATTGAGGACGGAGGGCGCTATAGAGACATATCGGCTGAATTTTTCCGCAGGAATCCTGCCTGCCTCCATAGGCTCGTTCCATGGCTAAAGCGTGAGCTCACAGTCCTGTTCGGCGCTCATGGGTCTCTGGTCAACATTGTGCAGCATATTATCATGAGTAATGTGACCAGATATGATCTGGAGAGCCAGGCATTTGCTGATGACTTAAAGCCTTTCTTACTTCATCGCACGGTGCACTTTCTGCACGAATTCATCAGCTTTGCCAGATGCCCCTTTAACATAGAGGCATACGATCAGCATGCAAATTATGATTGCCCTGCTCCATCCTACGAAGAAGGGAGCCGGTCTGATTCCTCCATTATTACAATCTCTCCAGATGAGGCAGATGCTCAAGAACCAGACCATAGTTCCTTTGCAGCTGGTATTGGTCAGGCACCATGGGATGATGAGACGCCTGGTCCATCGTACTCCACTTCAGAGCAGGTTCGTGCCGCTGTATCTACTGCTTTGGACACTTCGGAAAGCTCTGATGGAGAGCCCTCTGCTAACCCAATTGAGTTGCAGGCTCAGTTACCGGCTATCGTGGAGATGAATGGTGACAGCTGTGATTCCTCCGACAACTGTGTTATTGTTGGCTACGTGAAGCCGTTAGCAGAGAGAACGCCTGAACTAGTGGAGCTGTCTTCCGACTCTGAGGAATCTGCTGGCGAGAAAAGCGAAGATGTGAAGGCAGTGCAGCCCATCCAGTATCACAGTTTTAGTGACACCGATGCCAGTGGGTCCGCATCACCGTTCTCCATTGGGTCTGGAAATGGGAGCACCAGTTATAAAGCCAGCGTATCCCTATCCAATAAAAGGAAATCCAAAAGGAGTGAAAAGGAGGACAGTAGTACAACCAGAGAACCAGCTACCCAATCTTGGCTACAAAGCTCCCCTACAAAAAGAGATGGTGACGATGACTACAGTTTATCCAAAAGGAGGAAATGTGAATCACATTCACGTAGCAGAGAGCATCGTGGCCTGAAAAGCAAGAGGAAGCATCGCAGTATGGAGAAACGGAAAAGGAAAAGAGACAGTAGCAGACATAAGCATAGGAAGGACAAGAAGCGGTCAAGAACCCGAGACAAGAGTCTGTCTCGGAAAAGCCAAGCTCTTTCTGTGAGTAGTGAGAGCATTGAATCTAGAGATCTAAGCCGTTCTAGATCACACAGCAACGACAACAGCAAAAGCAGATCAAAGAGCAAAGACAGTGATTACTACGTAAGAGACAGTTACGTAAGAGACACCAAGTACAAATGGGAGTGCACCATTTACAGCAGAAATTCAGCCCGAGATGGGTATGAATCATCTTACAGGAGAAGGATTCAGGCCAGAGCTCGGTACTCAAGGCAGTCTGCCAGCCCTGACTACAGAATGCAGTCCTTTTCTGAACGGGTGAATACTCGAAATCCAAGAGGTGACAGAGAAAGCAGGTATTACTATTATGAGAGACGCAGATCAAGAAGTCGCTCCAGCAGCAGGTCGAGGACTCCTCCCAGAGGGCCCGAGAGAGTGCGATCTGAGAAGCCCAGCGGGAAAAGGAAATATAAAACCCGTCACCTGGAGAGTGCCCACGCGGGAAATGAGGAAGCCTCTTCGGCAAAAGATGCAAGCGCCCTTGAAAAATACAAGGGCTTTGACAAAAAGAAAGAGAGCTTTTCGGACAGACAGCCTGAGGCCGAGAGTCGGCACAAGAGAAGGATGCAAATATCAAGGAGCCCAAGCGTGGAGATTATTTATGAAGGGAAAGCCACTGAAATGGCAAGGCATCATAAAAAGAAGAGGAAAAGAGAGAGGAAGCCACGCAAGAACCACATTGACCCTTCCCCGTTTTCTTCTCCGGTGGTAATAACAATTGACAGTGACAGTGATAAGGACACTGAGATCCAGGAGAACACAGAGTATGAAAGTAGCATTTCCTGGAGTCCTACAATCCCGCAAAATGAGAGAGAGGCAGAGTCTCCTTCTTCGCTCTTGGAAGCCAGAGACTGTAATTATGACAGAGTTGATGAACTGGAAAGTGTGGACAAGGACAGCATTGTTACTTCAACTACTAGGACGGTGGTAGAAGATGTGACTTCAAATGGGGATGTACAGCCGCAAGGAGCAGCCAGTGGACACACCCCTACTTTGACAGACTGTGGTACTTCATCTAGCATAGGAAATCAGCCTAGCAGTGTAGAAGCTGAATCTGCCAGCCTGTTGCCAACCACCAGAGCGCCTTTGCTGTTAAGGATCTCAAGGAAACTTATTATTGAACATTCATGTCAATTGGACTTGTCAGAGCAGAACGTATAACTCCTAAGACAGAACTGTTTTTGAACGCCCCCCCTACCCCCAATCAGACTTTTCTTGAAAGTGACAAACCTTCTCATGGTTTCTGTGCTAAGAATTATGAAATCACTTATGCATAAAGAAGGACTTGTCCTCCCATTTTTATACATAAGCCCAAGAAAGCAGAACATGACTAATCTCCAACCCCCTTCCCCCTCAGATTTTATGTTTCCTGTGTCACAAAATCATACTGTTCCTCTCCCTGCCCCCCCCCCCCCGCCAGCCACCTCTGTAATATAAACCCTCTGGTATCTCATAGCTTTTTAATATGTAATGTTAGGAAATAAATTCAGGTTTAATTTTGCCATGTCCTTGATCTGCTTAGATTGACTTTGCTTTGTGCCATTGATTCTCCACTTTAATGGATCACTTGCAGACGATATTCTTTTTGCTGCTACTGCCCTCCCCTTCCCAGCTCCTCTCTTCCTGTGCTGCTTCATGCACTCTGGGTGGTACCCAACAAAGTCACACTCAAGAGTAGACCCATTGAAATCAATTAACATTTCAGTGGCTCTACTCTGAATATGATTAACATTGGCTACCACCCTTTTGAAAGCAGTGGGCTGCTGGATCCAGACCTGAGGTACCCTACCCCACCAATAAAGATCCATGGTTGTTAAATAATCTTGATTCAGGCTGCCCTTTGAGCAAGTATTTCATAGGAGTTCTAATAAAGACGTTCCTGAAATCTATTATGTTTACCGTCTACACGCTTGTTTGCTTTCCAGTTTGCGAAAGCTGACCACACATTGAATATTGCTAGATATTGGTTATCTTAAAAACAAAACTGCAGAATTTGTAGATCATCTAGCAGTGTCATTCCTCAATGACGGGAGACGAAGAAATAGTGATTTCCTGTTATTTAAGTGGACTGCCAGCCGAGGATGTAAGGGGAGAAGACATGGGAAGGTGAGAGCTCTGGTTTGGAACCAGCGAAAGGTCCTAAAAGGTTTCGTTGGCTATTCCCCATGAGCAGATCTTGCAAAGTGATGTTTGAGTCGGCTGCTGATGCTGCATAGCAAAATGAGCTGTTTAGAATGAATAGTTAACTTCAGATGTGGGAAAATTGGGTTGGTCTTTAAAAGAGAAATGAAATAGATTTTATACTAAAATACAGAAGAGTGATGTCTTCCTAATTTGCCAGGTTTTTGGGGGGGGGGGTTTGAGTGCTGAGCATTGCTCCTCATAGAGGTTTTAAGCTTTCATCTTCCTATAGACATAAAAATGTAAGTCTCTCATGGTGCAGCTCCTGCTGAAGGATTTGTAGTGCCACACCGCAGTCCTGGATTTGCATGAAGTCAAAGCGCAGCCCCATCGGAGGATTTCAGGCGTTTTATCTCAATCCTGGATTTGCATGAAGTCAGGGTGGCACTAAGACAAGCCGCACAACCGTTGGGAATAAGATGGGAGAGACAGTGAGGGGGAAAGTGGTGATTTTAAACAATGGCAGAAGTTTGGGTAGAGTGAGCAGGGGCTGACACGGGGAAGAATGCCAGTTTAAAACAAGGTTTGAGTTCAATTAAGGAGTTTGGAAAGGCTCTCTTGCATTAGCTTTCTGATGTTGGATTCTGTGTAGTACCCATGTCTGCTAATTCTCTTTGTTAAAACTTTTTTTTTTTTTAAGGAACAACCCCTCAGTGTCCCCCCATCCTTTCTTTACTCAAACCTCTGTGGTTATTTAAAACCACAGTCCTCCGTCTCAGTCCCTTTGCCCGAAAGTCACCCTCTGAGTACAGCAAGGAAGGAGAGATGCTGAAAGGGTGGGAAATGGCCTTTAAAAACTTATTCGATTGCTCACCTGCCTCTCGTGAGACTGAAAAAGGATGAGGAGTCCTCAAGTATTCCATAGTACCTTCTTGCATATGTATTTCACTCCTGGTGTTCTGTGTTGCCTTCAACGCGAAGTTCCAGATTCAATGTACTAATTTAGAAACCAAAATGAAACAAAAAAAGCACCCATATACTGTAGGTACAGCATCCTGCAGATGAACTTCACCTTTGCTAACTGAGCAAGTTAACTTACAGGATTCTATTTATCTTAAAGATAAATCAGCAAGGGGCATGTACACAAAGGGGGCTCCACAATAAAGGCATGGAAATTGCAGTGGGGTTGGGAAGGTGAAAAGCTTAGTAGCATGGGGTAGGAATAGGATGTTATTGGGGATTGAAGGGGGCAGGGGATGGGAGAGTGGAGCAGGCAGGAGCACCACCCCATTTCTTAAATAATGCTGGAAGCTTTCAAGACAATATTAAAATGCTCTGAAATTACAAAAGAAATATGGGAACAGTCATTCAGACCTGCTGTTTATATGGCCTAGTGATTTCATTTCCCACCTCCCCAGGTTCCTTCCGTCTTGCAGATGGTAAAACATTATGAAGGCCAGTGATTGTTTAGTCCATACAAATGAATACTTTTGATTTTGGACAAAAAACTATAAAGAGAGAGAAAGAGATGAAACTTGGCAGCTTTTCCTATGATGAATGAATGGAATTAAGAGCCAGCTGATTATACTTTGTGTGATAAAATTATTGTCTAATCCTAATGGGTCATCGCTTGCTTATAGGCTCCAAAGACCATGAATCTGTTGCATTTTGGAAACTTTGTAAAGCAGTGTTTTATTATGCCTATCCATACATGCCTAGGAGACTTCTATTTTTTTGCTTGGTACACAGTATTTAGGAGCTGCATTCTTTTTTGTTCCCTCTGGGTAATTGTGCAAAACTAAAAAGTTTCCTGTTTAAAACAAGTGAATTCATAGTGGTGTGTCTGCTGCTATTGCAGTTTCTGCATCAGATATTATGACACCACTTGGCTCGGAAAGCTGGAAATGTATGCAGTTTCTGTTTCCATTTCTCAAGATGCAGGGAAGAGAGTGAATTACTGAAGTGGGAACCTGCTTGCTCCTTAAATTTTGTAATAGGGCTGCTTGTCGCAAATTCCTCACGGCGCTTTTAGCAGAATGCTCAGAGTCCCAGGTTCTTTAGTGCAGTATTATTTATTGTGAGCAAAATATATATACAAATATCTACAGAAGCAGTTCGTATAATCAGACAGAGTACCTGGCTGCACCTTGAGGCAAAAGGAAACTCCACAATCATCTACACCACTCCACCACCACCACTATTGGACAGGCTTTACCTTTAAACCGGTGACAGCCAATCACATTACTGCGGAGTCATTCCACAGAGAGTATTGCATCAGCCTGTTGCAAACTGAAGCCTGCAGACTTGCTTACACAGCATCCTGTGAATCCCAACCTGCTGTGTGAGAAATGCAAATCTAAAGCCCCCTTTGGTGGATATGGGTCTTAGCCATAGCTTGGAAAATTTTGGGACACCACAGTAGTGTGCAGATCATGGTACATGGCACATGTTGACAATGTGCTAGATTTTCATAACATTTCCTTTTCGGAGACATTCCTCCTTCCCTCAGTTCCGGCTAAATTTGTGGCTCCAGGTATCTGCTGCTTCTCCAAGGTTGTGGTTGTGGCAATGTCATCTTGGGGGAAGATGTTGTGCAGGGAAAGATGGGAAGGTAGTAGCAGGGGATTCAAGCGGTGGCGAGACCAGAAGACACAGAGGACTCCTCAGCCCTGCACCCATCCTAATAAACCAGGTTCCTGCAATTATTCAGTTAGTGGGAGGATTCTGCAGTATTGGAATGGTTTAATACAGGGCTGCTACAAAAGATAGGAAGAACAGAAGCTGTCTTGTACCAAGGCCAATCCTTAGGAACATGAGAAGAAGAAAGTCCAGCATCCTATTCTATCTCAAGCTACAGGGAACCAGGCAGAGGGCCTTCTCGGTAATGGCGCCCACCCTGTGGAACCGCCCTCCCATCAGATGTCAAGGAGATAAACAACTATCTGACTTTTAGAAGACCTCTGAAGGCAGCCCAGTTTAGGGAAGTTTTTAATGTTTGATGTTTTATCATTATTATTAATATTCTACTGGGAGCCTCCCAGAGTGGCTGGGTTATAAATATTTTATTATTATTATTATTATTATTATTATTATTATTATTATCAAGGGCCAGCCAGATGCTAAGGGAAGTCTACAAGCAGGACCTGAGGGCAACAATTTTCTTCTCACTTGTGATTTCCAGCAGCTGGTATTCAGAGGTGCATCGCCTCTAACACTGGAAGTACAAGATATGATTACTGATCCGTCAAGCTCACTTTTATTTCTACTGGAAGTGTGTGTCCAGTCCTACCTGTATGTTCGCAACAGGCTGAATACTTCCAGCAGGTAGCTATGAAGGGAACAAGCTTGTTTTCCCCTGCTCCAGAGGCTGGGTCTCAAACCAAGGTCTTCAAGTGACAAGCAAGGAGATTCTGGCAGTTGTTGTTCAACAGCGCGGCCGTCTCCCCCAAATGCTCAAAAATTATTGGAAAGCATTTAAAATACAGTGGTACCTCGGGTTACATACGCTTCAGGTTACAGACTCTGCTAACCCAGAAACAGTGCTTCAGGTTAAGAACTTTGCTTCAGGATGAGAACAGAAATCGTGCTCCGGTGGCGTGGCAGCAGCGGGAGGCCCCATTAGCTAAAGTGGTGCTTCAGGTTAAGAACAGTTTCAGGTTAAGAACGGACCTCCGGAACGAATTAAGTACTTAACCCGAGGTACCACTGTATTCAATTAACTGAGATTCTGCCCCCCCCCCCCCTCCCAGCAGCAGAAGCCTGTCTCCCCCCCCCCCCGCCCCCAATGTCCTCCTTGTGCCCCCATGATCACCCCAAAAAAGCTCAACAACCTTTTGGGCCGATTTCCCCAAAAGTTGCTCAACAACCTTTGGGGATGCCCCCCTAACAAAAATCCTGGATACGCACATGTCCCGCCCGCCGCCAACCCCCCCCCCCAAAAAAAAATTGCTGTGGATGAAACTGCTCTTAAAAGGACATTTGCCAGGTGTGATTGTAATTTGGGGAGGGAGGAACCCCTTTTGGAAATGCAGAGTGCGCCCCGTTCTTGGCTGCCTCCTTCCCTGCCCCCGCCGCCGCCCACACGGACCAACCGCATCCCAACTTTCGGTTTCCAATTCGTCACTTTCGATTCGTGCTTTTTGCCGTCGGGGCTTCCCTGTCCTTCCTCGGCCCGTCAGCTGACTTCGAGGAAATGCAGGCACGCCCCCCTCTATAAAGCGCGGGGACGCGGGACTGTGCCCGAGCCAGTCGTGGAAGAAGCGCTCGCGTTCCGCCTGCTGCCTCCGGAACTTGCAACTTTACGCAGCTTTTTTTATATTTTGCAGTATTTAATTTGCGTCAGTCGCGCTGGTGGAGGAGGAAAGGCGCTTGCGAAAAGCGCTGGAGAGAGATCGGCATGAGCGAAGAGGAGAAACGGAGCCTGCAATGCTATCGGCGTTATATCGTGGAGACGCTGAAGCCTGCCTATGTCGTGAGCTACATGAAGGATTGGCTCAGCGATGGTGAGTCACTTGCAAGATGCCTTCTTTGCCTGGCTTTCCCGATGCACTTACTGGAGAGCAGGAAGCAGCGATGGAATAATAATAATAATAATAATAATAAATAATAATAATAATAATAATAATAATAATAATAATAATAATAAATAATTATTTATTATTTATACCCCACCCATCTGGCTGGGTTTCCCCAGCCGCTCTGGGCGGCTTCCAACAAAATTAAAATACAATAGTCTATTAAATATTAAAAGCTTCCCTGAACAGGGCTGCCTTCAGATGTCTTCTAAAAGTCTAGTAGTTGTTTTTCTGTTTGACATCTGGTGGGAGGGCGTTCCACAGGGCGGGTGCCACTACCGAGAAGGCCCTCTGCCTGGTTCCCTGTAACTTGGCTTCTTGCAGCGAGGGAACCTCCAGAAGGCCCTCGGAGCTGGACCTCAGTGTCTGGGCAGAACAATGGGGGTGGAGACGCTCCTTCAGGTATACTGGACCGAGGCCATTTAGGGCTTTAAAGGTCAGCACCAACACTTTGAATTGGGCTCAGAAATGTACTGGGAGCCGATGTAGGTCTTTCAAGACTGGTGTTATGTGGTCTCGGCGGCCGCTCCCAGTCACCAGTCTAGCTGCCGCATTCTGGATTAGTTGTAGCTTCCGGGTCACCTTCAAAGGTAGCCCCACATAGAGCGCATTGCAGTAGTTCAAGCGAGAAATAACTAGAGCATGTGCCACTCTGGCAGGACAGTCCGCGGGCAGGTAGGGTCTCAGCCTGCGTACCAGATGGAGCTGGTAAACAGCTGCCCTGGACACAGGCCTCCATGGACAACTGTGAGTCCAAAATGACTCCCAGGCTACGCAACTGGTCCTTCAGGGGCACAGTTACCCCATTCAAAACCAGGGAGTCCTTCACACCAGCCCGCCCCCTGTCCCCTAAAAACAGTACTTCCGTCTTTTCAGGATTCAACCTCAATCTGTTAGCCACCATCCATCTGCTAACCGCATCAAGACACACAGCACCTTCACCCCCTTTATTTGATTTGAAAGAGAGGCAGAGCTGGGTATTGAAATAAATATTTAATTGCCTCCCCAAGGGCCCCCCTCCTCAGAAGAAGGACCAGGGCCCCGGAAGGAGTGCAAATGAAGGCTCTGTACCGGTTGGGAAGAGACAGAGACCACACCAGGATTGGAAAAAGCAAAGCCTGGTCTTTATTGAAAGAACAGGAAAAAAACAACAACACAAAAAACTGTTGCAACAGGGTCCCTGCTCACGCAATGACACGGAGTCAGAGACCCTGAACAAAGGGACTGCCTTGATTCTTATACCTTTTGATTTTCATTCAGATCAATAGCAAGGAGGTGGGGGGGAAGCGATATGAGGGGTGTGAAGAGTGGATTAACATAAGGTAAGCAGGATGTTGAAAGACTTTCTGGAGGTGTCAATTTGCTGAAGGGCTCAGGTGGTATGTGTCGATCTTCATGTTATTTAATTCTGGATCTGCTTAAAATGGCTTTTCCTTTATCTACAGGAAAACCTCCGCAACTGCTGATAATCAGCATGCAGATGTGAGGCTGGATGTTTGAGAAGATGTTCAGGAAATGACTTAAATGTTAATGTGAAGTCCTATTCTGCATTGCTATCAATTCGGGTGTGATAGCCTGATGTTTGCATATTTTTTTGGAAAATAAGACTGCTTTATTTTGAGCTCATATCTGTGTGTATTCATGGTATGGTTTGCAGACCCAGTAGGAGGCAGTGTGGTGGATTGAGTTTTGGCAGCCTTTTGGATACAATATTGAGTCAAGTATATACATTTTGAAATATTTAGATTGTTACATTCTTTAAAAACTACATTTTGGATACATTCAGAAAAGTACAGCATAGTATGGCATTTCATTAAAGATACATCCACGAATACATTTTAAAAGGATAGCTTCATGGAGAAAGAGGTACACAGGAATGGCAACAGGCACGTTACGTTAAGATGATGCATTAAAAAGGCACACATTATATTACATTCAATGATACGTGAAAAAACACAGTAAGATGGCATCTTCCCAACAATGCATTCTTTAATGGCATCTTCCCAACAATGCGTTCTTTAAGGCACAGTTTATTATTATTGTGGGACTTTGGGGTAGGACGATATCATTAGGATCATTTTACCTTTATTCCCCTCTCTGACCCTGATTCTCCTATGACAATTCCCCTCTCTGAGGCTTAATTTTTTGGGGGGGGAAAATATTGCCTCACATCCATTGCTACATACTCTCCTTCTCCAAGGTGATGCATGGGCAGGACCTCGGGAAGGGTGCGATCGGGTTGCAAGGGTGCAAGAATGGGAGTGTGGGGTAAGGGTGAACGGAAACTGGACATAAGGATAGGAATACATTGTCCGCAGCAGCACAGGAGACCAAGGAAGACAATCAGGGAAATGAATATAATCAGTATGCCTCTTGCTAATTCACGGAGCCAAGAGGTCTGAGGTAGCCATGACCAAGGATCCCAATCGGAAAGACCTTCATGCGGGATCTCCTTCAGAGTATCAGTTAGGGAATCTATGGAGTCAAGGTGTCCAGTGATATTGAGGGTCTGGTCTGAAACAAAGGAACAGCATTCTGTCCCGATTAATTTACACGCACCTCCTTGGGATGACAATAAATAGTCCAGACATAAACGGTTTTGAATGGACATTTTGCGCACTTCAGTGAGCTCGGTAAGGACAGAACGTGTAGTGGCTTCTGACTCTTTCATGAATTGTAACAGGACATCAGCAAGCCTAAGAATGTCTAGGTGATTTGAGAAGGTTCCATAAGCGGGGAGGAGGGCTCGGAGCCACGTTTCCCCATTTGGTTTTGGCTGTGGGTGTGTCGTGGGAATGGGGGATCGCCTGTTTCTCAAGCGGCCGTCAGGTAGAGCTAGGGTAACTCTGAACCCTGGGTGAATGTGGCCAAGGTAACAGGACCCCTGCATATGAACAGAGACCCACGTATAAGCTCTTTGCGCACAGATCCAAAATAGTCCTCCCAGCGGCTTTTTTATACGCCCGGTTTGGAAGGCAGTAATGAGGTCTGGCATAGGTTTTTCTTGAGTGAAGGGTGTCAGTACTGCAGTCAAAGCATCACTGACAGTATCATCCGCAAACTGATGAACACCCAGCCCAAATCTGACAGCGAGGAAATCTGGCTTGGTTGGTGGTGTTTTTAAAGAGTTTCTAAATAGCTGCTCATAGCCCAGTGTCCTTGCAAGTGGCTGTGGGCCCAGATGCCATTGTAGTGCATGGATGCTGGTCTGTTGGACTTGGGCCAGGAAGAGAAGGCATATTCAAATTAAGTGTACATTATTATTATTATTATCTCCTGATTTTAAAACCTCAAAGAAGGTTTTAAAAAAGTATCAAGGGAGCACACTAATTGGTTGTTAGAGGAACTCACTGCCGCAGGATTTGTTGGGGGCCAATAGCTAGCTTTATTTTATTTATTTTTAAATACATCTTATTAGAGTTTATAAAGATAAATACAAAAATTATTGTCACATATCTTTTTTTCTCCTTTTTTTTGGTCCAAACTGAAACATTAATCCAGAGGCAGAAAAGGGAAATAAAAGAAAAGGGAGGGAGAGAAATAAAGAAGGAATAAAAAAAGAATTAAAAGAGAGAAAGAGAAAAAAGAGATGATGAAAAAAGAGATGAGAGCCAGTGTGGTGTAGTGGTTAAGAGCGGTAGTCTCGTAATCTGGGGAACCGGGTTCGCGTCTCCGCTCCTCCACATGCAGCTGCTGGGTGACCTTGGGCTAGTCACACTTCTTTGAAGTCTCTCAGCCTCACTCACCTCACAGAGTGTTTGTTGTGGGGGAGGAAGAGAAAGGAGAATGTTACCCGCTTTGAGACTCCTTAAAGGGAGTGAAAGGCGGGATATCAAATCCAAACTCTTCTTCTTCTTCTTCTTCTTCTTCTTCTTCTTCTTCTTCTTCTTCTTCTTTGTACCCTGCCCATCTGACTGGGTTGTCCCAGCCACTCTGGGCAGCTTCCAACATATTTAAAAACATAATAAAACATTACACATTAAAAAGCTTGCCTATAAAGAGCTGCCTTCAAATGTCTTCTAAAAGTCAGATAGTTGTTTATTTCCTTGACATCTGGTGGGAGGGCGTTCCACAGGGCGGGCGCCACCACCAAGAAGGCCCTCTGCCTGGTTCCCTGTAGCTTCACTTCTCATAGTGAGGCAACCACCAGAAGGCCCTTGGAGCTTAGCCCACAACCCTCAGATTAAGAGCCTTATCCTCTACCGACTGACCTACCCCTGACTTCATTCTTCTGCTTGTTTTTAGAGATGTGGTAACTCTTCTTCGATCCTTGAGAAACTTCTGAAATGAAGTAACACTGCCTTTCCCTTTTTCTTCTTCTTCTACTTGAGATAAGATATTTACTGCAAGAGTCACTGACGGCTGTCTTCTGACTTTATTCCAGAGACTGTGGAGAAAATCCAAAGTCATAAGGAGAAGCCCACCACTGCTGCGGGTTTATTTCTAGACTCGATTGTAAATCTCACGGAAGAGGGATGGTTCCGTGGATTCTTGAACGCGCTGAACACAGCAGGTTTGAGTGTGCTGTAAAAATTTCAAGTTGCTTGATTGCATGAAAATTATTAGCCTACCTGTACCCAACATTGGTTTAGCAAAGTGGTGGTTTGTTTCTTTTTTTATATAATAATTCTTATTAGTTTTCAATTGCAACAATCCAATAATAGCCTCGTTTATAACAATACCAAACTCTGATAATGAGCTGAAAGAACCTTCTCCTCATGGGATCCTGCCAGTGCCGGATTTACGTATAAGCTAAACAAGTTATAGCTTAGGGCCCCACTCTCTTGAGGGCCCCCAATTTTTTAAAAAAAAAACCTGATGTACATTTCCAAAATATAAGATAAAAAACAAATAAAACCTACATACAGCAATGTTTTGTGTTGTGTAGGCTCCTATGATGCAAGTAATGGGCCCTGCCTGCTATCCTGCTCCCTAAAATATCACTTGTTTGCTCCTTTCTATATAAAAGGTACCCCTGGCCGTACGGGCCAGTCGTGTCCGACTCTAGGGTTGTGCGCCCATCTCACTTAAGAGGCCGGGGGCCAGCGCTGTCCGCAGACACTTCCGGGTCACGTGGCCAGCGTGACTAAGCTGCATCTGGCGAGCCAGCACATCACACGGAAACGCCGTTTACCTTCCCGCTAGTAAGCGGTCCCTATTTATCTACTTGCACCCGGGGGTGCTTTCAAACTGCTAGGTTGGCAGGCGCTGGGACCGAGCAACGGGAGTGCACCCCCCCCCCCCGCGCGGGGATTCGAACCGCCGACCTGACGATCGGCAAGTCCTAGGCGCTGAGGTTTTACCCACAGCGCCACCCGGGCTCCCCTTTCTATATATAGGGTGCCTAATATGTATCTTATGATAAAATACATATTTTGTTATGTGCAAATGGCTTTAGATACCTATTAGGTCCGTAAATTACCATATAGCATATAGTCAACACACGCAAAAAGTGACAATTTGTTGTTGACAAAGGACAGCTGGACATATAAAGGGCCCCATTTCCTTCAGTAGTTTAGGGCCTCATCAAACCGAAATCCGGCCCTGGGTCCTGCCTGTGTCTACCTACTACTTTCAAAGAACTTGCTTGCAGCTGCCAAGGGTGATTTCTCCATGAGAGAAGGACAGGCTATGTTCTTCTGGTCAGTTGGGCTCCCCTGTGAAATCCCCACTTCCAGCTGACGTTAGCTTCAGCTAGATGCAGGATTTGGCGGTCAAGCGGTGGCTGCAGTGTGCTTTTGGAGATGGCCTATTTTACAAGCACACGGGCAACATTGTCTCTCCCCTTTTCTTTTCCTTGTTTTGCGGTACATGTGGTAAAATAAAAGGGATCTCTCTCAAAAGAGAATCTAGCCATTGCCCAGTGGTTGCGAGCGAGCATGGAACCAGGGCTGAAGCCAGACATATATTTAAAAAACACTGTGAAAATGTTTTTGTTTTTTTAAAGTTTTAAAATATATATTGAATTTGCCACTAGCTCACCATCGCCATCTAGTGTCACATTTGTATAATGCACTTAAAACGCACTTAAGATGTTATATTTGCAGCTCAGTCCCAAGTGTCTTGAATGCTTTATTCCCGACAAAGGAAAGAAGTTGTTGCTTCGTCGAACCACACCTTTTCTTGGACGTTTTATCCGAAGCTATACATTTCCTCCCCCTCTTGTTTCTAAAGGTTATACCGGCCTCCGTGAAGCCATTGAAAATTGGGATTTTAAGAAAATTCAGAAGCTGGAAGAGCACAGGACGTTGCTGAATCGAATTCTGCCCTCTTTGAGGGAAATTGATCCGGCTCAGATACTACTCCACCTGAACGATTGCCTCATACATGAGGAGTTTGAAGAAATTCGACAGGTATTACAGTGGTACCTCTACTTACGCGCACCTCTGGTTATGTTTCCTTCAGGATATGCATGCGGCAAACCCGGAAGTATTTTTCCGGGTTTCGCAGCATGCGCAGAAGCGTTTTACTGCGCTGCGCGCATGCGCAGGACAGGCACCTCCAGTTGTGAAAACCAACCAGAGCTCTGAAACACATCTCGTCTGCAACCGGAGGTACCACTGTATTTCAGAACAGAAAATACTTGGTAGGCAGGACTTATGGACCGCAATAAGCATGCCTTTATGTATAGCAGAATTGTGTCCCTCCAAGAACCACTTAAGGATGCGGGTGGCGCTGTGGGTTAAACCACAGAGCCTAGGACTTGCCAATCAGAAGGTCGGCGGTTCAAATCCCCGCGACGGGGTAAGCTCCCGTTGCTTGGTCCCTGCTCCGGCCCACCTAGCAGTTCGAAAGCATGTCAAAGTGCAAGTAGATAAATAGGTACCACTCTGGCGGGAAGGTAAACGGTGTTTCCGTGCGCTGCTCTGGTTCGCCAGAAGTGGCTTAGTCATGCTGGCCACATGACCCGGAAGCTGTACGCCAGCTCCCTCGGCCAGTAAAGCGAGATGAGTGCCGCAGCCCCAGAGTCGGCCACGACTGGACCTAATGGTCAGGGGTCCCTTTACCCTTTACCTTTACCTTGAAGAAACACTTCTTCAGGCTTGAACTGATTTGTTTTTTTAAAATCAAATGAACCAGGGAACTGGGGTCCAAGCTTCCAAGAAGGAGGAGTGGCTTTGAGTCACAGAACCTCCCATTTTTGAACTGCATTGCCACGTTTTTTTCCCAGGAGCACCCCCACTGAACATAGTAAGACTTATTTCTGAGTAGGCATGCTTAGGGTCATGCTAGAAATGTTTGAAGTTGCACCTTGAAGATGCTTGAAAATGCACCTGTGCTGACAAACCCCCACTCTTGAAAACAAGCCAGGCTTGTATCTCAGATGAAGGTTTCGTTTTTGGAATAATAAATGTTCAGAGTGGTTTTTACAGTTATATCAAAAATTACCTATTTGGTTATACTATTAGAAATACATAGACAGATAATTATGAAATTATTGTGAGGTTTAATAAGTTAACTGTTTATATTTGGACAGCTTTTCTGCTGTACTTTATTGGAAGGAGAAAAATAATCATTTCCTTAGTAACAATTTAAACCATTTATTTAACAAAAACAATAACATTATAGCATATGTGTCCATGTTTGTTAACTGATGTGGTTAAACATTAAAAAAAAAAACTTAGACTGAGTTTTAGCACACATGAAAAACTTAAAATAAATCCTTATTTCCTACAGTCTTTGGACTATCATGTAACTTAAATAGAAAACTATCTTTAGAAAGATTTTCCTCCAAAAGCATTTTATTTTAAAAATCCAATTTAAATTGACCAAAACAATTGATTTTTTAAAATTATTATTTTCTAAATCATTGATTTTTATCCACCCTGTTTAATTGCTACTTGGCCAGTGTAGAGTTCTGAAGCAGACCTGAAAAACATTAAAATTGTTGCGGAGCAAGTACCCATTCCAGCTAGACGAAAGCATTCAAAGGAGTTGTGGAACAGAGTCGCCAAGGGGTGTGACCCATTGAGAGTTGCAGGGGCTGGATAGAGAGGTCTAAAGGCCTGCCTTTGATATCACCACCCTTCCCCAGGCCTGATGATCCCACCCATACTATAGAGGATGTACCATATTTTTCACTCTATGATGCACTTTTTCCCTGCTAAAAAGTAAGGGGAAATGTGTGTGCGTCTTATGGAGCGAATGCAGGCTGCGCAGCTATCCCAGAAGCCAGAACAGCAGGAGGGATCGCAAAAGCAGCGATCCCTCTTGCTGTTCTGACTTCTGGGATAGCCACGTGAAACCTCTTCAGGACAACAGGAGGAATGTTCCCCCTGCCCTGAAGAGGTTTGGCATGGCTATCCCAGAAGCCAGAACAGCAAGAGGGATCACTGCTTTTGCTGCGCAGCGATCCCTCTTGCTGTTCTGATTTTGCTTTGCTGGAGAGGTGCTTCGCAGCTTTCCCTCTCTGCACAGCGCCCCTTCAGCGAAGCGGGAGGAGAAACGGAGCCCCTTCCATTTCTTCTCCCTCTTTGCTGGAGCGGCGCTGCGCAGAGAGGGAGAGAATTTTTTTTTTCTTGTTCTCCTCTAAAACTAGGTGCGTCTTATGGTCAGGTTCGTCTTATAGAGCAAAAATACGGTATATTTGTTCTCTCTCTCATGCTAATAATTTGGACTTGTATTGCAGGTTAAAAGGAATGAAGGGAATGCAGCGGGTATGAGGAAGCTTGTAGACTGCCTCTGTAGGTCGGATAAGGAAAACTGGCCCAAGACCTTCCAACTGGCGTTGGAGCAGGCCGAATATTACGACCAAAGCGAACTGTGGAATTTGAATGAAGGTAACCGGACAAGTGGTCGTTGGGCCATCTTTAGCCCTTTTCCAGGCCTTCTCAAAATGGGGAGTTGACCCACATGCATGTTGAGGTGAGGATGTCTATGCCAGCTCACCCTACCGCACCCCAGTTCAAGACTTCTCTGCACATTTTGAAAGCCTGGCGCTGTTGCCACCAAAACAACCATTGTGCGAATGTTCGATGCTTTTTCTTTTACCTCATGTTCAGGTAGTGTCGATAACACCTGTGTGGAAATGAGAGATGAAGACGAGGGAGCCTGTGCTGTTGATATCAATATACAGTTTTCTGAAGAAGCCGAATCGGACAATATGAGCGCGAGTCCGGGTTCCTCGTCGTTGGGTAAGACCACCAGAAACTGTGTTAGCATCCATATAAGAATCTGCATCCTATATTTAAATAAATGTAGAAAGGTTAAAAAATTCTCATTAAAAGTCTTTGGATAACCCTACTAGTGTTGTTAATCGCTTACCAAAAAAAAATTAAATATTGTGTAAATTTACTCCAGTCTTTTGGAAGACTTGATCGTTCTGGTTTCAGATTTTTCCCATCAGCTTTGCCAGTCCATCATTTTCATCTGCCACTCTTCTTTTGTTGGTACTTCTTTTGATTCCATTTTTGGGCTAGAAGGGTTCTTGTCACTGTTACTGCATACATGATCAGTCTTTTATCGTTTTTTGGTCTCTCTTCACCTACTATACCCAGTAAAAAGGCTTCTGGTTTTTTTAAAGATTTTCTTTAACTCATTATATATCATCTCCCTGTAAGCTTTTACCTCTTTACGAGTCCACCACATATGGTAAAGGATACCTTCCTTTTCTTTACATTTCCAACACTCGTTAGATCTTGTCCTATACATTTTAGCAAGTATTGATGGTGTTAAATACCATCTATACATCATTTTCATCACATTTTCTTTAAGTGCACCGCATGCAGTAAAATTAATACGTTCATTCCACAGCCTTTCCCAAGACTCTAACTGAATATTATATCCAAGATCTTTAGCCCATTATATAATCACCCCTATTATTACAGCCTTTAAACAGCTGTACACAAACAATTGTATATAAACGTCATATACACTAAAAAAATTGAGACGCTGGCCTGAAAATAATATTGGGATGGAGGGCCATTGCTGAGGGTTGCTTTAGCACTTGTAAGTGCAAGGTTTGTATCGTTACTTAAATAGATAACATGTAAGTTTTAAGAAGTGCCTTTTCCCAAAGTTCTTCTCCCTTGCTTGTGTTCCTAGGTCCTTGCCCCCGATCCGTTTATGTTCCAAAGGAGGCCAGGAGTTACCAGACAGAACTTGCCCGGCCTGCTCTCAGTGGCAAGCATACTATCATCTGTGCCCCTACTGGTAAGTTTATTAAATAGTAATAGTCAGCATTTGGATTGCAACACATTTCACATGTTCAGATTGCTTCACAAACGTCACAGTCATTGCCAGAACACGAGGTAGAAGAGTCAAGACAACCAAATGCAGACAAGTAGGTTATATTTCTTAAATATAATAAAGGTACCCCTGACTGTTAGGTCCCGTCGCGGACGACTCTGGGGTTGCACGCTCATCTCGCTCTATAGGCTGAGGGAGCCGGCATTTGTCCGCAGACAGCTTCTGGGTCATGTGGCCAGCAGGACTAAGCCACTTCTGCCAAACCAGAGCAGCGCACAGAAACGCTGTTTACCCTCCTGCCGGAGCAGTACCTATTTATCTACTTACACTTCGACGTGCTTTTGAACTCCTAGGTGGGCAGGAGCTGGGACCGAACAACGGGAGCTCACCCCCGTCGCGGGGATTCAAACTGCTGACCTTCTGATTGGCAAACCCTAGGCTCTGTGGTTTAGACCACAGCGCCACCCATGTCCCATTAAATATAATAACTTGAACCGATAAACTAGTCAGAGTCAATCTGTGTAACCGGATCAACTAAAGTCCGGGCAGGTGTTCATTAATAGATGGGGGTAATTTCACCTGGGGCATAGAAACTCTGTGTGACTAAGGGATGCCCACAACCCAATGCTGCCTCAGGTAAGTGTTCCATTATTTCTTAAATCTTCTCACCTGCCCGGACCACATGCCCACTAGCCAAATTGAAGGAGCAGTACTCCAACAAACATCATCCTACAGTATGGAATAGGCGGGGGGGGGAGAAGACCCCAGTCGATTAGGGTCTCCCCCCAAAAAAATTCCTATTCTGCCCTTGGAAAACAGATGACTAGCCTGTAGGCCCACACCTCAAAAGGGTGGGGGGAGGTGCCGAATAAAGAAGAGGGGAGAGTGTGGGGCAGAGCAAGCTTAAATAGCTTGTCACCACCTCTTCCCATTGAGCGAAATCGCCCATTGGGCCATAACATTTTCCCCTCGGGAGATACCACCTCTCCTCTTCCAGGGGAGGAGGGGTGTGGCAAATTTATCTCACCCACCCAAAAATGGTGGGAATGGCATTATTACAATAGCCTTAAAAGGCTCAAACTATTCCCATGTTCCAGCTGGGGAACTGAAGTTGTAAGTTCATGACTGTGTTGCTATTTATTTAATGGAGGGAATTTGAGCAGTATACAATCATTAAAATGTTTAAGCAGCTTACAAAAAATACTGGTTGGCTGGCATCTGTCTCGGGAGATGATGGATGACTGCACCTTGGGGCCAAAGCCATTTAGGGCTTCAAAGGTCAGCGCCAGCACTTTGAATTGTGCTCAGAAATGTACTGGAAATGTACATATCTGGATATGTCTGGGGTAGGAGCTGAAATTAGAGACTTGCCCTCTCATAGTCCAAACTCTGAGCCAGGGGATCAGATCCTATGTTGGTACATGCAATACAGTCATCTCCTAGGCAGGTGGTATAGAGGTTGCAGAAAGGTATAAGGCCATTTTGGTTCATTCCAGGAACAGTGAGGTGCTTTTGCTTTGCAAATCTATCCAACCGGCCCTGTCTTCTGCATTCTGTCTTCATAGGTTCTGGGAAGACTTTTGTGTCTATTATGATATGTGACCATCACCTCCGCAACATGCCTTCTGGACGGAAGGGGAAAGTGGTCTTCCTCACGACTAAAGTCCCAGTATATGAACAACAGAAGAAAGTCTTTGAGGAATATTTCAAGGGAAAGTACGACCTTAAGTCCACCTATGTAGTCATTGAGCCTTCTTGAACCCAAACAATTGGGAAAGAAAGGGTTTTTCTATATAGATGCTATACAGAAAGATGCTTCCTAATCTTTCCCGAGAAATGGGTGCCCTATCTCCTCCACCACCAGATGTCTTCCTACCTTCATTGCAAGGAAGAGTTTTGTCTCTGTGTCAGATCTGCAATGCCTGGTCATGCATGGGGGAACCAATCCACAGTTTAACTGGGCTCTGCTACCTAGGGTTGACATCGTCATTCAGCTGCTTGGTCCAGCGTCTGTCAAAACATCATGTGAAGCCAGGAATCCTCCTTGTATAGCAAGGGTTGAAGGCTACTGGTCCCCAAGCCCTGCAGCTGAGAGAGGAGCACAGAGCTTCTCATTCGGACCATCTGCTATCACTGCAGATGACCAAGAAGGAGCACAGGCAGTCACCAGCGGCGGAAGCCACCGCATGGAACTGCCTGTGATTCCCAGCTTCCTTGCTGGCCCTTCCATGTGGCCTGTCTGCCTGCTCTGTAAAGCTCCTCTGAAGGATCGGGTCCATTTAAATGGTAGATGTCGAAAGGACAGAATGCACCGGTTCCGGTAAAACACGTGAGAGAAAATCCAGCAGGTGTTCTAATATACAGAGTATCGGACCAAACCAAAAGCTGTTGTTGTTCAGGTGGATTGAATGCTTTAAAAAAATCTTCAATCAAAGCCCTTCAGAGCAGTCAAATGCTCAAACCCAGGAGTGGCTTGGGAGAGGGATTGGTATCTGCTTGGCCTCTTGGCAGTGGCATTGCCACCACTTCCTGGCGCTCTCACCGGTACCAGTGGCGTAGCCTCAGTTGCCAGTGCCCGGGGCAAGGCACAAAAGGGACAGGCCACCAAGGCTCATGGGCCTGCTTCCTCGTTTGACGGCATGCCACCATGCTTGCGGCTGCCTGCTCCCATGCAAGGGACTCTGTGGCAGCCCCAGGGCAGCAGTGACCCAGCACCCACCACAGCGGTGCCAGCCGTGGTGCGAGAAGCGTGTGGCGCCAAAGGAGGGTGGGCGGCGAGAGGGGGCTCTGCCCCAGCAGGGAAGGGACAGGCCAACTGCTCGCTCTCCACTCACAGCCCACCCGGGTGCTCAGGAGCCACGGGTTGCCGGGCCAGAAAAGGGAGCCACCTCCAGTCTAGCGGCCCAGTTGTGCCCTTCAGAATTTGCGCCCAGGGCGATGGTTCCTGATGCCTTCCCCTCCCCCTCGCTCCTGGTGAGCAGCAGCAGTGCCACTGTGAAGAGGCCAAGTGTAAACTGCCCGCCCTCCCCACCAGCTGCTCCTGCTCAAGCCTTCATTCTTCTAGTATTTGCCAATGGTGAATTGTGGCCTGGTTCAGCCGTTCTTTGACCAGAAAGAGTCTCCTTGTGTTGGATGAGCAGGTGCAGACAGTATATATATAATAATAATAATAATAATAATAATAATAATAATAACAATAATAAAATTTTATTTATACCCCGCCCTTCCTGGTTCAAAAACCGGGCTCAGGGCGGCTAACAACAAATTTAAAACACTTTAAAACACTTAATTATAAAAGCAGCATAAAGTACAGTATAAAAACATGAATAACAATAAAATTCAAAAATCAATTAGATAATCCCTAGGGCTAGCTAGCTGAATTGATCCTACTTGGGCCAGTGAGGAGGCCAGGGGAGAATTAGCTGTGGGGTCTCAGAGCAGTTAATTTTCATAAAAGGGGAGGGAAGAGAAGGGAAATAAAAGATCAGGCTGAATTCAAATTAAAGGCCAGGCGGAATAGCTATGTCTTACAGGCCCAACGGAAGGAGATTAAATCCTGAAGGGCCCTAGTCCTTAATTAATTAAATATTAATTTATTAATTAATTTATTAATTATTAATTAAATACCTGCCACCTTTTGATTTTCCATACATCTTTCCCCTTGCAAATTTCTCCTGGGGGTGCCAAATTACAAAACGATAAAGCAAAAGGTGGAGTGGGGACTTGGGCACGTAGATCTTTCACACGGTGGTATTTTTTAACACCTTCTCATGTGTCTTCAGACCCGCTGAGTCCCCAAGGTGAGCTCCTAGTGTTATCAACGGCGTCTGTCTCCCCCTCTCGCTTCCAGATTCAGTGTTGCAGGCCTGTGTGGGGAAAGCGCAGTGGGTACCCCTTCGGATATGGTTATCGAGGCGAACGATATCACCATCATGACGCCTCAGATTCTCGTGAATTGCCTCAACCACGGAGAGCAAGCTTCCCTCTCGTCGTTCACGCTGATGATTTTCGACGAGTGCCACAACACGACCGGGAATCACCCTTACAGCGTGTTGATGTCCAAGTACTTAGATCTTAAATTTGAGCAAGCCGCAACACCGCTTCCTCAGGTGAGACGTGGTTCAGTCATGGAGAAGGTTTGGGAACGCAGGCCAAAACAACCAAAAAAGCTCAGAGCTTTTTCATGGGTCAACTATTAGAAGCTCAGAAGAATTACATCCGTCTGCCAGGGAAAGTCAGGATGGGTGAAGTCAAAACTAGGGCTGGACGATAGATAGATGTTTTCAACATCACGATATATCACCAGCTAAACATTGCGATATACCACTATATCACGGGGTCTGAAATAAGGATGGAACTATGTTGAGGCATTAAGGGACGTGGGTGGCGCTGTGGGTTAAACCACAGAGCCTAGGAGTTGCCGATCAGAAGGTCGGCGGTTCAAATCCCCGCGACAGGGTGAGCTCCCATTGCTCGGTTCCTGCTCCTGCCAACCTAGCAGTTCGAAAGCACGTCAAAGTGCAAGTAGATAAATAGGTAGATTTTTGCATAACACCCCCCACACATCATGATTTGCAATATATTGCCAGGTCAAAATTCATGAAACCAATATCACGCTATGGATTTCAAACCGGTTTTGGACAATATATCACCCACAATATATCACCCAATAGTCACAACTGCTTTTATAGGTTAGGCCCGGGGTCAAACGCTGCCCTTCAGCTTCTCTGTCTGGTCACAGAGACTCTCCTCAGACCATACCTTTCCATAGAATTACCTCACACCTTCCTTGAGTGTTTCTGCTTCCTTGAAATGTCACCTTGTCCTTTGACGGTGCCTCTCGCTTGCCTAGATGAAAGGGTGGGTGGGTGTAGAAGCTAGCCTAGTGTGCAAAGGTAAAATCTGCATTAACTGCCTTGCCCAGTTTTGTCTCAGATACATAAGCTAGGTGCCAAATGGCTCCTTAAACCAAGGTTGCTCGTATGTATAAACAAGACATGCAGTTTATAGGGACTGAACGTGCCCACAGTTTCCACAGTTGCAGGTGTGCAAATAAATCAAATGCAACGTGTGCTCAGATTGTAGGACTGACGGCCTCCCTTGGAGTTGGCAGTGCCAAGAGCCTGGGTGAGACGGTGCAATACATTTGCAAGATCTGTGCCATGCTGAATGCCGAAGTTATATCGACAGTCAGAGAAAACATAAAGGACCTGGAGGAAGTTGTCTACAAGCCCCAAAAATGTTAGTACGCATCTTAGCTGCTTTCTTTTTGAAGGAATGTAGCTTCCACCCATGCCCATTAGAAAAAGACGCCCAGGGAGATCTACTTACACGGTACAGGAGATTAGAGCTGAGCAAGACTGGGGGGGGGGGTTCAAGTTGTGGTATAGACCCTTGCCACCCCACTGCTCTTTTACATTAATGGCACTGGTAGAGGCTCAAGTGTGGTGGGCAACACTGTGGAACACAAGGAACAGTGGGATTATAGATCACAGCCTGCAGACATCATGGCATGGTGCCTTCCTAAATGGCTCTGCTCTCTTCATACCTTCAGCCAAAGTTGCAATCCTAATCCCACTTACCTGGGAGCCCCAGTGAATTCAATAGAACCTACTTTGGAGTAGACCTGGGACTCAGCTACAATAGTTTTTTTAAAAGTGTTTTAAATGCGTTATAACGCTGTGACACCAGATGACGCAGTAGAGGTATATCCTTCAGCAACGTGATTTCCCATTGTGAGCTCTCCTGAAACTTTTTTTTTTAATGTGTCTAGCTCCAGCCCTGGTAGTAGTAATAATAATAATAATAATAATAATAATAATAATAATAATAATAAATTTATTATTTATACCCTGCCCATCTGGCTGGGTTTCCCCAACCACTCTGAGCAGCTTCCAACAAAGTATTAAAATACAGTAGTCTGTTAAACATTAAAAGCTTCCCTAAATAGGGCTGCCTTCAGATGCCTTCTAAAAGTCCAGTTTTTGTTCTTCTCTCTGACATCTAGTGGGAGGGCGTTCCACAGGGCAGGCACCACTACCGAGAAGGCCCTCTGCCTGGTTCCCTGTAACTAGGCTTCTCGCAGTAAGGGAACCGCGAGAAGGCCCTCGGCACTGACCTTAGTGTCTGGGCAGTACGATGGGGGTGGAGACATCCCTTCAGGTATACTGGGCCGAGGCCATTTAGGGCTTTAAAGGTCAACACCAACACTTTGAATTGTGCTAGGAAACGTACTGGGAGCCAATGTAGGTCTTTCAAGTCTGGTGTTATGTGGTCTCAGTGCCTGCTCCCAGTCACCAGTCTAGCTGCCGCATTCTGGATTAGTTGTAGTTTCCAGGTCACCTTCAAAGGTAGCCCCACGTAGAGCGCATTGCAGTAGTCCAAGAGAGAGATAACTGGTTAGGATTGCGCTGTTATTATTACCCCACCCATTTGTCTGGGTTGTTCCAGCCGCTGTGGCGAGCTTCAAACACACATAAAAACATAATAAAACATCAAACATTAAAAGCTTCCTGATATAGGTCTGCTTTCAGGTGTATTCTAAAAGCTGTATAGTTATTTAGCCCCTTGGCAAGGTGGGCACCACTGCTGAGAAGGCCCTCTGCCTGGTTCCCTGTAGTGTCATTGATTTTTTGGCGATTCCCCTAAAAAAAAGGAGAAAACATGTTTTTTGGGGGAGACTCAACTTTGCCCCTCCCCCCCAAAAAAGCTGAATGGAAACTTTTTGAAATATGGCAACCCTAAGCTAAGGCCATTTTTACTTGTGATAACAGGATTGTGGTCTAATCTACCATGTCATCATTGATTCACTTGTATTGTACTTTCTCCAGTCTGCCAGTTGGACATGGGAAAGTACCTGTCAATTATGGCTTCCCTACATGCGTTGCAGGGGCCGGGCTATGCTTTCTAGCCACAAAGAGAAATTGAGATTGCATGTTGGTCTAAGAGGAGGTCCTCCCCATTTTTGAAAGAACACATTTTCTGTTGGGGTGAGGACCCAAGTAATCATGAACGGATGATCTCAGGTTCCAGGTAATAACATATTGCTAACGTTGGTTCTTCTTTACTGCAGTGACTTGCCTCGTGAAGAAACGTCCCCAAAACCGCTTTGTCACCATTATTGCAGACATGATGTCTGCAACTGAGAGCCTAGCAAGAAAAATCTATGCTATAGGTAAGGGCCTGGAGCAGGCTTAGGGATGCCATTCCTCTGCTACATCTATATGTCTTTGGGACACTTACGTAATGTCTTTGAGGTAGTCACTGTTTTCCCAGCTTAATTATAATGATTATGTCACTTGTTGTTGTTGTAGTGTTACCATCGCAAAGCAATTTACACAGATGATGATGATTTTTTTTTAATTTAAATTTTAAATAATTTTTATTAAGTACAAATTAGAAAACATACATATTTACAACAAAAGAAAATACAAAAGAAAAAGAAAATACATATAACCAAGGAAAAAAATTGGAGAATACTTTGTGTCTTTTCATATTTACAGTTATGTATACCTCTATAAAATGCTATTCACAATAAAGGAGTGAAATGAAAGATAGGATATCAGGAAAAAGAACAAAGAAAAAATAAAGAAGTAAAAGAAAAAGATCATAGGTGGAATTTTTTAAAAAAATTATACATAGCCATTTCCCATCTATATATTCAGTTGCATAATTTCATCTTGTCCTTATCTACCTTAAATAAAGTGGGGTTTTTTTAAAGAGTTCCACTGTTGATGATGATGATTATTATATTTACATCCCGCCTTTTCCCAAGACCAGGAATTAAGGCAGCATACAAATAACATAGAAAAAGTTAAACTCTTAAAACAGTTACTGATAAATACATACATACACAGCTATCTATTTGTGCCTCTGGGGTGAAATCACACCGCAATGCTAGAGTACACCCCCTCAATCTATATCTATATCTTATCTATATCTATATATCTATATCTTATCTAAAGGTTCACACACCGCAAGAGCACTGAGACTTAATGGATTAACTTCACTTTATAAACTATATATAGTTCCTGTTTAGAAAGTGAATTCCATACCTAGGGTTACAAACACACAACATGCATTTAAAAGCAAATGCGTTCACCCAAAGAATCCTGGGAACTGGAGTTTACCACCCACAGAGCCACAATTTCAATCACCCTTCACTACAGTTCCCAGGATTCTTTGGGGAAGTCATGCTTTAAAGGTACGCTGTGTATGCTCCCCGTGCCTCATTTAAGTGGATATCTTTTTACTGAGTTTGGCAATGGCATACCTGTTTTTCCCTCCCCTCACCCCGTCAGATGCTTTGTCTCACATTAAAAGTCGGTGCTTTGGAACCCAGAAATATGAGCAATGGATCGTTGATGTGCAGAAGAAATGCCGAGTGTTGCAGCTGTCTGACAAGGAGGAAGAAAGCCGCGTTTGCAAGGCTCTTTTTATTTACACAGAGCACCTTCGGGTGAGTAGCCACTCTTTCCTCAGAAAGCCAGCCATTTTCCCTCTGCTCTGCGTCCAGGCATGAACAGAGGGATTTGTGTTTAGCCTGTCTCATTTGGGTTGATGTTACAATAGTCATTGATGGACTTCCACACTTGGTGGTCTTGAACTAAGATCACATATTCGTCTCCTTGGGAGCCATTTTGTCGTTCTGTGGCAGCTCTTTCCACTCAGTGAGCTATTCCTCTTCACTGTCTTACCACACATACAGTTCAGGCAGTGTTTTCTATTTGAAGAAAATTACCAAGTTCATGTGGTGAGTTTGCATCCACAAGCTACCTTAGGTGAGAGGGGTTTAAAGCGGGCCTGGCTTGGCCGCCATTTTGTGTCTTGCCAACCCCAAGAAACCTTACTAGACGCTTCTGCTTTGTGGTTGAAGGACACCACTAAAATGTTCTTGACTAGCCCAGATGATACATGTTGAAGATTTCTTTTAGCTTCCTTGAACTCTAATGAATGTGTCTTGCTTCTCTGGACAGAAGATAGAGGGAGATGTCGAAGTGTGTGTAAAAATGGCTGCTCACCCTTTCCCAGGTGGGCGACGGTTGTGACCCCCCTCGCTTAGCCGCTTAGCCGCCATCCCAGGGCGTTCAGAGCTCACGTTGCCGCTTGGGTATCTGGGAATTTCCCCAGCCGGTTGGTCTACTAGGCAGGATTGCCCACCAATCAGAGACCCTTATGACTGGTCAGTGCCTCGCTGGTTGGCCGGGCGTTGTCTTTCATGTCCAACTGGGCAGCGATGCATTTAAGCCGGCAGTGTTGGAGATCTCGGCACAGGGCAGATTGGCCAGTGGTGGCCTTGGGATGGTCACCCCTGTAGATCATCATCTTGGGTAGGCCAAAATCCATGAAATGACCCTCACATGGTTTCAGCCCTCTGGCAGGAGGCTGAAACAGACATACACCCAATGCCTGAGCCAAAGTTCCACTTACATCTGTAATCAATAAAGTTGTGGCCATTTTCTTACTAATAATATTTTTAAAAAAATTTTAACATACAAATTATAATACATACCACAAAACTTCACCACTTATACAATCTTTTTTTCGGACTTCCATCAGCACCTCTGATGATCCACCGTTTTAACCACTTCTTATGCATTTCTTAAATTCATATTGCCCTTAATTATCTTAACTAACCATCCTCCCCTTTATCCATTTTTGATATAGTTCCAATAATTCACCTCACAAAACTTCTTGCAAACCTACAAACGTAGTCTGATCATCACAATTACTTTTCAAATAGTCTGTAAATTTACACCAGTCTTCTGTGAATTTCTGGTCCCGCAGATTTCGAATCCTTCCTGTTAGTTTATCTAGTTCTGCATAGTCCATTAATTTCATCCTCCATACTTCTTTCGTCAGTAATTCCTCTTGCTTCCATTTTTGTGCCAATAATATTCTTGTTGCCGTCGTTGCATATAAAAACAGCTTACATTCTTTTCTATTTATATCACTTCCTACAATGCCCAGTAAAAATGCTTCTTTTTTTAATAAATGTATATTTCAACATTTTTTTCATCTCATTATATATCATTTCCCAGAAGCTTTTAAGTTGTGGCCGTTTTCAACCTAGATCGTTGTTTGCCTGAGTCCATCTTACCACTCCTTGTTTTAACCACAGCCTCTGGCACCACAATTAGCCTTGCGGGCAAAGCCTACATTTATTTTCCTTGCCTTCTGCACCACTGGAAGTTGTGTCATTGAAGATTGTCCAGAAGGGAGCTAGCTGCCCTCAGTCTGAAAAATCTCCCCCCACCTCTGTTTTCGCCCCTAAGTTGTATTACTGATTTCAAAAGCGTTTGAATTTTCCTTTGCATCCAGAAATACAACGACGCCCTCATTATCAATGAAGATGCACGTACTCAAGATGCACTCGCTTACCTGAAGGAGTTCTTTAAGAATATCCGAAGTGGAGGCTTTGATGAAATAGAGGAGAAGCTGACTTTGGATTTTGAAGGTACTTCAAAGGAATACCCAGGGCTTTTTTTTCTCCCAGCACCTCTCAGTTGGGCGCCATTGCCATTCTAAGAGAATGAGGGAGGCGTTCATGAGGTGAGTTCCAGCACCTCTTTTTCTAGAAAAATGGCGCTGGTAATACCTCCTTTCCTGGTGGAGGTGTAGTAGCCAAGTAAATGCATTTGAAGTATAAGTTGGAAACAAGGAGCAAGTTCTCACAAATTTTGTATAGGTAAGGTAAGGTAAAGGTAAAGGACCCCTGGACAGTTAAGTCCTGTCAAAGGCGACTATGGGGTGCGGTGCTGAGGGAGCCGGCATTTGTCCACAGACAGCTTTCCGGGTCATGTGGCCAGCAGGACTAAACTGCTTCTGGTGCAACGGAATACCGTGATGGAAACCAGAGCGCACGGAAACACCATTTACCTTCCCACCGCAGCGGTATCTATTTATCTACTTGCACTGGTGTGCTTTCGAACTGCTAGGTTGGCAGGACCTCGACAGAGCAATGGGAGCTCACCACCACAGATTTGAACTGCTGACCTTCTGATCAGCAAGCCCAAGAGGCTCAGTGGTTTAGACCACAGCGCCACAAGAAGTGAAAAAGAAACAGGAAGTAGCCAAGCTGCCTCAATCCTTTGCTGATGAAACTCTTAAAAGGTTGCTGAGATGATAAAACAAGATCACCCCATGGGTCCTTCCTGAAGTTTTTGGGTGAAATACAGAAAAAAAATATTTGTAAGTTGCTTCAGCTCAGGGCAGGATTTAGGTTTGATGAGGCCCTAAGCTACTGAAGGTAATGGGGCCCTTCATAGGTCCAGCTGTCCTTTGTCAACAACAAATTGTCACTGTTTTTTGTGTTGAATATATGCTATATGGTAATTTATGGACCTAATAGATATCTAAAGCCATTTGCACATAACAAAATATGTATTTTATCAAAGTACATCCAGTTTTTTCCCCTTTAATTTTTTGGGGGACCCCTAAGAGAGTGTGGCCCTAAGCTACAGCTTGTTTAGCTTATACATAAATCCAGCACTGCTTCAGCTAATCTGTTGTTTTTTTTAAAAGAGAAGTAACTAAGCAAGTATTATAGAGAAAAGAAACTAGCAATGGTCCGGTGTACTAGATTCTTCCTTTTTCTTCGGGAGCGGGGGGGGGGGGATGATCTCTCATATATCACACAGACATGGAGATAAAACTTTTTTCTCTGCAGCTAAATTGCCAGAGCTGTGTAAAGATGCTCAGGATGAATCCAATGAAAATCCCAAATTGGAAAGGGTCACTTTTATTCTGGAAGAAGAATACCGCCTCAACCCACAGACACGGACTATTCTCTTTGTGAAGACAAGGGCACTAGTAGCTGTAAGAGAACCTGTCTTAATAGCCCTAATGGGGCAATTGAAAATATCTTGTCTATTTATTCTGTTGTGCTTAGGCTGAAATATGAATCAATAACATTGGCTTCCTAGCCAATAAGTTGTTTTTAAAAATAAATTAGCTGTGCAGTAAAATAATCGTGACATGTCAACATAAAGCACACCATCCAAAAATAATTTTGTTCTGCTGTCTCGTTTCATCAAGAGTAAAATGGCAAGGTTAGGAGTGAAGTTTTGGCTTCTCTCTGTTTGAAAGGATGGATGAGTGCCAATCCAATGTGACATGAATGAGCAGGACTAGAAGCTCTCCCCTTCCTGTGTGTCTGGGAGGAGCAGTTTGGAAACTTGGAAGTTTTGATTATGCATAGCTTTCTATGCTGTCTGTAGGGCTGGTTAAACAACCCATCTTAAGAAATTATGGTTTGTAGGTGGGTTATTTGAAACAAACAACAGCTGACATGTTTGTTTGGATGGCATAGCAAACCACGGTTAGCCAAAAGTTGAAACAGAAGCTTCTGGACTCCTGCCTGTGCCACAGGAGGGGAGAGGGAAGAATATGAACTTAGCTAGGCTCTTTCCCGTTTGTGAGCATCACACTGAATTGTGGTTCAGCATGATGTGTCCCAAGTGTGTCAATGACACTGGCTTTCATGCAGTGTTACCAAAAGAGGACCTGTTGGAGAGGACCTTCTCAAACCGCCCAGAAGGTATATGCTTCAAAGCATAACTTCATTTCAATCCTAGGACAGTTTTTCATGTCCTACGTATTCAGTGCTCTGAATTTTTTTAAGATAGTGACTGGTTAGTGAGTTGAAAAGAACGCTGTGGATTCCTTACAGAATATCTGCCTCAAACTGTTGAGCATCTGTTTGTGTAGATATATGTGGGAGTGTGGCCTAAAGCTCAGTTGAATCAAAGACTGGGTGGAAAGAAATTCTGAGACCAATAAATTTTACAGGCATTGAAGAACTGGATAGAAGAGAACCCCCAACTTCAACACCTGAAGCCAGATGTATTGATGGGCCGTGGAAAAAGGAATCAGCAAACAGGTAAGGGAACTTTGTCTTTTACTAACTTCGTTGAGACAATGCCAATTCAGAACACCACACTATTTAGAACGGTGAATAGCAATGCCTTTGTTAAGGGCAATGCCTGTGTTAATAGCTTTCATTCTGTGGATAATTTTTATTTTTCTTGGTCAAATTTTTTTTTAAAGGTATGACACTCCCGAATCAAAAAGGTGTCTTGGACTCCTTCAAAACCGATGGGGACAGCAAGATGCTCATAGCTACATCTGTTGCCGATGAAGGGATAGATATTGCTCAGTGCAACCTTGTTCTTCTGTATGAATATACGGGCAACGTCATCAAAATGATACAAGTCCGAGGTAGGTGGTGTAATTATTCCATGGTCCATAGGCCATGGATGGTGTTCCAACCAAGGGTGAGCTTATACTGCCAATTGTGCGGCTGCACAATTCGTAGCAGGTTATGCAAGCCGGGAAAGCAGGTGTTTCAAGAGTCTGTTTGTAGACATTGCCTCCATCATGGAACAAAAAATGAGCTTATTGATCCTGGCCATGGTTTTGTTTCTGTTTTGCTTAATAGTTATTACGTTCTTAAAGTGTTTAGAGCAGAGGTAGTCAATGCGGGGGACGAGGGGGGCGCTGTGGTCTAAACCACTGAGCCTCTTGGGCTTGCCGATCGGAAGGTCGGCGGTTCGAATCCCCGCAATGGGGTGAGCTCCCATTGCTCGGTCCCAGCTCCTGCCCACCTAGTAGCTCAAAAGCACACCAGTGCAAGTAGATAAATAGGTGCCGCTCCGGCGGGAAGGTAAACGGCGTTTCTGTGCACTGCTCTGGTTTGCCAGAAGTGGCTTAGTCGTGCTGGCCACACGACCCGGAAGCTGTCTGTGGACAAATGCCGGCTCCCTCGGCCTATAGAGCGAGATGAACACCGCAACCCCAGAGTCGTCCACGACTGGACCTAATGGTCAGGGGTACCTTTATCTTTACCTTTTAGTCAATGTGGTGCCCTCTGGAAAGGCTGGACCCCAACTCCTAGCAATCACCAACATCTGGTACTACAGAAACCAGCAAAATTAAGTCTCTACTTGGGCTGGGTTTCAACATCTGGTTTTCAGCATCATTATATATCACCAGCTAAACATCACAATATACCGATATATCATGGTGTCTGCAATAAGGATGGAGCTATGTGAAGCTTCAGGGTTTTTCCCACATCGTGATTTGTGCATTCATAGCATAGCAGACACACACACATCATAATTCGTGATATATTGCCAGGTCAAAAATAATGAAACTGATATCACGAAATGGACATCAAACTAGTTGTGGACGATATATTGCCCAGCCCTAGTCTCTGCCAGATTAGATTACAGTCTTAATAGGCATGATGCAAAAGGAAGAGGTGGGAAGAACGAGAAGTAAGTTCAAAGTACAATGTGATCACTTTGTAAATGCAAGCATCTGGTAATCTAGCAAGTTAAACATTCTGGGCTAAACCTCCACTGGCCCCATGAAATGTTTGGGAATGTTTGCTGGGGGCAACCTGGAGGGTGGGGGATAGTGGGGCACTTGGAGAGATCGGAACTCACCTTGCTCTACCAACTGAGCTATCCCAGGGCATGTCATGCTCACTCTCATGCCTGGGCTTTCCTGCCCTTCTTCCCCCTCAAAGTGAGTGTGGCAGCGGGTGTCCCTCCACCTTTCCTCGCTCTGTGGTTTCTAAACCTGTTTGTTCTGTGCCGCCTTCAGGACGCGGAAGAGCCAAAGATAGCAAGTGCATCCTTGTGACAAGCAAAAAAGAACAGGAGGAGAACGAGAAATATAACATCTTAAAAGAAGAGATGATGAACCAAGCCATCGAGAAAGTGCAGAAGTGGGATGAGGAGACATTTGCGCAGAAGGTGACTCCATTTTCATACTTTGCTTTCAAACAACAACAACAACAAACCCTCCTCCTGATGGCCCCGTGAGGGAGTTATGGAGCTCAGAGGCAGAGTACCTGGGAGAAGGGCAATAGCTGTCAACGTTTCCCTTTTTTTAAGGGAAATTCCCTTATTCTGAATAGGATTCCTTGCAATAAAATGGAAAAGTTGACAGCTATGGAGGCTCAGCGCAAAGGCTCAGTGGTGGAGCAAGCCAATCGGGCGCCTGGGCCAGTGCACATGCCCTGCGCCCAGGGGCAGGGCCAGCCCCAGCCGTCCATGGGGAGGGGTGAGCCGGGGCAGGATGCTCCGCAGGGCCTCCAAGGAGTCTGGCTGCCTCCTCCCACTCAGCCACCCTACAGCTTGTGGGGAGGCGGTGAGCAGACCGTTTGGGCAGTGTGAAGCTTACACGCGCTCAAGCCACTGTGTTTCTCCCAGGAGAGACGCGTGGCTCAGGCGCACTGCAGGCCCCGCAGTGAGTGCCGCCTGGCATTTTGTCACCCCCCTCAGTGGTGACGCCCAGGACGGCCCACCCCCACCGCACCCCCTTCCTCCACCACTGCAAAGGCCTGCCTAAATTTTGAATGTCTTTAGAAAGCTTCCATATGCCGAGTCAGAACCATTGGCCCATTTAGCACAGATCTGGCCACACTGACGGGCAGTGTCTCTCCAGCAGGCCTAGGTGATAATCTGGTTTTCACCATCCCAATATATCACGCCAGCTAAACATTGAAGTATGTTAGGATTGAAATAAGGATTGGCTGGCTTCATGGTCTTCCCCACATTGTGATTTTTGTATAGCGTGCACACATCATGATTCACAATATATCGCCAGGTCAAAAACTATGAAACCACTATCACAATATGGACTTCAAATCAGTTTTGGACCATATATCACCTGTCTCTAACACACATCATGATTCGCAATATATCGCCAAGTCAAAAATTATAAAACCAATATCACAATATGGACTTCAAACCGGATAGAATTTATTAATATATTACCCAGCCCTACTCTCCAGGGTTTTAGGCAGGAGACATTTCCAACCCAGCTTGGAGATCCACCTTGGGAACTTCAGGATGTACTGTACTTTTCTGTGTGTAAGATAAGGTTTTTCTACGTTAGAATGTATAAAAATTGGGGTTGTCTTATACACGGATTGTGCATGGGGGGGATGGGGGATTGGTTGCTGCCATGAGCACAAGATTGTTAGCGACTACCCACTACACTACTCACTACCCACTGTGGTGTGGGTGATTGGTGGCTGCGTCAAGGGCTTTTGTTGATTGGCTGCTGCTGCGGCAGTTGGGCGGGCTGCTGGTAGCGAGCAGTCAGACGATTGGTGGCTTCTGCGTTGCATTTAATAGAAAGTGTTGTTCAGCCGTGTGAGTGATTTTTGGCAATCCCCCTCCCCCCAAAAAGCTCAACAACAATTTTCTTAATTCCAGGTCCCCAAAAATAGGGGGTGTCTTATACACAGGGGCATGTTATACACAGAAAAATGCGGTAAACCGTGCTCTGCCCCATGACTCTTCGTTGCGTCATTCCCTACATTGAAGTGTTCTGCCCTCCGCAATAATCAGCAGCCTCCAGGAGTATTCTGGCTCCCCAGAGAAGTGGTTATCTCTCGCCCTCTGTTCTAACCACTCCTTTCCCCTTAGATAAGCGACTTGCAGAAGATACAAAAGAAAATTCAAGATTCCAAGAAGAAAGAGCCTCAGCCCAAGCTGGAGACAGGCAAGCGGAAATTGTTGTGTGGGAAGTGTAAAGCACACGCCTGTGACGTGGAAGACATCCGGGTGCTGGAGGTAAACTTACAGTGGGAATTCTTACGCATTATGCCTCACGGAGTGGGTTTTGTGTTGTTGTTGTTTTAACCAATTTTGTCATTTATGGATGAGGGCATGGGTGGTGAATTTTTTGTCACTTGTGTTTCTTCTGCTCAAACTGTGCAGAATGCACAAGAAAGCACACATTTCCTACAAAAGAGACAGAAAACGTTTGATTCTCGAATATGCTAAAGCTATCCAATATTAGAAGCACCTTCAGCGACCTGTTGCCCTCCTATGTTTTGGACTCCCAAGTCACCATCAGCCTTGGCCAATAGGCAGGGATGTTGGGAGTTGTAGCCCAGCCTTGGTTGGGTAGCACCCATATTGGCTTCTGGTTGTGGTGGGATGCAAGTGAAATTCTGTGCACCAAATAAATGATATAATCTGTGTGTGTGTTTGCCCAGGTCCCTTGCTGTGAAAAGCAGGCCATATTTCATGTGTCCAAATGCTTTGAGGGGAAAACAAAAGGGATCCTATGCCTTTGTAAAAATGGATGACCATTTTAGTCAAATGACAAATGTAACCACAGCGGCTCTGTGGCTCACCTATATTGCTGTGGCGAGCGAGGTGTTGCTTCTGCATATTTGTGATCAGATGGAGACATGGAGTAAGATTCTCAAGCAAGGCAAACGTGGTGAATAGAATACACTGAGGTCCAGTGCCGAGGGCCTTCTGGCAGTTCCCTCTCTGCGAGAAGCCAAGTTACAGGGAACCAGGCAGAGGGCCTTCTCAGTAGTGGCACCTGCCCTGTGGAACGCCCTCCCACCAGATGTCAGAGAGAAAAATAACTACCAAATAAATTTTATTATTTATTTATTTATTTATTTATTTATACCCACCCATCTGGCTGGATTTCCCCAGCCACTCTGGGCGGCTTCCAACAAAACACTAAAATACAATAACCTATTAAACATTAAAAGCTTCCCTAAACAGGGCTGCCTTTAGATGTCTTCTAAAAGTTTGGTAGTTATTTTTCTCTTTGACATCTGGTGGGAGGGTGTTCCACAGGGCGGGCGCCACTACCGAGAAGGCCCTCAGAAGTGGCCTTGGCAGCCTGCTTGGGAGAACAGAGTGGTGTGTTTGTATGTGCACACATACACACAAGCCTATTGTGCAAAGGTACTATTGGTTGCTGTGCCCACTTTTGTCTCTAGCCTTGCCAACCTACGTAGCCTGGCCTGTGGACCTCAGGGTGTTGCCCAGAAGGGAATGTGGCTCTTTGGGTGAAAACATTTCCCCACCTTTGTGCAAAGGCAAACCCCGTAAAAATATGGTTGCCATGTTTCAAGAAGAAAAATTCAGTTGTTGGGCTTCTTTTTCCCCCTCTCTTTTTTTGGGGACATTACGAAAACGTTTTTGCTGCTTTTCACTCAAGGTGCAGACTATGCCTGTGTAGAACTAGTCCTAAATCTGGGCCGAATGTTCATGTAACTTGTACATTTTTCTTCTAGGTAGCTCACCACACTGTCATAGATAAGAACTTCAGGAACCGGTATACGACAAGGCCTCATAGCAAACCCGTCCACTGGGGTCACTTTGAGAAAAAAAGCAAGATATACTGCAGCGATGCCAAATGCCAGCATGACTGGGGCATCGCAGTGAAGTACAAGGCATTTGAGGACATACCCATCATAAAAATCGAGAGCTTTTCGGTATACGACGTGGTCAAGGGGAAGCAGGATTATTTCCGGAAATGGAAAGACGTTAATTTTGCGCTGAAAGAATTTGATATTAAAGAAATGTCCAATTAAAATGCAGAACGGGCCAAGCTACTTGTGGAACCTTTGTTCTGAACGAACAAACAGGCACCTTCCATTTTTACAGCTTTTAAAGGGGAAGGCTAACATTGAGTGCATTTGCTGTTAATAGCATTAAACTCTGCATTTTTATCATTGCAATTACAGTGGTGCCTCGCAAGACGAAATTAATCCGTTCCGCTAGTGTCTTCGTCTAGCGGTTTTTTCGTCTTGCGAAGCAACCCTATTAGCGGCTTAACAGATTAGCGCTATTAGCGGTTTAGCGGCTATTAAAGGCTTATCGGTTTAGCGGATTAGCTGCTAAAAGGCTATTAAAGGCTTAGCGGCTTAGATAAAGGGGGGGGAGCGAAAAAAAAATCTCAAGACTCGCAAGACATTTTCGTCTTGCGAAGCAAGCCCATAGGGAAATTCGTCCTGCGAAGCAACTCAAAAACGGAAAACCCTTTCGTCTAGCGGGTTTTCCGTCTTGCGAGGCATTCGTCTTGCGGGGCACCACTGTACTGTAGAAGCTTCATTTGACGTATTTTGTACTTTAGCGCTCTTAGGTGTTAGTCAGCATTGCTTGATCAAATGCCATTCTGCAAAACCTTTGAAAGAACAAAAACTTGGTGGGTTGATTGGAATCTTAACGGTATTTACCACATGCACATTGAAGTTCTTAAATAGATTAAACCTCTCTCCCAGTCACATCTGTCGTGTGTGGCACTCTCTGTGATGGCTTGACAACTTTGTGCACATACTGGAAACTGTAGCTGTTGCCTTACAAAGTTCACACAGAAGCATAATATTGCTTACTTTAATTCGCCTGTGGAAACAACTCAGAGGCTATTAAGAAAAAGGATAACAAGAAGAAGATTGAAAGATGGGACTGGTGAACACTAAAAGCAGCAGAAATATGAGATGATTGGACCCTACTGAACTCGAAGCATGGGAACTCCCAACAAAAAATTATAATTTGGCAAAATATTTGGACTTTATGATATGTATTGGTAAAATTTGGAATGATTAATGTGATATGATTGGATTGTTAAATGGAAAACTTAATAAAAATTATTATTATTTTAAAAAAGGAAACTGTAGCTGTTGCAGCTGTTAGGAAGATACTGTTGTGATTATATCTGCATTTTCTTCTTCCAATAAGGGCAAACAGGCATAAATGATGGTACAGCCTTTGTTTGTAACTAGTCCATAATAAGGTAGGTTGGATTCCAAGGCAGCAAACAACCTTGGGCAAAAAACATTAACTCATGCATGCAAAAAGGTTTCGAGTTCTCTACACTCCTTGTTCCAAATGCCGTCCTCGAGCTACTGTCAAGTCTTTCAAATAACAGAAATTCTTAAAAATTAGTTAATTAAAGCCACTTTAAACCCATTCAGTCTGCGGCATGATTATTGCTCTAGGAATGTTAAGCTCTTTGTAGGTAAATGTGCTATCTAGGAGGGATCAGTCTTAGTATTTGGCCATTTTGACTTAATGGATCATTCAGAATGCTACTCCTAACCAAAAACATGATTCACTGTACCTTAGGGACTTCTATTTCAACCAAATAACAAATAGATGTTACAACAGGAAGTCTCAAATCCGAAGTACAGTGGTACCTCGGTTTACAAACTTAATCCATTCCAGAAGTCTGTTCTTAAACCGAGGTGCGCTTTCCCTAATTAGGCCTTCCGCCACCGGTGCCCTTCAACCGTTCGGATTCCGTTCGTAGACCGAGGTAAAGTTCACTAACCGGAACACTACTTCCTGTTTTGCGGAGTTGGTATACTGAATAAGTTCGTAAACAAGGCTGTTCTTAAACCGAGGTACCACTGTAAAACTATTTTCTGTCAGGAAATGAATACAGATTTGAGTTGCATTTTGCAATCAGTAAGTTTTAGGAGAAATTTAAAAACATTCCGGTCTACCCAGGCATTTGATGGTTGAAAGTCCTGTCCTTGGCACCCCTGAAATTACTAGTTTTAAGAGGAGGTGATTCTTTTTGGAAGGTTTAATTGCATTGCTTTAGTATCAACATGGTTGCTGCGCTAGACTCCTTTGGAGGAAGTTGTGGGATAGATATTTAATAACTATGGCAGCTGCAACATGGATATAAACCCAATTTTCATTGGCACAAAATTGGAAGGGGTTTTTTTGTGTGGAAACACTACTCGTTCAATATCATGCCACTGAAAAACTCTGTTTATATTTTGAACCGGCCTATACACACTGCTTAGTAAACTTAAGCTCAGAAACCAAAATCCACAATATATAAAAACAGGCTTTTAAAAAAGAGAGAGAGGTGGAAACAGTTTTTTTGAAAATAGATTAAATTTTATTATAAATGGTCTTTCATTCTCCCTGCACCTCACACATGATCACAGAAGGAGAGAGCACTCACCCTCTCAGGTATAAGAGCTAAGCCATTTAATAATTTTAGCAGTATTAGATTTTCAAGGGAAATGATTAACTCTTTCAACAGATATGAGACCATCATACTTGATAATTTCATCTCTCAGGCACATGGAACAAAAAACAACTGTCTGTTACTATGTGAAATATTGAAGAAGCTAAGGGTAAGCCCTGTGTTAATCAGAATTTCTTATTCTACTCACCCACACAAAATAAGGTACTGGAGGCAGGATGAGGTCAATGGTGGTCGGGTGGTCAAGGCATCTAGGCTCCCATTCTAATGGTTGTAAAAAAATACCACCTTGAAACACAACCAACACAGGTTTTAGACAATATTTGTGTAGCTTCCCCACAATTACTGTGAATTTCTCATCACAAAAAGGCAGATTTCATGATAACTGGACAGTGGCACGGTCACATTTTGAGACTAGGCAGCCATTTTGCGAATCATATAGTTCAAGATGCCGCCATTACGGAAATAGGTGAGCTCCACGTCCGTGTCAAACCTCATGGTGGCTTGGAAGGTTTTCCCTGTATCCAGCTGTTGAAAGGAGATAGAGAGAGACATATAAAGCATCAGCAAACAGTGCTCAATAGCTCCCTAAGGCACGTGGACCACACCACGATTTCAAACCCTTGCCTCCTGCAGCCCAGTTCAGATGTAGCAACCCTAGTTCAGTCTGGTTTACCAGGCTGGGAACAAGCTATGTGCCCCCCCCCGGCCCACCCCTTACATGCCTTGGTTGAGGGCAAAGCATTCCTTTTTCCTTAAGCCAACTTCCATGTTCCAGCTGATTAAAGAAACTGGCTTGAAAGCTCTCCCCAACCCAGACCCTTCAGGCTCAATGATGATGCCCAACGATGAAGCAACTGCCCAACACATGTGATCTAGCTCAATCGGTAGAGCATGAGACTCTTAATTCCAAGGTCATGGGTTTGAGTCCCACGTTGGGCAAAAAGATTCCTGCATTGCAGGGGGTTGGGCAAGATGACCCCCCCCCCGGGGTCCCTTCCAACTCTACAATTCCATGATTCTACCCATTCATACTAGGTAAAGGTAAGGGACCCCTGACCATTAGGTCCAGTCGCAGCCGACTCAGGGGCTGCGGCGCTCATCTCACTTTACTGGCCGAGGGAGCCGGCGTACAGCTTCTGGGTCATGTGGCCAGCATGACTAAGCCGCTTCTGGCGAACCAGAGCAGTGCATGGAAACACTGTTTACCTTCCCACCGCAGTGGTACCTATTTATCTACTTGCACTTTGACGTGCTTTCGAACTGCTAGGTTGGCAGGAGCAGGGACCGAGCAACGGGAACTCACCCCATCGCGGGGATTCGAACCACTGACCTCCTGATCGGCAAGCCCTAGGCTCTGTGGTTTAACCCACAGCGCCACCTGCATACTACACCTCCCCATAATAAATAGTAACAATTTTACGGCTCCGATTCCATCTTTCCACTCTAGCCTCCATAGTATGAGGAAGCTGTGACTTTTCTGATCAAATAAGGTTAAAGGTAAAGGCCCCTGGACGGTTAAGCCCAGTCAAAGGCGACTATGGTGTTGCAGCGCTCATTTCGCTTTCAGGTGGAGGGAGCCAGTGTTTGTCCACAGACAGCTTTCCGTGTCATGTGGCCAGCATGACTAAACCGCTTCTGGTGCAACGGAACACCATGATGGAAAACAGAGTGCATGGAAACACTGTTTACCTTCTCACCGCAGTGGTATCTATTTATCTACTTGCACTGGTGTGTTTTTGAACTGTTAGGTTGGCAGGAACTGGGACACAGCAACGGGAGCTCACCCCATCACGCAGATTTGAACTGCCAACCTTCCGATCAGCTCAGTGGTTTAGACCACAGCGCCACCCACATCCCTTGATCAAATAAACACAGCACTGTTCATGCGTGATGCAGAAGTGGCAATCAACCTTGTGGGACTTGGGACCCCACTTGGTATACTTTAAGGTGACGTGATATCAATGGGCTTATTGCCTGCACCACATCGTCACCCATGGAATCTCTTACTTTGATCTGGACGTTCATTCTGGGCACTATCGACTCGGGAATGATGATTGTGTAGCGTTCCCGCCCCGTCAGCCCAAGACTATCAGCATCCTCTCCAGGCAAATACTGCAGAGGAATCACTCCCATTCCCACGAGATTACTGCGGTGGATCCGCTCGTAGCTCTCTGCGAGGACAGCTTTGATGCCCTGAAAAACACACACAGAGAGAAAGCACATGGGTAACAACATTAGATGACTGGCGGATGTAGCCACTGGGTCTGACGGTGGCCTCTGATGGCTGAGACACTAGTTGGGTACTAGCCCTGAATCCATCAGATAATGATAATAATAATGATGATGATGATGATGATGATAATTTATTATGTAAATTATTTATTATGCGTCCCCCCAGCCACTCTGAGCGGCCTCCAACAAAACACCAAAATACAATAACCTATTAAACATTAAAAAGCTTCCCTAAACAGGGCTGCCTTTAGATTTCTTCTAAAAGTTTGGTAGTTATTTTTCTCTTTGACAACTGGTGGGAGGGCGTTCCACAGGGTGGGCGCCACTACCAAGAAGGCCCTCTGCCTGGTTCCCTGTAACTTGGCTTCTCACAGCGAGGGAACCAGTAGAAGGCCCTTGGAGCTGGACCTCAGTGTCCGGGCAGAACGATGGAGGTGGAGACGCTCCTTCAGGTATACTGGACCGAGGCCGTTTAGGGCTTTAAAGGTCAGCACCAACACTTTGAATTGTGCTCGGAAACGTACTGGGAGTTAGTGTAGGTCTTTCAAGACCGGTGTTATATGGTCTCGGTGGCCGCTCCCAGTCACCAGTCTAGCTGCCGCATTCTGGATTAATTGTAGTTTCAAGGTCACTTTCAAAGGTAGCCCCACATAGAGCGCATTGCAGTAGTCCAAGCGAGAGATAACCAGAGCATGCACCACTCTGGCGAGACAGATCCCAGGCTGATTCAGCTCTGTCCTCTCCCTGCCCTTGGAACACCCCATTTTGAGGTCTCCTGCATGTTTGGGGGAAGAAGAGAGATTGGTTGCACCCAGCAGGTGTTTAGCTGGCAGGAGACTCGCACAGTGCCACCCCCACCCCCACCCCAAAACTTGCATAAGGGTTTTCATCTTTGTCTTGCTTGGTTAACCTAAAGCAGGCATGTCCAACTCCCAAGAGACTGCAATCTACTCCCACTATAAAAAAACTGGCAGTGCTCTATCCATTGGATTGAGCTTTTTTTTGGGGGGGGGGGAGGTTTTACCAAAGTTGTCGAACTTCACCCAGGGGTGGGGTGTCCTAAAGCATGACTGACCTAAAGCATTTGCAAATATATCTTTTATTTCCAGTTTGTGCATTGTGGCCGATTGCAAAGTTCTCTTGGGTAAAGTTCTCAATAGGCATTTATATGCCACTAACTAATATTCATTGAACACACTAATATTCATTTAACACACACACCCCGAATTTAAGATCAAATTTGAATCCAGCCTTGCATTTGCAGAGTTCAAAAAGTTAGTAATTGTGTGGAGAAATGCAACTCTCTTTGGATACTGCAGTTCAAACTCAACTTTTTGTTCCTTGTCTTCACTTTGGCAGCAAGCATTTCATAACCATGGATAGCAATGAGATACGCTTGGGTTGCGAATGTGATCCGTGCAGGAGACATGTTCGCAACCCGCAGCGTTTGCAACCAGCAGCACTGCATCTGCGCATGCGCGGGTTGTGATTCGGCGCTTCTGCGCATGCGCAACCGCCAAAACCCAGAAGTAACCCGTTCTGGTACTTCCAGGTTTCGGCGAGTCCATAACACACACAAAACGCAACCTGAAGCATCTGGAACCCGAAGTATGACTGTACTGTTAAGTTATGTGAAGGTTTCAAGGCTGCCATTTTTATTTTATTTCATTTTTTTAAAACAACTTTTTTATTCAAAATTAAAACAAAACATATTATCCAGAAACATATCATCCTTATTTCCCCCCATTTTTCCTCCCTCCCCCCACAGAACCCACCCACCCCCCGACTTCCCGCAGTTCCAGTCTTTGATTTTTTCTAAAAATGCTGTTTTCTGCATGTTACACAGTTGTATAGATCCTCAAACTATTTAGCTGATTATTATCAATAAAAGGTTTGTGAATGTTTATTCAAGAAAGGCTGCCATTTTTCAAAACGCCAAGATCGGATATGGCCAAACTTTGGTGTAATATTTAGCTATGGGGCATTGCTTGCAGCAGACAGCTGAACACAGGACACCCCCCTTCGCCATCCCAAACGCAGACCACTCACCAGCAGAAAAGGCCCTTTCGCAGCCCAGTCTCGGGAGCTCCCGGAGCCATACTCCTTGCCAGCCAGCACGATAAGTGGGAGGCCTGCTTGCTGGTACCTCTCGGAAGCATCAAACACGTCAAGCTGTAAGCATACAGGGCAACTGATGTCTACAGGAAGAGCAATGAAACACTGCCCAACACTTTCACGCCTAAAGCAAACTGAGCCTCAAAAATCACCCAATGATTTGGAGGGAAAAAATAATGCAATATAAAAATACTGTTCACTGCAGAATTAAGTTAAAAACAAACAGCAGGGTTAAGTCGCGTCACGAAAAGCCAAGAAAGCAAAAATTATCTGAGGTGCTTAGTTGGCTGCGTGGAACCCTGAACACATAGGCTTTCCCTTCAAAGAAGAGGCATACTGTATTTTTCACTCCATAAGACGCACCTTTTCCCTCCTAAAAAGTAAGGGGAAATGTGTGTGTGTGTGTGTTATGGAGCGAATGCAGGGGGGAGGCAGGCAGGAAAAGCCCCCAAGAGCTGCACAAAAGCTCCGCGCGCCTCTTGCAGGCTTTTCCCCAGGAGGGAGAAGGGACTGACGCGGCTAGTCAGTCCCTTCTCCCTCCTCATAGAAAAGCCCGCAGGAGCAGTGAGCTCCTTAAAGGGTGTGCGGCTCCTGTGGGATTTTGTGGGAGGTGGGTGAATTGCCATAGCTGCGCGCAGCCTCTCCCGACTGGAGAAGCTGCGCGCGGCTAAAGAAGCCAAGACAGGGAGCGGGATCCATCCCGCTGGCTGTCTTGGCTTCCTCTTTAGCCCCGTGCAACCTCTCCGGCCGGAGAGGCTGCGCATGGCTATGGCACAAGCCAAGAAAGCCAGTGGGATGGATCTCGCTCGCTGTCTTGGCTTCTTTGCTCTTTGGGGCTGGGGGGGGGGGGGACCTGGGCTTCCCCCAGCAGCCCTGAGAAGCTCTGGGAGAAGCGGACAGGCTTTTTTTTCTTGATTTCCCCCTCTAAAAACTAGGTGCGCCTTATGGTCCAGTGTCTTACGGAGCGAAAAATATGGTGATTCGAGTCTCCCTCCACGTACCATTCCTGTACTTGGAGGGCTAAAAGTGAAGAAGCTTTAAAGCACTGGTGAGCAACCATGAAGCCCCCACCCACCTTTCGAAGCTGTTGCATTCTTCGATTGCATCATTTCCTGTACATTCCTTCCCCTTCCTTGACCCTCTCGATTATGCATTTAGAATAGCAACACACTAAAGCCAGAAAGGAATCGCTCTCACTTGATTTCCATAACATTAGCTATACTGATCAGCTGTAGTACCACCCCCCCAAAAAAAAACCACACACACCTCTGTATACTTATTTGAATGCAACTCCATCAAACCTAGTGGGGATTATTTCTGAGTTAGCCCATACAGGATTGGGACCATTAATGTGATACGGCTAAAGTGAAAATTAAAGCACAGTGGTCTTTATTCCACACTGGTTAATCCAGAACACATTTTGCATCTGGCTCCACCTACTCCTGGCATGTCCTCCCCACAACAGATTACCGTATTTTTCGCTCTATAGGACGTACTTTTTCCCCTCCAAAAATTAAGGGGAAATGTGTGTGTGTCCTATGGAGCGAATGCAGGCTCCTTGGCTTCAGCGATAGCAACGCAAAGCCTCCGAAGCGCAGAGGGAGCGCTCCCTCTGCGCTCCGAAGGCTTCGCGTTCCTTTTGCTAAAGCCGGGACAGCAAGACTCTCCTGGCTTCAGCAGAGAGGGAGAGCTGCGCAGTGCCCCTTCAGCGAAGCGGGAGGAGAAATAGAAGGGGCTCCATTTCTCCTGCTGCTTCGCTGAAGGGGCGCTGAGCAGAGAGGGGGAGAATTCTTTTTTTCCTGTTCTCCCCCTCCTATGGTCTGGTGCGTCCTATGGTCCGGTGCATCATATAGAGCGAAAAATACGGTACTCCCCAGGGGAAGTGGCCCTCAAGAGATAAAAAAGGTTGCCTACCCCCAGGGCTTTTTTTCAGCCAGAACTTTGTTCCGGCACCTGTTCCACCAAGGACAGGTGGCTGTCCTTGCCATTTTAAGAGAACGAGACAAGTTCGTGGTGAGTTCCAGCACCCCTTTTTCTAGAAAAATAGCACTGCCTACCCCTGTGTTTAAAATGGGGGGTCATCCTGTTTCAAACAGCGCCAAGGCCGATGCAGACAAGAATACTCACAGTTTCATCAGACGGGAAGTGGATAGTTTGCGGGGCCTGCTTGTTGAGAAATTTGTTCAGCAGGCGTATGTTTGCAAACGTTCCCCTAGCCATGACGGCGTCGTTGCCCCGGCGCGAACCGTACGAGTTGAACTCTCTGGGAGTTAGGCTAGCAAGACAAAAAGAAGGCAATCCTCAGATTTATGAGCTAGAAGGCTGCGCAGTTAACTAAAAGGAACCTGAAACGTTCACTTCTGCAACTTGTGGCCAGGGTGACTCGGTTTTTTTATTTCTGGCTTTCAAAAACACCTCCCCCAGCAGCCTGTGCAGACAGTTTAACCCAACATAATAATAATAAAATAATAATAATAATAATTTTATTTTATTTTATTTGTCCCTTAAAAAAAAAAAAATTTGACCAAGCAACAATCACAAATAGACAAGAACAAAAACATGCACCCCTCCCCTCAGACCATTCCATTGTAGCTATCCAACCTCCCAAAATTTCAACACCTCTTGCGGTGGTTTGACCCCTTTCCGTTTTAACAGTATGAATGCCATCTAATGAGATGCCCTCGCCCCTGGATGCTCTAAGCCAGGCATAGGCAAACTCGGCCCTCCAGATGCTTTGAGACTACAAGTCCTATCATCCCTGACCATTGATCCTGTTAGCTAGGGATGATGGGAGCTGTAGTCCCAAAACATCCGGAGGGCAGAGTTTGCCCATGCCTGCTCTAAGCATCTTCCTTTATACCAACAAAGTATTAAAATACAGTAGTATGTTAAACATTACAAGCTTCCCTAAAGAGGGCTGCCTTCATTTGTGGATCAGGGTGCCCCCCTGGATTTTTGAATTTTGGATTTTGGATTTTTGAACCCCAATTTGAACCCGGATCATCCAATGGCCAGTGTGAAGGGAGGATGGGAGCTGAAGTCCAAAAAGAACCTGGAGCGCCGCAGGTTGTTACGGAACAGAGAAGTCAGTTAAGCGGAATGGGAGGGAAGTGAGGGGGGAATCATAGAACTGTCAAGTTGTAAAGGCCACGGGGAGGTCATCTAGTCTAACCCCTTTGCAATGCAGGAATCTTTTGCCCAAAGTGGGACTTGAACCCACAACCCTGAGATTAAGAGCCTCATGCTCTACCAACTAAGCTAGGGAAATAATCACACTAGGCCTTTGAACCTCCTGATGTTGAAATACAACTCCTATCGTCCTTGCCCATTGGCCATTCTTGCTGGAGCAGATGGATGTGGACATCTGATCTAAGGACATACAGAGAGAGAAACTTTTATGCTTGACTCACCCTCTGCTGGTTAAATAACGAGCAGCTGGGCTGTTTCTTGCTATGTTCCCAGCAGGAGAGATATGATCCGTGGTCACAGAGTCACCAAGATTGAGCAGGACGTAGGCGTCAACTATGGATTTCAGTGGCGGGAGCTCCAAAGTCTGAGAGAACACCACACAAAAGTAGTTATTTAAAAACAAACACATGTACAAGCGTCAGCTGTACAAATTTGCAACTGCTACCTTCATCCAAACTATTAAAAAAAACCCTTGATAGGCTTGATCAAATCTGGAAAACCAAACTAGGTGTGATGGCTCCCTTCCCTGCTCAAGATATTTTTCAGAAATATATTTGTGCAGAAAGTGGACAGATGCACCGCCTCTATTTTGGATGGTTAGGGTGCAAGTGCCATTGCTTATGTAGCCTTTATGGCATTGTCCATAGACAACAGGAAGATATTAGCAGGAACCTCAAGGTTTGCAGAAAAACAAACCTATCTTTATTAGGGTGCGGAGGGCAGAATGCTATGGGTGGCTCAGTGCAGACTGAGCATGTTGAAAATGCTGACTTGACTGTTGGGGGTTAACAACAGAACAGTGTCTGGAATCTAGAGCAGTAAGGTAAAGGTAAAGGGATCCCTGACCGTTAGGTCCAGTCGTGACCGACTCTGGGGTTGCGGTGCTCATCTCGCTTTACTGGCCGCTTTACATGTGGCCAGCATGACTAAGCCACTTCTGGCGAACCAGAGCAGCGCACGGAAACGCCGTTTACCTTCCCGCCGGAGTGGTACCTATTTATCTACTTGCACTTTGACGTGCTTTCGAACTGCTAGGTTGGCAGGAGCTGGGACAGAGCAACGGGAGCTCACCCCGTCACGGGGATTCGAACCGCCGACCTTCTGATCGGCAAGCCCTAGGCTCTGTGGTTTAACCCACAGCGCCACCTGCGACCCAGAATCTGGAATCTAAAGCAGTCGGACCCCACAAAACAACATTTTGTTGCAGCAGTCACTGGAAAGACTGCGTTTTTATATTGTTATAACCTGCCCTGGGAGCTTATGGTGAAGGGCAGAGAAGAAGTAAAATGAAATGTGCAGCCTCAATGGGGCTACTCAACACAGCCTGACTCATATGCTGTTCTTAAGCATGAGCATAACTACAGAATAGGGCTCTCTTGAGGCATGAGATTTGTACTTAAAAGTACATTTCAAGGTGCATTTCAGAGCATTCTCGAAGAAAGACAGTCTGCAAAGCTTCTATCATTGTTAAAACTAGCCAAAAGGGAAAAAAAAGTCCTTCTCAATCTGGCCAGTAAAATCTAACCAAATAAACAAGGGGAAGTGAAACACACTTACCAGATTTTCAAAAAATGGAGGTGATTTAATATATGTGGATTTGGGGTCCCAAGCATATAGCTTGTCTGCTGGAACATCTAATGCATTCCAAGCTTTGTTTACTGTCTGCAAGAGAGAAGAGAAAAAAGGATAGAAAACAACCTTTATAGGGTGCAACATTTTAAATATATACCTTCCAGTATGTAAAAAGTGGGCTAGGCAGACTCTCTAATACAGGTTGGGAAAAACTGAACCACAGTTGCCTGGAAATCTGTTTGATAACCCTCAGCAAATACAGCAGAGAGCTAGAATCTTAGGATCACCAAAGCCATTTTGCTGTGAGCTCTGCTTCTGAGGAGCAACTGTCTCATTTTTCATGTGAATTGCGACAGTACAAACTAAGTTCCTTGGATTCACAGACTGTCACTATTTTTTTCTGGAGGGACTGGAGCGCATACTGAAAACTGAGCTTTGCACAATTGAAGGAGTGCAAAGCGCTCTGTCGCCCCAGTGCAACAAATCCATTTTATGAAAGGCGAAACACTACCAGCCTTTTTGCAGGTAGGAAAGTGATGGGGAAATCCATTGAAAAGTGTGGGGTGAACAAATGATTAATGGGAAGATGCATGCACAACCCTCAAGCAAATCAGGATGAATGTTCATTGTTGTAAAACTGCCCCGTAAGCAAATCAGAACAGATGCTTAATAAAGATTGGACATAAGTCTATTCTTCGCATAAGCTTTGTGCAAGCAAATCAGAGTGAATGCTCATTGAACAGTTTGTCTGGAGAAGCCTAAAATCCTTTCTCCTGTTCAGAATCAGCCCAGCCATTTCTCCCCAGAGATGCCCTCACCCAGGTAATTAGCAGTAAAAATCACCATCTGGCTGTGTTGGGCTTCCAGAGGGCAAGGATGGTGTTAACAGTTTGCAAGGATGGGCAAAAATGCCCTACTCAGCAGGAGAACATTAGCTCAATATTGCTCCATGTTTTTTGTTTTCATTCCTTGAGGCAACCTTGAAGTAAATTAGGGCTGGGGATACTCCCTACTAATAAAGTAAAATAAAAGGAACTGGAAAATCCAAATCCCTCACCATGAACAATTTATTCCTGCGGCTTGCAGAAATCACACACTTTTACACAATTGGGAACATTTATTCTAGGGTTGCTAATGATAGGGAGGAAAAAGGAAGCCCTGTAATACTATAATATTAATGAAAGTCAAAGGAATTTGAAGCCGGAACTCAATATTGCATTCTGCACCTGTCTAATATTTGTTAACAACACTTTATTGTAGTCCTGGGCAGACATTAACTCGAGGAACCAATCTTCCTACAATTAAAAATGGGAATTACATTAAACATCTATACAAAACATTTAGGCAAAGCATGTATTTAGAACATCTGCTGAGATCGAAAGCCGTAAATAATGCAATTGCTCTATGTATTAACACCACATTTACCTCTATTTTCTGGTAGACCTCTTTAAACATCCCTGGAATGACATACTGGCGCTCAACAGCTTGGATCTCATCCCTCATGGGCCAAATGTCTCTTAAAAAGATCTTCTTCCCTTGTGCGTTTACACCTGTAAGAAAGTAAAGTACGCAGGCTATAAACTAGGGAGAAAACATTCAAAAAATGCTGTGTGTACACTGCGCACGGCCACTTCAATAAACACCTACATTTCTTGGAAGCTTGATATGGATTTGGCATATGGAAGGTAAACAAGACCCATTAAAACACAGACACTCTTATGGATCCTGACGTTTAAAGTGAATTACATAAAAAGTGCTTCGCAGACTGGAGCCAGAGGACTTGACATATCATCTCTTCCTCTATGTACTTGCCTGTGCCCTGAGATAATAAACAGAGACCTTTCTCAGAGTGCCCCACCAGCTGGGAAACCACAGGTAGAGATGAAGAAAGGGGCTCCTCAGCACTTGGTACCTGGGTTTTGCTCTCTGATAATATTATTTTGCTGCCTGTTTTTTCATTTCTTTAAGTAATCGTTCTGAGTGCTGTTTTTGTATTGTATTTGTTGATTTTGTGATTTCGCCTTTTGCTATTTCTTCGCATATTTAGTTGTTTAGTCATGTCTGACTCTTCGTGACCCCATGGACCAGAGCACTCCAGGCACTCCTGTCTTCCACTGCCTCCCGCAGTTTGGTCAAACTCACGCTGGTAGCTTCGAGAACACTATCCAACCATCTCGTCCTCTGTTGTCCCCTTCTCCTTGTGCCCTCCATCTTTCCCAACATCAGGGTCTTTTCCAGGGAGTCTTCTCTTCTCATGAGGTGGCCAAAGTATTGGAGCCTCAGCTTCACGATCTGTCCTTCCAGTGAGCACTCAGGGCTGATTTCCTTCAGAATGGATAGGTTTGATCTTCTTGTAGTCCATGGGACTCTCAAGAGTCTCCTCCAGCACCATAATTCAAAAGCATCAATTCTTCGGCAATCAGCCTTCTTTATGGTCCATGTCTCACTTCCATACATCACTACTGGGAAAGCCATAGCTTTGACTATACGGACCTTTGTCAGCACGGTGATGTCTCTACTTTTTAAGATGCTGTCTAGGTTTGTCATTGCTTTTCTCCCAAGAAGCAGGCGTCTTTTAATTTCATGGCTGCTGTCACCATCTGCAGTGATCATGGAGCCCAAGAAAGTAAAATCTCTCACTGCCTCCATTTCTTCCCCTTCTATTTGCCAGGAGGTGATGGGACCAGTGGCCATGATCTTCGTTTTTTTGATGTTGAGCTTCAGACTATATTTTGCGCTCTCCTCTTTCACCCTCATTAAAAGGTTCTTTAATTCCTCCTCACTTTCTGCCATCAAGGTTGTGTCATCTGCATATCTGAGGTTATTGATATTTCTCCCGGCAATCTTAATTCCGGCTAGGGATTCATCCAGCCCAGCCTTTCACATGATCAAAGCTGGTAGATACACAAAATTAAAAGGGTTCATTATTCCCCAAGCGATGCCTTACCTAGAGGTTCCTTCTCAAAGTCAATCCTTATGGTTCCTGCAATGGCATATGCTATTACCAATGGTGGGGAGGCCAGGTAATTGGCACGAGTATTGGGGTGGACACGGCCCTCAAAGTTTCTGTTTCCAGAGAGGACACCCACAGCTACAAGGTCTCCCTGTGCAGAGGGGAAGAAGGGAACAGGATAACACATTTACAAATGCTACAGCTTCTACTGTCTCACATCTAGAAGACCTGGGAATGGGGAGGGAGAGAGGATATCACTGAGCTGTGCTCACAGTTCCAGGAAATACCCAACAAGGGCTTTCATGAGCTCTGGATCTGAAGCCGAGTAGCGGGATCACAAATACTCAGCTTCCATCAGAGTGAGATTGAAAAATCCCTAGACTAATTGGTCTATTGAACAAAGTCGGATAAATGTAAAATGTAGTAAAACAGACGCTTTCTGAGAACACACAATGTCCACTGCAAAAGCCTTCTATTCTGTTTGCTGCAAGCCACCAGCAATGCATATTTATTTTTAAAAAAATACAAGTTCCACTGCTATTTCACTTGCACCTAAGTCCTACAGGATGTCTGTCAATTAATTTTTATTACGGTGAAAAGACCAGACAACAAAAATAACAACAACAACAACAATTTGCTTGCTTGTAGCCAAGCAGGTAGCGCGGTGGTGTAAATCACAGAGCCTAGGGCTTGCCGATCAGAAGGTTGGCGGTTTGAATCCCCGCGACAGGGTGAGCTCCTGCTCCTGCCAACCCAGCAGTTCGAAAGCACGTCAAAGTGCAAGTAGATAAATAGGTACCGCTCTGGCAGGACGGTAAATGGCGTTTGCGTGCACTGCTCTGGTTCGCCAGAAGTGGCTTAGTCATGCTGGCCACATGACCCAGAAGCTGTCTGCAACCCCAGAGTCGTCCGTGACTGGACTTAACCATCAGGGGTCCCTTTACCTTTTAGCCATTTGTAACCAAAATGGAAGTCTGTATTTGACATCTCTAATAGCGGAATATGGGGCACAAGACTTGACTTACCTGAGTAATGGCTTCGACAACTGGTTCTGGCAGAGGCCCGCTGTTGCCAATGCATGTCATACATCCATAACCTACCACATCAAACCTGCAGACAGCATGAAACAGGTTCTGTATTTGATGGATATATACACATATGCATATTAACTATAAAGCATACTATTTGCCAAAAAAGAAAGAAAGAGCACAGTAGGATATGCTTGTGCAGGCAGAACACCTGCAATAGTGCAATGTTGAATTCCACCCTCTGAGGTCAATGTTTCTACTGGAAAAATCACAACCACTCTATGTGTCCATCTCAGGCCTAGTTTGCATGAATGGAAAATCAGATGGGTCACCGTAAAAAAAAAAAATCTCGCCTAGACTCCCTTCACGTTACAGGTGGGAGTCGAACATTCAAGGCATTTTCTAGCCTGCTCTCCTCTCTGATATGCTGCTTTTGTTAAGCACAAGAAAGAGAAGGAAGGTTTTGTGTTGTTTGTTTGTTTAATGAGTATTAATCATGAGACACTTCACTGCATTTGCCACCTCACCTGCCATTTTTATACAGTAGGGCTTAATTATGAATACATCTCAACTGCAGTGAAGATGGTACAGTGGACGCTTGGGTTGCGAACGTGATCCGTGCGGGAAGCACGTTCACAACCCGCCGCGTCTGCACACGCATGGGTCGCAATTCGGCGCTTCTGTGCATGTGCAAGCGCCGAAACCCGGAAGTAACCCTTTCCGTTACTTCCGGGTTTGGCGCAGTGCGCAACCCGAAATCACACAACCCAAAGCGTCTGTAACCCAAGGTAAGACTGGATATATACTGGAAAATGAGCGGCCTCATCTTTCTTCCCTTTTAAAAATTAATTACTAAGGAACCAAAGCAATAACAAAACAATAACAAATTTGGCGGCCAGATCGCTCACTGGGGCAAGACGGTTTGTGCATACAACTCCACTCCTGGCCCGGCTGCACTGGCTGCTAATTAGTTTCCGGGCCCGATTCAAAGTGCTGGTTTTGAGCTTTAAAGCCTTAACTTGCCCAGGACTGCAATACTTCAAGGACTCCCTCTCCCCATAGGAACCGACCCAGACCCTACATTCATCATCTGAAGCACTTCTTCATGTGCCTCTTCTGCAAAGGTCCAGAGGCTGGCAATACTAGCCTTTTCTGGGGGGGGGCGGGTATTGTTTTTGTTTGTTGTTATGTTCATAGCTGTCAACTTTTCCCTTTTCTTGCGAGGAATCCTATTCGGAATAAGGGAATTTCCCTTTAAAAAAGGGAAACGTTGACAGCTACGGTTATGTTATGTGTTTTTGTGTTTTTATACTGTAAACCACCCTGTGAGCTTCAGATGAAGGGAAGTATATAAATTTAATAATTAATAATAATAATAATAATAATACAGTGGTACCTCGGTTGACAGACTTAATCCGTTCCGGAAGTCTGTTCTTAAACCGAAACCATTCTTAAACCGAGGCACGCTTTCCCTAATGAGGCCTCCCACCGCTGGTGCCCTTCCACCGTTCAGATTCCATTCTTAGACTGAGGTAAAGTTCTCAAACCAGGACACTATTTCCAGTTTTGCAGAGTTTGTAAACCGAATCGTTCTTAAACCAGACTCTTCTTAAACCAAGGTACCACTGTACTTTCAACTCGCGTGCAGACTGCAACCTGAATGTTGGCAACTGAATGACCCTTGAACATTCCAGCAACCTTTATAAGCAGGAAAGGAGAACCTGTGGCTTTTCCAGGTTATTGAACTACACCTCCCATCAACCTCAACCACTGTCCAATTCTGGCTGGGGCTGATGGGATTTGGAGTCCAACAACATGTGGTTTCCCCCATGTATTCCAGGCTGCTTTGCTTTTCTCAACCCGGTGTTTTTAGCTGCGATTTTGTTTATTTTCTAGTTACAGCCAACAGTTAAAATGAATACTTAATGCATGCTTTTTCACCCGAGGAGCAAGTATGAAACATTAATTATGAGAGTCTCGACTGAGCTCTCCAACAAAAAAGTGAATATAACCTAACCTCTTACCCTAGTTGAACAAGGTAAGGCAAGACTCCACTCTCTCTCAGATAGTATGTAACAACCCCACTTCCAGGAGACAGGCTAGTTTTAATGTATGGCTTCACAGTCAGTCCGGCTTCTACAGCTTTCTTGGCAAGCAATCCTGAAAAAATATCCAAAGTCAATGGATGCCTCAGACCACTTGTTCCAGCTGAGTATTATGGGGTGGGGAATCCCCTCTAGACACTGATGGGCTCCAACTCCCATCAGCACTAGCTTGTGTGGCCAATGGCCAGGAACGATGGGAGTGGTGGACATTTATTTATACATACCATCTATGTAATACAGTCATACCTTGGAAGTCAAACAGAATCCGTTCCGGAAGTCCGTTCAACTTCCAAAACATTCAGAAACCATGTCCAGGTTATGATTGGCTGCAGGAAGTTCCTGCAGCCAATCGGAAGCCCCGTTGGACAATCGGCTTTCAAAAATAGTTTGCAAACTGGAACAGTCACTTCCAGGTTTGCGGCGTTTGGGAGTGAAAACGTTTGAGAACTAAGCTGTTCAATAAGCAAGGTATGACTGTATGTGGTCTTACAAAATCATATAGGTGCAGGCATGTCTGGCTCCATGCTGCATTTAAACCATAGTATATTATTTAAAGCTATCACTAGAAGAGGATGACATTGATTAAATTTGTTACCAGCCCGGCTCAAGCCACAGGGTGGGTTGTAACAACTTGAAATTCGGAATTCAGAACATTTACAGTTGCAGGAAGAAGGCGGGCTCCGAAAACACACATCTCAGGTGTCAAAGGCCTTGGTAAAGATTTGCATCTGCCTAAGGTATTATAGTAAAGTCTAGGAACAAGCTCCCCTGGAATCATCGCACTGGACTTCAACCATATTTAAGCTTGCTTTTATAACTGCCCTTTCCTATACCTAGTTTCATAGAATCATAGAACTGTAGTGTTGGAAGGGACCACGAGGGTCATCTAGTCCAACCCCCTGCAAGGCAGGAATTTTTTTGCCCAATCTGGGGCTCAAACCCACGGCCTTGAGGCTAAGAGTCTTATGCTCTACTGACTGAGCTATTTTCTAGGGTGCTGTTACACCCTCACTCTCTCAACAGGAGACAAAGGGGGGAAAGGCTCATACACAATGAAAGTGTGGCTGTGCCTATCTGCTTGGACACAATTGCTATTTACACCAAGGTAGCCAATAATTGGGATGCGGGTGGCGCTGTGGGTTAAACCACAGAGCCTAGGGCCTTGCCGATCAGAAGGTCGGCGGTTTGAATCCCCGCAACGGGGTGAGCTCCCATTGCTCGGTCCCTGCTCCTGCCAACCTAGCAGTTTGAAAGCATGTCAAAGTGCAAGTAGATAAACAGGCAGGAAGGTAAATGGCATTTCCGTGCGCTGCTCTGGTTCGCCAGAAGCGGCTTAGTCATGCTGGCTACATGACCCGGAAGCTGTACGCCGGCTCCCTCGGCCAATAAAGCGAGATGAGCGCTGCAACCCCAGAGTTGGTCATGACTGGACCTAATGGTCAGGGATCCCTTTACCTTTACCTAGCCAAATAATTGACAAATTCCACCACGACCCTCCCTCTAGCTCTAGAGGCCCAAACGAAAACAGAGACAAGACAGCATTGCTAATCAGTTATGCCAGCTTATGTAAGAAGGCTTTGAGGGTCCCTTCCCTCTTGAAAAGCACATAAATGCATGTGTAATTTAATGACACACAAAAAGATGAGACACACTTACCAGCTCCCAGCATAACCGAAGGATTACTTGTGTTGGTGCAGCTAGTAATGGCAGCAATCACCACCGAGCCATGTGTAAGTTCGAACTCCTTATCGTTGTAAACAAATTTCACTTGGCTGTTATGCTGGTCAGGGGCAATTTGGAAGCCTTTAAACCCTTGCTACAAGGAAGAGGGGACAAGGAAAGAGAACTATTATTTTGAATCACGGTAGCAGAGGAAAGGCCCAAGGAGAGCAAAACAGACAGTTCTACAGCCGCCATTTTGGTCAGGGCAAAGATGCTCAAGGCAGATTTGCCTTTTCAAAGTTTAGAAAGAGAACAAGTGAGACCTGCCACAAAGCATACTGCAAGGTGGAATGCTGGTGTGATTAGCATTCCATCAAACATCCATATATTCTTCCAGGGTATTCCATTCTATTCCTTGTCGGTTTCCCATCCCACAACCAAGAGACAAATCTGCATCCTGTGCCCATTTAAGTTCTACAAACCTCAAGATTCCACCCAAGCCCATTGATTCTTCATTCTTGTTCACTGATGGTTGGTGATGCTGTTTTGTGTACGGAAGGAGGAGCAACTCATTATTGGAACATATGATGCTTTGAACTGGCAGAAAAACCACATACATTCACTGCAGCATGTGTATCAAAACACTCTGCGTGTTAACTTGGAAAGGGAACTGTGCTGTTGAAATCCATTTGTCCAGCTGTACAGTAGGGTTACTCTATTAGGATTCTGCTAGGCAATATTTCACCAAGCATTCAGGAAAGTTTCTTTGCATTCTGACTATAATGAAGCACTCTGCTGACTTCAGAATGGTTCGGGCTTTGGCAGATGAAAAGATCCTGCAATTAAACAGCTGGTAAAGCCAGGTATATTGTCTTAGACAGAAAAAAAGTCTAGTCTTTTGCGCAAATGCTGATGAATTGTCCCTCTGAAATTTCTGCCTATCTCCTATATAGTCAGAAACAAAATAATTCTAACCAAAATTCCATGCGGGGTTGGAGAGAGAAGGGAATGAGTTTCTCATTATCAGCAGCCAATTCCCAAAAGTTTGTGCACAAAAGAAAAATTGGGAAAGCCTAGACTAGGCAAAGGAAGGTCTTTGTAACCACAAATGAACAGCGGAAGCAGCACTTGAATGAAATCCGTTTCACTGGCACAAGAGGGGCCAAACTCTTTACTTATTTGCCTATTCATAAAAAAGCAGACAACCTAAACTACAATGGACAAAATGGGCATGTTGTCCAAAAACAAACAACAACTAGGGGATTCAGTGGGCAGGTTCCTCAAGTGGAATTGGTTAGGGACTACCAGGCCAAAGAGTATAGAAATTCTGAGCTCTAAAAGCAAGTCTGAAGCAATTAAAGTTTCTGAATGAAAGAGGAAGAAAGAAAATGAATCTCAGCTGGAGAAGAAAAAAAGCCATTACTTTAGCTCCCAGGCAGTTCTCAAAATCCTTCTTCATTTCAGAGACCACGACCTTGTCCTGTGGTCTTTTAGGGCCACTGCAACATGGAGCAACTGTTTGCAGATCCAACTCCACAATCTATTTAAGAAAAGAGAGAGAGATTGGGTAAACAAGATGCAATTTTCAAAACTGCCTGTGAGTTCCCCCCACATAGGACTGAATTGAAGCCATTAACTTATATGGGAAAAGAGTAAAATGGTGGACTCCCAGGGAACGCTGCAACATTGCTGGCATTATTCTCTACTCTGAATTACCCCAGTCGTTCATAATCAAGCCAGGGGTCTAGTTCCTGGTCATCCTAAAATCGTAAATTTGCAGTCTCATATATAGATATAGATATGTCATTAACCATGTCAATATCAGTTCTTAAAATGATAAATACTTTAAAGCAACGGTTCTCAAACATGGTCCAAGAGTTCCATTCAGGTGGTCTGTGGAGAGGCTGAGGGATATTCAAGAATATCTTTGCTTTGTCCTGCACTGGATTTACTTATTTTTTCTGACAGGGGAGATCAAGGCCATCTTGGAAAGGGACAGATTACCCAAAAGGCTAACAGTGACCTAGTCTAGGGCATATGATATTCCTAATAGAGAGTTGGAGCCTTCTATTAATTTTCCTCTAAATATTTGCTAGTTAAAGGGGTCCTTATCAGCAGCCTGACTTAGGGTCTGGTGGCTTTCACCACCACAGAAAACAGTGATTTGGGGTGGGAGGACAGAAGAGATCTATATATGGTTGGGGGCAATGCGGATTTTTCAGATGCTCCCGACAAGCATGAAGGAATGGCTTGTAGAGGCACCAGGTTGCCTGCATGGGTCTTTCCATACAGCAAAGGATAGTTCTTACAGAGACAGGATCTGCAATTCTAAATCCCCTGGAGGCTTTAGACAAGGTTTGGGGAAGCCTGTGGCCCTCCTAGACTACAACTCCCAACATCCCTGATCATTAGTCATGCTAGCTGTGGCTGATGGGAACTGGAGTGTGCCACAGCTTCTCAATCCCTGCTTTAGACAGGAAGTCACGATACACCTATGAAGCAAAAGGAAGCCAGGCTGCATTTCACAGGAACTGACTATTTGTAACAAGCAGGACAAGCCCTGCAGGCTTAAGAGCACAATGCCAAGGATTTATTCCAGTGCAGGCCTGCCCCAACCTGAACTCGGCCCACCAGCCTCGCTTCGGGGTTTGTCAGGTGCTCAACAACCCTCCCTCTGTTTGAGGTCCTCGGTAGGCAACACAAACAGGAGGTTTAATCTAACCCTTGGTGGTCTGCCATGCATGCCCTGTGGGCTACACAATTGGCTTGGAGGACCTCCCAGTTCAGCTAGCCTGTGCCAACATGCTCCAAAGTCTTCAGAGGGAAGGGATGAAAAAGCCACTTCCGAGCTAGGGAGGAGGTGGGGTTGCGGACTTCACGCCCCTCCCCACACTCACGGGGGCTGGCTGATAGCCCCCGTGATACTAGGGGAATCCTCAGACGCGTCATCCCCCTGGCCAGCCAATCGGCTGGCCCGGGAGGCATGGCCAGCCCTATTTAGGGCCAGCGCGGCTGAGGATCTCCCTCTTTCCACTCCTCAGCTGTTCAGGTTTTCCCTCCCCTCCCACCCGTTAGGCTAGTCTCTCCGACTTTGCTATGGACTCCGGTTGGTCGCCGTCGAGGGGCCTGGTAGGAATTTTTCCAATTGGCAGATTGGCACCAGCCACTTGGTTTTCGCCTACCTGGTAGCAAACCGTCACAACTCCTCGGTATTGGCGGTTAGGCATTGGTAGGGGTATTGTTATGCAGATGAAGGGGGGAGGAAGCGCCATCACCTTCCCCCAAATCAAAGCGTAGTCCGGTAAAGGATTCCAGGGAGCATGGCCTTGTCCTAAGCTTATGGAGGTGTGGGCCCACGGCACGCCCCTGAGCGGTGACCCCAGGGGAGCTCCTAGTTGATGTGCATCAGCGGGACTCCCCCTAGTGGTGGTTAACCCTTACCGGTCTTCAAGCAAGCAGGCTGAAGCCGGTTAGATGATAGGACCAATGCCTAAACCAATACCGCTCAATTCCTGTAATCAACAAAGTTGTGGCCTAATTTGACCCATTAACTCTAATTCTTGTGTCTTGTGTCTTTATTTCCGAGGGGGGAGGCGGGAACTTGCCATGCAACACAGAAGGTCCTCCGCATATTATCAAGAGTTTGGGACTCTTGAAAGAGATGTTTCTCCTAGACCAGGGGTGGGGAACCCCCTCCAGATGTGGCTGAACTACAACTCTCATCCACTCCAGGAAGTATGGCCAATAGCCAGGGGTGATGTGGGTTGCAGTTCGGCAACATCGGGGGGTTTAAAATTTCCCCACCCCCGCTCTAGAAAAGGATCTCCACTCGTACCAGGAATGGAGAGTCTGTGGTCCTTGAGATGTTGTTGGATTCCAGCTTCCACCAATACCAGCTGTTGAGGGCAAACACTCCTGGGGGGGACGGCAGACTCCCAGTACCTCCGAGCATCTCCCAGTAGGCACATCTCTGGAATGGCATGTCCCTTCACTCCAGAGTGTCGCCCCTCTGCGACACTTCTCATATGAAAAGTGCACACAAGTCTTCTGGCATCACACAGCAAGAAGATAGAGACATCCGTAAATCTAAACTACGTTTTATTCACAATATACACAGAGAATCCATAATCACGTCTGTGTTCTCCAAACTCTGGCAGAAACAGAAAGCATACAGCAAAAGCGAAAGTCCAGTCCAGTAACACTCTCAGACGGGAGAGATAAGACAGTCTTCCGTTCCCACACTCTTCTCAGACATCTCATGTGATTTATACTAATCACGCTAGCCAGCATCAGCTTACATAAAATCCTAACATCCTAACATGACCAATGGTCAGGGATGATTGAGTGGGTGGTTCCCTAGTCCAGAGCGCTGAGAGGTTGCCTGCTCTTGATGGGGTTACACTTCCTCTGAAGGAGCGGGTATACAGCTTGGGGGTATTCCCAGATCCTGTGCTGTCACTTGACACTCAGGTGGCCTTGATGGCACGGAGTAGTGCTGGGCAATATCTAGTTTTCAACATCATGACATATCAGCGAGGGAGGGGGGCTATTGGGTTGTTGTTTTTATGAACTTCCTGCAGCCAATCAGAAGCCACACTCCGAAAGTCAAACGGACTTCCAGAACGGATTCTGTTTGACTTCTGAGGTACGACCGTATATAAATTCAATAAATAAATAAATAATAAAAAACATCACGATATACCGTTTGATCATGATGATTGAAATAAGGACGGAGCTATGTAGAGCTATGTAGAAGGGACGTGGGTGCCGCTGTGGGTTAAACCACAGAGCCTAGGGATTGCAGATCAGAAAGTTGGCGGTTCGAATCCCCGCAACGGAGTGAGCTCCCGTTGCTTGATCCCTGCTCCTGCCAACCTAGCAGTTCGAAAGCACATCAAAGTACAAGTAGATAAATAGGTACCGCTCCGACGGGAAGGTAAACAGCCTTTCTGTGCGCTGCTCTGGTTCCCCAGAAGCGGCTTAGTCATGCTGGCCACATGACCCGGAAGCTGTACGCCGGCTCCCTCGGCCAATAAAGTGAGATGAGCGCCGCAACCCTAGAGTCGTCCGCGAATGGACCTAATGGTCAGGGGTCCCTTTACCTTTTATGTAGAGGTGTTTGCTGGCTTCAATGGGTTCCCCACATCATGATTTTTGCATAACACGCAAACTCATACACATCATGATTCATGATATATTGCCAGGTCAAAAATTATGAAAACGATATCACGATACGGACTTCAAACCGGTTTTGGATGATATATTGATATATCATCGCCCAGCCCTAGTACAGAGTGCCTTCCATCAGCTTTGGCTGGTGTCCCAGCTGCGACCCTGTCTGGACAGAGAGAGCCTAACTTCTGTTGTCTGTGCTCTGGTAACCTCTAGGTTAGATTACTGCAACACATTGTATGTGGGGCTGCCTCTGAAGACAGTTTGGAAACTTCAGCCAGTGCAGAATTCAGAGGACATGTTGCTCTTTGGGGCAAGACAGTTTGAGCATATAACGCCAATCCTGGCTCAACTTCACTGCCTACCTAATAGTTTCTGGGCTAAATTCAAAGTGCCTTTGTGAGGTCTCACAAGTGGTAGGTAGGACCTTATTAAGACTAAGAGGCAAAAGGCCTGAATGCTCATTTGAGGAAGGTGTCAAGTCAAGCAAACCCACCTGTGTAAAATCGGGATCCTGCGACGAGTTACTGAAATCTCTAAACATTCCTGCAGCCTCAAGGTATTTTCTTATGTGCCTAATCTTATCTTCATCACGGCCTAAAGCAGATGGAAAGAGCCAATCAAGTTGCAGCATTTCAAACAAGCACAAAGACAACAACTTAGAATTCCACAACCGAATGTTTAGGTCGCCATGTAGGATTTGAATAGAAGATTATTAATATTGTTACTTATTAAATTTGTATGCTCCCCGTCATCTGAGGATTGCAGGGTGGTTAACAATATAAGAACACAAAAAGATATCCGCTTCTGAGCCGAGTTCATAATGCCAGTGAACGCACAGTATTGGGAATTATAAATAAAACATTTCATTGTCTATATCAGCATTTCATTTTGTATGCAAAATTCTTGCCATGACTAAAAATGGAAGTGGATGGTTGTGACGGAGGATCTTGCCTGTTGTTTACTCTGCTCTTTATATGCAGAGATGTCCTAAATATTCCCAAATCTATGATTTAATAGGATTATTGATGCCAGCTTCCTTGACCAATAAAGCGACTGGACCTAAAGGAGTCCCTTTAACTTTACCTTTATTGATGCCTCAGTGTCACATATTAGGGCTATGGATTCTTTAGAGGCTCTTATTTAAATAACACATATGTTTATTTTTTTAAGGTGACTTCAAAATAGATCAATCAGGGTTACAAGACAGGTTATATTATTTGCCTCATCAAACAAAGAAATCCCTTTTTAAAAAATAGTGGAAACGGTATGATCTGAACACATATCCCTATTTTGTTTTTTTGATGACCTAATTTTATGCTGTGAACCACCCTGAGATCTACAGATGAAGGGCGGTGTACAAATTATAATAATAATAATGATGGTGATAATACAGTCGTATCTTGGATCCTGAATGCCTTGGTACTCTGATGTTTTGGCTCCCGAACCCGAAAGTTTGCGAACGTTCTTTGGAACCCGAATGTCTGACAGGGCTTCCGCCACTTCTGATTGGCTGCAGGAACTTCCTGCAGCCAATCAGAAGCAGCACTTTGGTTTCCAAACGTTTTGGAAGTCGAACGGACTTCTGGAACAGATTCTGTTCAACTTCCAAGGTACGACTGTATGTGCATTTCGTATTTCTCTGAATGTGTGTAAATCTGAGGTTTCAAAGTGATGAATTAAACCACTTTCAATCACCTAATCAGATCATAAACAATACTAAAGGACAAACCCCTCCATTATTTCATTTTCTTCTAAGACACAAAAAGCAGTAAATATTGACCCAGTTCAGATGTATCAACAAGCCATAGTTTTTCTGTTACTGGAAGAAGGAAGTATCATACACTGTCTGCTCCCCTTCTTTGTGCATGAAGAGGAAACAAGATATTTTTTCAATTAGCTTTTCTAACAAACCTCATCTGAAAGATGGCAAACTGTAGCTTGTGCAATCTATAGTTTGTTCACAAATCAGGATAACCAACAAACTACGGCCGCAGTTTGCCTTATATGGGTGCCAACAGGAAACTGCAGTTTTATTGCAAACCTCAGCTGGAGGCTTTTCATCTCACTTCCTCCTGTAATATGCAAGGTGGGGGGGGGGAGCATCGTTGCCTGCTCCTTCTCAAAATGGCAAACCACGGCTTGTCATTATATGCAGAATGGGCCACACAGATATTGACACTAGTTTGCACATGCTGGAGTTAAAAGCACTCAGTCCAACTTATCGTAAACCCAGCAGATCCATTTTCTCTATTTCAAGCGTCCAGGTGTCCCCCTGAATTTTGTCACCTGTTTGACACTCACCTGTTTGAAGCAGGTACTTGATGCTAACTTCATCAACTGGGAAGAAGGCAGCAGTTGCTCCATATTCCGGGCACATGTTGGCAATGGTGGCTCGATCAGCGATGGACAGTTGAGTCACCCCAGGCCCAAAGAACTCAACAAATTTACCCACAACCCCAACCTGGCGGAGGTGCTGTAACAGATTAAAAACTGCACTTAGAACCGTCTGATATAAATTGTGTTCTAATAAAAGAGCACAAACTCAAAAGCTGCCAGCATCCCAATCTTAGCCAGCTTTCCACTGGCTACCGCTTAAAAATTTTCAAGCGATCGTTGTGTTAGTTTATCTCAGTAATCCCTACAATGGCTCCATAAGGTAGATCAATTATCATCAACTCAGTACTGCAGACTGAGGGTTGGGAGAGGCTGAGTCACCGAGTTAATTTGTGAATAAGGGGAGATATGAGGTGAGAGTTTCCAGGCTCATAGCTCATGCTCTTAGGCCAGTTTGCTCCACTTGATGAAATTGGTACATAGACATCAGGCTTGCAGGATCTATTTTAATTTTTAGTAGGAAACATGAGATCTACCAACCAGACCCTGATGCGAAAGACTTAAAATCAAAGCATTCTGAGCCCAGAAATTAGCTCTGAGCATCAGAACTTAATACAGTGGTACCTCGGGTTAAGTACTTAATTTGTTCCAGAGGTCCATACTTAACCTGAAACTGTTCTTAACCTGAAGCACCACTTTAGCTAATGGGGCCTCCTGCTGCCGCCGCGCCACCGGAGCATGATTTCTGTTCTCATCCTGAAGCAAAGTTCTTAACCTGAAGCACTATTTCTGGGTTAGCGGAGTCTGTAACCTGAAGCGTATGTAACCTGAAGCGTATGTAACCCGAGGTACCTCTTTATAGCTCATAACCCTTCCACACAAATATTCACTCCTGGTTATCTCAGTATAATTGAGGGAAGCGTAATTTTCATGCTGCCATTGTTAAACACAAACGGGGGTCAGAAATCCTTGCCTATCTACTGCAAATCAGCCAGAGATCTAATGGTAGATCCAGATCTATTTTCTGCCCACTACGGAAGTAATGGCACCCTCTCTGCTCCCCTGCCCCCCATCTATGATAGACATGTTTCTGGAATTAAGGGAAGATCAAATCCCTAGAAAATGGACAACAGTGGTTTTGGCCATCGTGGTGTCACACCATGTGATTACCTTGGTAACGGTGAGCACAATGTCAGTGGATGTGACAAGTGGTTGAGGGCTACCTATCAATTTGTAGCCGATCACCTCAGGAAGCACCATGCTGATTGGCTGGCCCAGCATCACTGCTTCTGCTTCAATTCCCCCCACGCCTGCCAACAAGGACAAAGACAGCATTAAATGCAACTGTCTCGCTGCCTGATGACAAACAAGAAGGATATATCGTATTTTTCGCTCTATAAGATGCACCAGACCACAAGACTAGTTTTTGGAGGAGGAAAACAAGAAAAAAAATATATTCTGAATCTCAGAAGCCAGAACAGCAAGAGGGATTGCTATGCAGTGAAAGCAGCAATCCCTCTTGCTGTTCTGGCTTCTGGGATAGCTGCGCAGCCTGCATTCGCTCCATAAGATGCACACACATTTCCCTTTACTTTTTAGGAGGGAAAAAGTGAGTCTTATAGAGCAAAAAAGACGGTAAAGCTTCAAGGCAGAGAGAAAGAAAATTCCAATGGAACAGAGAAGATAGGGCTGTCTAGGATTGCTGCCAACATTGCCATACGATCAGGATGGATGAAGTGCTTGTGGATATACTTATTATATTCCACAGCAAACAGCTCCTGCTTTGCACTGAATTTACCTAAAGCAAAACTGCAAAGTCTTAAAAAGGTTTATGCGGTTGCATTGTCTGCATGTAGACAATTTATCAGCTGATCAGACAATCCTTTTACACCTTCAGGGGAAACACAAGCACCGCAAACCCCCATCTGGAACTGGAAAGAGAGTCAAACCTTTGGCCAGCACCAAGTCTGAACATTCCTCAGAAACATTAACTTCGCTGTTTGGGTTCTCCTTAAATGGTAGGGATTAGACTGGTATTAGGTGGGTTTTCAATTGGATTTTAATCTTCCGTGGATTTAATCTTTGGGGAGGTCTCTGCTGCTAACGTTGTGCATAGATTTGTACGGAGGGAACATGTAATTGCTTTAAATGTAGTTAAGAGAAATGCGGTTCGGTGTTTTTAAATGCAAAAGTTGGTCCAAATGTCCCCATCTTCGCCTGGGCCTTTTTGCAGCAGTCCTTTTCAAACGTTTTTCAACAAGTTCTAACGATCATTTATTTGGGGCGGGGAAGGGAGAGAGAAGCAGAACTTTGTTTACCTGCAACTCAACATAAACCCAAACCACTGAATAGGTCAATCAAGTTCAAGGGCACTTACCCCAGCCAAGGACGCCTAAGCCATTAATCATCGTGGTATGTGAATCGGTGCCCACCACGCTGTCTGGATAATAGTATCCACTCTGATCAAAGACAACTCTTGCCAAATACTCCAGATTCACTTGATGGACAATCCCAGAGCCCGGGGGAATAATCCTCATGTTCTGGAAGGCTTGGGAGCCCCACTGGAAACACAAAACGGAAGAGGCGCTCTCTCTTAGACATAGTCAAAGAATGATCTTGGCAGCATTGTGTGTGTCCGAGCATAAAAAAACCTGTTATCTGGTACTGGCGGTGGGGGTGTTTGGAAGATCACTAAGCAGAAGATTCTGTCCCAGGCCCCACCTCACAAGCTGCTAAAGGTAAAGGTAAAGGGGCCCCTGACCATTAGGTCTAGTCGTGGCCAACTCTGGGGTTGCGGAGCTCATCTCGCTTTATTGGCCGAGGGAGCCGGTGTACAGCTTCCGGGTCATGTGGCCAGCATGACTAAGCCGCTTCTGGCGAATCAGAGCAATGCACGGAAACGCCATTTACCTTCCCGCCAGAGTGGTACCTATTTATCTACTTGCACTGGTGTGCTTTCGAACTGCTAGGTTGGCAGGAGCAGGGACCGAGCAACGGGAGCTCACCCCGTCACGGGGATTTGAACCACCGACTATAGGGCCCCACTATTTTTGAAAGCAGCATGTAAAAACTGTAAAATCAAGGCAGCAAAATGAAAGCCACCCAAGTCAGCCTTGTTGTGGATGGATGCTGGGCTCAAAAGCCAGCCCCAGAAACTGCAAAGTCAAAAATCTGATCCCTTGTGCTTCCACACATGTTTAGAAGATAAACTTGGCAACATTGGTCAAGGCAAAAACAATAACAACTCTAAATTGGTGATCAGGGAACACTTGCTCGTTTCTCCCCCAACCCCAGTTGTTTGGTCCCTTCTTCTATGGGGCCAAGGTCTTTACAGGATTAGGCTTCTTCCTTGCCCAGTTGCATCTTCCAAGACAGAAGTGTAGCCATTTTCACTTCCTAAACCGCACGGACTGTCAGCAGTCAGCCCAGCCTGTGACATGCTCTTTTCCCTGGTGACCACTAGGGAAGGGGAAGGGAATCTGCGACTCTCAAGAAGCTGCTGGACTTCATCTCCCATCACCCTGACCACTGGCCATGCTGGCTGAGGCTAATGGGAGTTGGAGTCTAGCAGCATGTGGAGACCACAGGGCTCCCCAATCCCTGTACCAGAGCCAAGCTCTGCTTTCCCCCATTCATGCACAAATGGGGAATCTTTTGCTGTACCTTCAAGAACTCAAATCTTTCTTTGTTCCTCTCAAACTCCAGATCTTGATTCTTCTGCAAACTGTCTGGCCTGCAAACAAAATATGTGGGTTACCGGAGCGGTACACCTTTAAGAGGATGCTTCGCAAGGTCCAACGTGTGTGGGCAAAAAAAATGTGAGGGAGAGCAAGAAACAAAGGAACGTTTGTTATTTATTGAGCTCAGCTGTTTTATGCTCTTTAATTACCTTGCACCAGGGAGCTAGAAACAAGCGGTGAAGAGAGCTTAAGGAGCTTTTGCAGTAATTCCTACTGTCTGGCTCAAGTGCTAATTCCATGCTGAATGTAGGCATTTTTGACAGGGTCTAGCCTGAATGTAAGAGGGGTGGAAAGGGTTCTAAAACATTAATTATATCAGCAGCAGGGGACGTGGGGACGGGGATAACATATCTTCTTCTTATGTTGAGCTGTCAAAATTGGTTCAGTGCTTTGAAAATGTCCTGTGCCTAACTCTCTGTTGGGTTTCTGCATCTGTTTCTTGTTTTCCCCATCCCCTACCCCCCTTTAAAAAAAAAAAAAAATCCTGCTGGACATAAACTCCGTTGCCATACCTTACCTTTTATTAAAGTCAACCTGGATAGAATGATCAATTACTAAATCAGCAGGGCAGATGGGGTTGATTTTTTCCGGGTCTCCGTCCAGGGCCTTCACAGCATCACGCATAGCAGCAAAATCCACCACTGCTGGGACACCGCTGCAACGGAAGAATGAAGGGAAAGGAAGAAAGTGTATATAAATTAGCAGCCCAGGTGTTGTGCTGTGTAAAGAGTATGGGTTGCTCGTGCGTAAGTTGCCGCCTCTCCTGGCTTTGTTGCCTTGTTAAACCTTTCAGTCTGGACAGCCCTTCACTTTGTGGCTGCCTCAGTCGCTAGCAGAATCCGTCAGTGGGCGTTTCTTAAACCTTTTCCAACATAAAAGTTGTTTGACACCCAGTCTCCTCCTACTCTCTCTGCGCGGAAGTCTTCTGCGCAGGGAGGGCGTGGGTAGCGGAGGACCTGTGCTCTCCCCGCTGGTGTCCGGTGAAGAGTCTGGGAGCCCTCTCGCCGATTCCCCCATCTGCCCCTCTTTATTCCTGGTGTTGCGCTGCATTGCTTCCCCATCTGCTGAGCTGCCTCTCTCCCTGCTGGGCCCTTCTCCAGCATCATTTGAGAGCCTTCCCTCCACCTCTAGCTCCGATGTCAGTTCCCTGACATGCTGTTTTGCAAATGAGATCTTAAAGCCAAGCACACACAAAGAAAGAAAAAATATTAAAAGGCAACAACGTACAGAGGTCCAGAGCTGCAAAACAACAACAACAGCAACAACAAATGGGATTTTTGAGCTGAGATTCCTAAATGACCTTCGGGGGTCCCTTCCAATCCTACAGTTCTCTAATTCTATGAAAAGGACACTTGAATTAAACTGGAGACTCAGCTATAAAGCTACAAATATAACGTTTTAGGTGCATTATACAAATGTGACATTAGATGGTGCTGGTGAGCTAATGGTAAATTCCATATATATTTTTAAACGCATTTTTTTAAAGGATTTTCACAGTGCTTTTTATATAAGTGTCGATTCAGCCTAACTCACTATGGATAATTTACCAAACAAATAAGCTATGTGCTCATATTCTCCCTCCTCCCTCCTCCCTTGCAGTTTCACTTTCAGTTCGAAGGTTAATGCTAAGCAAAATTTACTGCGATACCTAAATTGGCAAACTATGGTTGGCACCAGACCTCTGAACTCTGCTCTAAAATGCACATACTGATTATATGTGGTTTCCCAATGGTTGGGGCACGGCAACTTATCTGCTCAAGAATGCAAGTTTAAATGTATAACTTTCACTGTTCAGCAGATCCATTGCCAGCACTCAACATGGTAGCACTGTAACCACCACCTCAAATTACAGGTGGTGCTTGCAGTAAACATCACTTTCTGGGGCAAGTGGAAGCAAGAAACTGGTGCAGCACCCTGATCTCGACTGGGAGGAGGTTCTGGATCAGGTCCCCAATGTTGTTGTTGTTTTTCTTCAAAACGAAGGACACATCTTAAAAAATGTGACCCGAAATTTGAGCCTGTGGCCTTAACAATGTATTTTCCATGTTGCATAAAAATGCAAGCATGCCATCATGCTGTTGTCAGGGCTTCAGGGAATCCTATCCCTCCCACGGTGGGATGCCAAGAAGCAGAAAACCAAGAAGAGTTCTTACCAAGACAAAGGAATGTAATCTCTCTTAGATAATGGTGTTGCTCCAAGTCCCACCCTCTCAGACCCTCCTATTCTATGTCACCCCTGCACCGGCTGATCTGTGCTTTCTGCCTCTGAGTTTTCTGTTCTGCTACTCTCAAGGCACGCCTGGATCTGGGAGAGGGGGGCCAGGGATGCTAAGGAGGAGGAGGAGGAGGAGGAGGAGGAGGAGGAGGAGGAGGAGAGGAAGAAGAAGAAGAAGAAGAAGAAGAAGAAGAAGAAGAAGAAGAAGAAGAAGAGTAGTAGTAGTAGTAGTAGTAGTAGTAGTAGTTTGGATTTGATATCCTGCTTTATCTCTACCCGAAGGAGTCTCAAAGCGGCTAACAATCTCCTTTCCCTTCCTCCCCCACAACAAACACTCTGTGAGGTGAGTGGGGCTGAGAGACTTCAGAGAAGTGTGACTAGCCCAAGGTCACCCAGCAGCTGCGTGTGGAGGAGTGGGGAAGCAAACCCCTATTTTCCCCAGCTTCTTGCCTCTGAACTATGCCTTTCTGCAAACCGCTGTTCTAAATCTATACTGTCCTCCTCTTCTTGGGAAGCTGCAGAGAGAGGAGAGGCTGTTCCCACCATCCCTCCTCAGTCCAGCCCCTGTCAGCTGTGCTGGACCACAAAGAGGTGGCACTTCAAACTACTGAGCAACGAGAGGTGATGGATAGGCAGTCCAGTCAAGCAGTGGAGGACAGAAAGAACATGTTTTAGCTGCCCCTGCAGCATGCCAGCTCCCCGTCTCTGTAATCTAGATCCCCAGGTTGGCTGACACTACCACCAATCATCTTCCTCCTACCCAACCAGCTTGGGAATCCATTGCTTATGCCTATGCTGCTTATGCCCCCAAATGCTCTGCCAATTAGGATGACGAGTCAGTCTGGTAGGAGGAGGAGCACAGGAATGAGGAAGGTGGTCAGAAGAGGCAACCAGATAGCCTCAAAATCAATTTCTATAGCTGCCACTGATTCCCAAGCTGGCTCAACACAAGCTCCTGGCCACCGTCCTCATTCCCATGCTCTCCCTCATGCCAAACCGAGTCTTCATCCCAGGCAGTGGCACAAAAAGATCTAAGCCCTTTTGTGATTCTCCTGAAGGATACTTCATTTTGGACTTTGCATCTCTCAGCAGGCTTGTAGTGGTGAAATTCTGGAGATGCAGATCACAAAATGAGTTCATGGTAAAAAGGTCAAACTAGGGTGAAGAAAAGTTCTAGTCCAGTATGGAAAATAAACCAGATAGTAAAGGTAAAGATAAAGGGACCCCTGACCATTAGGTCCAGTCGTGACCGACTCTGGGGTTGCGGTGCTCATTTCACTTTATTGGCCGAGGAAGCTGGCGTCTGTCCGCAGACAGCTTCTGGGTCAAGTGGCCAGCAAGACTAAGCAGCTTCTGGCGAACCAGAGCAGCGCACAGAAACACCGTTTACCTTCCTGCCGGAGCCGTACCTATTTATGTACTTGCACTTTGATGTGCTTTCGAACTGCTAGGTTGGCAGGAGCAGGGCCCGAACAACAGGAGCTCACCCCGTTGCGGGGATTCGAACCACCGGCCTTCAGATCTATTTCCTCAGGAAGCTGTTTTATGACAGCGTATCAGAAAGTCACTCCAACAGATCACAGGTTTTGAGTTCTACCACGGCCAATTATGCACATGAATCCTTTCCTTGACTAAAGTTAGGAGAGAGTATTATATACTCACCCAAACGCTACAAGAACAGTTGCTGCCATTTATTTTAGAAGATCACTGTGCCATTATTACAGCTTCTAAAAGAAGCTGCTAACAATTCCGTTGTTTGATGAGTTAGTCCTACATTCGTTGTTAGAGGGGTACAAGCAACAATTAAATGAAAACTTTTGCATGGGATGTTTGGCATGTCTACCAAACATCTATTTCGGATTAGATAAAGTAGCCCTGGAATCATTTCAAAAAGCTCATTATGAGTTTCCTTGAGACCACACAACAAGCTAAGTCAGACTTGGAACACAAACCAGTAGTTCTGCTAGTCTACTCTACCTATGTTCTAGCAATGCAATGCATTCCCCAACCCAACCCACCCTTTTTTTTTACCCAGGACAGACCTACTCAGAAGGTCTTTGGTGGAAAACAAACAGGGACCACTATTTTGGGAAGCCTTCATCACGGCAAACCATGCTTGGGAATGTGTGTGGTTCCAGGGGGCTCAGCCCTATTTGAGCCATTTTCACATGGTTAAGATCATGTGAGCAGGATACGGGCTGTGCTGAGCAGTTCCTCTCCTTGGGAGTCTGCATGTGTAGCACAAATATCTGAAAGGGAGGAATTTCCATGCATACTGGGTCACACGTATTCTGGAACTCCATATGGAAAGAATGCACAAACTACAATAACACAATCTCACCGTTGCAGGTATACATGCAAATTGCATACATATATATATATATATATATATATATATATATATATGAACGCGGGTGGCTCTGTGGATTAAACCACAGAGCCTAGGACTTGCTGATCAGAAGGTCAGCGGTTCGAATCCCCGTGACGGGGTGAGCTCCCGTTGCTCAGTCCCTGCCAACCTAGCAGTTTGAAAGCACGTCAAAGTGCAAGTAGATAAATAGGTACCACTCCAGAGGGAAGGTAAACGGCGTTTCCATGCACCGCTCTGGTTCGCCAGAAGCAGCTTAGTCATGCTGGCCCCATGACCCGGAAGCTGTATGCCGGCTCCCTTGGCCAATAAAGCGAGATGAGCGCCGCAACCCTAGAGTCGGTCACGACTGAACCTAATGGTCAGGGGTCCCTTTACCTTTATATACATATATATATATACATATATATGAAAATGCAAAACAAAGAAACCTCCAGCCCTGATTTTAAGCATTGCTTTGGAAATACAGGTTGAATCTGAAATGGACGCCTTGACCACAGTGACACTGGCAACCTTCCCTGCAATCTTTGAACCTCTGGTTCCAAGAACAAACACTCTCAATTCAAATGACGTATCTGTGCGTCTGTTTATCTTTCTAACTCAATACAGTCTGTTGCAAACCCAGTTTGGGAGAGAACAGATTGCCATACCAAGGAACAGATTGGCTAACTTCAGGTTTGCATTTATATATATATATATATATATATATATATATATATATATATATAGTGTGTGTGTGTGTATACAAATTAATTTTTTATTAAATTTTCAGTTTTACAATTTCAAATAAACATTTTACAAACTTTAAAATATCCAATGACTTCCCTTCTTCTCTTTCCATGGTTCATTTTAAATATCATACATCCCTGCACATTTTAGTGTAATAATTCAAATCAGTTTCCCACTCTTATATCCATAAAAAAATTATATTCTGTTGAATTTATCTTAATGCTGCCAGCACTTTCAGCTGTATACAGTTATTTTCCATATATTCAATAATTGTTTTCCAATCTTCTTTAAATGTACTTTATGTTCTTCTTGCTCTATATGTTAAATCTGCAAGTTGTGCATATTCTGTCAATTTAAGTTGCCGGTCCTCTTTGATTGGGACCTTGCTCACTTTCCATTTTTCAGATAACTAAACATGGGCCCACAATTGTTGCAGAACAGGCTTGCATTTTAAAACTTGTATCACAATCCCCTAGTCATTTACTGCAAACCTTCCTAGTTACTATGTTGGAAGGTGCAGGTTCAAAAAGGACAGGAGTGTTTGCTGGATGCAAAGAAGTGTCTTTAAACAAAAACAGCTCACAAGCTTAAATCTCATTAAAATTAAGAAAGAGGATCAAGAACAGGTATCAAAGTAAAATTAGTAATACATATACCGTATTGTTTGCACCATAACACTCACTTTTTTCCTCCTAAAAAGTAAGGGGAAATGTCTGTGCGTGTTATGGAGGGAATGCCTACGGGTGGCATGCCTACAGATTTTCCTCCTCTAAAAACTACGTGCGTGTTATGGTCGGGTGCGTGTTATAGAGCGAAAAATGCGGTAATCTCAGGACCACTGTTTTCTAGAACAACAACAACAATAACTGGGGTTCATTATTATGCTTTACTGCTTCCTCTAGGACAGGGTTTCCCAAACTTGGGTCTCCAGCTGTTTTTGGACTACAACTCCCATCATCCCTGGCTAACAATACCAGTGGTCAGGGATGATGGGAACTGTAGTATAAAAACAGCTGGAAATTCAAGTTTGGGAAAGCCTGCAATAGGATTTCTGGACTAAATTTTGTTTTTCATTGTGTGTTTGTGTGTGCGCACAAGTGCAACAGCCTCTCTTTTCTTACAACAAACAGATTCTGCACAAAATGTACCGTATTTTTCACTCTATAAGACGCACCAGACCACAAGACGCACCTAGTTTTTGGAGGAGGAAAACAAGAAAAAAATATTCTGAATCTCAGAAGCCAGAACAGCAAGAGGGATCGCTGCGCAGTGAAAGCAGCAATCCCTCTTGCTGTTCTGGCTTCTGGGATAGCTGCGCAGCCTGCATTCGCTCCATAAGATGCACACACATTTCCCCTTACTTTTTAGGAGGGAAAAAGTGAGTCTTATAGAGCAAAAAATACGGTAATCTCTCTCTGTCTTTTCCTTCTCTCTCTTCATAATCCCAGTCTGCAGTATGTACCTCAGTACGAAGGTCACTAAGGAATACAATTAATGTTAATCATTGAAAGAGACCTGAGAACCAGGCGGGAAAGGAAAGGTGTGTGTCTAAAGGAAAGTTTGCTGAAATTCAGCAGTCTGTAATTTTTGACTAGGCTTGGTCACCATGCCAAAACTTGCAGCTGTCAGGACTTTAAACTTCCTCTTATCTCTGCCTTCCACATTGTGCCTCTGCACAAGGTCAGAGACAATTCCCTTCCCAGCCACAATTTTGATGCACAAAAGGATGGCAGGAGGCTTGCTGGAGACTCCTGCACAGTCATGGTGCTGGTGGAACCAACTGTGGGCTCCACCTTAGTCTGAGATCTAGATTAAGCTTGCATTCCAACTCCCCACTTAAGAGAACACTGCTCTACAAGCAAGGAGAAATGTACCGCTTTTCACTGGTTGCTTCTTTTGAAAAAAGCTTTCCTAGGGCCAGGTCAGATGACAGCCATCAGTGAACAGCTACTGCCTGAACAACATTCAAGTCCATTTGTGCAGAGCTCCTGCTCTGACAGGCATAAGCGCTGCCTTCCTAGGAGGCCACATGGCTGTTGCCAGCAAGCACTGAGTGATATGCGCATTGGTCGACACAACTTTTCTTATTACATCCATTTGGCGCACCTTGCTGAAAATCCAATCTGCGCACACCAATAGCACTTGCACAACATTCTCATTATGTGCTGCTGGAGTACTGCTCATGTGCTGAGAAGAACATTGTTCCAGGGACAGCCTAGGGTTGTATCCAATGAAGTTGTCCTGTTAGCGCAATGGCTTCTGCCTGGACAATAGGGCTTCCTCTCCCTCTCCTCACATGCCCCATTCCTCTCTTCCAAATCCGCTCCAGAAGGTTGGGGGGAACCCCTAGAACAGATCTGAGGGGGTACAGGGAGAAGAATTCCTGTTGCACAGGTAGACCTCCTTCTGCTAATGGGACAATTTCTTTGGATATACCCCCTAATGCTATTGTCGTTGTTGTTGATTAGTCGTTCAGTCGTGTCCGACTCTTCGTGACCCCATGGACAAGAGCACGTCAGGCACTCCTGTCTTCCACTGCCTCCCGCAGTTTGGGCAAACTTATGCTGGTAGCTTTGAGAACACTGTCCAACCATCTTGTCCTCTGTCGTCCCCTTCTCCTTGTGCCCTCCATCTTTCTCAACATCAGGGTCTTTTCCAGGGAGTCTTCTCTTCTCACGAGGTGGCCAAAGTTTTGGAGCCTCAGCTTCTGAATCTGTCCTTCCAGTGAGCACTCAGGGCTGATTTCCTTCAGAATGGATCGGTTTGATCTTCTTGCAGCCTCCAGCCCCCCCTAATGCTATGAGGGTTGCAAAACTCACTCTAATTTGCTGTACTAAAATTCTCTCAGATGTACTTCTCCCAAATGACCCTTATCTCTCTAGAAAATGACTCTGCTCCTAAACTGTGGCAACACCTTAGATTAAAACAAAAATGGGGGGCGGGGGGAACACAATACAACTCACGTGAAGTCTTGTAGAATAACTCGGGCAGGTTTAAATGGCACTTCGATGTTCTTGTGTTGCATCACGTTCCAGTTTAGGATGTTTTCAACATCTCCCTTCTTTACCAGGAACTCGTCACAGTTGCGGACTGAGGCCTCCAGCAACACTCTGATAGAGAACGGCAAACGTTCTGGGAAGGAAAGCACCTCTGTTAGAAGCATGTGGAGACTAAAGCTATATGGTACAAACGTAAGGAGATTAAATTGTAATATAGCGAAAAGAAGATTCCATTCCATTGGTGGGCAGAAGTTGTAGCTCAAAACTTCTAAGTAACAACTAACCACAGTTCCTTGGTGCATGGTAGCTACACATTCAGAGACACATTTCTCCCTTTAATACTACACAGACCACCATTATGGAGATTTCCTTCTTTCTTTCTTTCTTTCTTTCTTTCTTCATAAGCCACTTTGAGATTCTGGATGAAAAGCTATGTAGAATTATTTTTAACTATAAATACAAACAAATGCACATTTACAGTCATAACTTGGAAGCCGAATGCCTTGGGAGTCGAACATTTTGGCTCCCGAAGGCCACAAACCCGGAAGTGAATGTTCCTGTTTGTGAACGTTCTTTGGAAGCCGAACGTCTGACGTGGTTTCCGCGGCTTCCAATTGCATGCAGGAAGCTCCTGCAGCCAATCGGAAGCCATGCCTTCATTGTCGAACATTTTTGGAAGTTGAACGGACTTCCGGAACGGATTCCGTTCGACAGTGAAGGTACGACTGTACTTAAAAAAAAAATACCCATGCAGCCATATTATATGCAACTTCTGCACACATGTGAAGAACATAGGAAGCTACTTTGCACTAAATTAGACCACTGGGTCCATCTAACCCAATCAGATTAGCAGCGCTCCGGGATTTCAGACAGGGGTCTCTCCCAGTCCTATTTGGAGATACCTGGGTTTGGACCTGGAACCTTCTCCATGCAAAGCAGGTGCTCCACAAGCGAGCTAGAGAGTGGCAGCTCTCCAAGCCTAGTCCCCAGAGCCGTCTTTCCCATGGGGCTTAGTGGTGCATCGCGCCAGGGCGTCCCAGCAAGTGGGGGAGTTGGGCGGCTTTGCTGGCGGCCTCCTCTTTCCCTGCACGCCCACCAGCTGCACCCTGTCAACCATATGTCTGGCAGGCGTGCAGCTTCCCTCCCAAACCTCTGCGGGGATCGCTCTCCCGCAGCGGCATGGGGAGGAAGCTCGCTGCCTCCCGTGGATGGCTTGGGAGGCAGCCCTCCCAAGCCTCTGCAGGGATCACTCTCCCGCAGCGGCATGGAGGAGACTTGCGCCCCCCCAACACTATCCGTGGTAATTTGGGGGCACTGGGTGGATATTTGCACCCTGGCACCGCATCTGCTAAAGACAGCCCTGCCAGTCCCACTACCAGACAGCCTCCTAACCAGAGATACCAGGGACTGGAACCAGAAACCTTCTGTTTGCAAAGCATATGATATGTCTCGTCCAAAGCATAAGTGCAAGCAATCAAGTGATGTGTGTGCATATGTGAACTGCCTCAAAAGCTGCAGCTACCAACCAACTTTCTTACAGGGAGCAACTCCCTCTGAATGTAACCAACGTACCATATCTTGGGTCTCCGAGTCGGTTCAAATTGAAGAATTTTTTTGTCGCTTGGCTTGGGTCCAGCGGTTCCCCAAGATGCGCAAATGGGTTGCTCATGGCTGAAATATCTTGGAAGTCACTGCAAATACAAGATGGGGCCACGCCATGTTAAAAATTGGAGCAAGTTTAACTTTTATTGTTATTTATTCGATGCATTAGTCCCTTCACCATCAGGTCCTGTGTAAGTTTAAATTTCAGTATTAAAAACATTTTAAAACAAATTACAGTCGCAGGAATAGGACGGGTCCTAAAAACATGCATCTCAGATGCCAAAGACCAAGGCCTTATTTGTACAAATCTGGAATAACCTGCATATAGTCAGATTACACATTCACTACGTTTTCTAAAAATTGCAGTTCTTACATAAATTGTAAACCAGTTCATCAGTTTTAACAGACAGTTCTCTCAAAAATCCCTTTGGAAATATAAAAACGGAAGTATAGAAACAGCAGGGCATCTTTCCACACACACACCTCCGAATATTTCCAGTACACCTTAGAAGGTGTTCCCTCTCTTTATTCCCTGCCTTATTTCTTGCCTACCTTTGGCGCATCTCTCACATCACTGGGCTCAGCACTTGTTTTGGTGCTTCTTAACTTGCAAAGTGCCTCTGCAGTCTTTTCGTAACACAATCTTCAAAACTGTTTCAGTGTCAGCCTGAACACCTCTGCCAAGTGCATTTACTTATACATTTACTTAATTTACTTAATTTACTTATAATTATACATTTACTTAAATCTCCAAATTAGAAGGTTCCATGAGCATTAGGAACACAGGGAAGCTATAATAATAATAAAACTAGAGAAGCATAGCAAGAGAATTAGCAGTTTGGTGCATCTTGGTGGAGGGCATATTTTGGAAAGGAAACCCTCACAGGGGGGGGGGCTGGTTAAGCATGTGTTTTTCTCAGGGTTCCAGACCACTGCAAACTAACAGAGGAAACATCCCAGACCCTCCAAGAATGTCCTGTTTTTACTTAAAGGTAAAGGGACCCCCTGACCATTAGGTCCATTTGTGACCGACTCTGGGGTTGCGGCGCTCATCTCGCTTTATTGGCCGAGGGAGCCGGCGTACAGCTTCCAGGTCATGTGGCCAGAATGACTAAGTCGCTTCTGGCAAACCAGAGCAGCGCACGGAAATGCCGTTTACCTTCCCGCTGGAGCGGTACCTATTTATCTGCTTGCACTTTGACGTGCTTTCAAACTGCTAGGTTGGCAGGAGCAGGGACTGAACAACGGGAGACCAACCTTCTGATCGGCAAGCCCTAGGCTCTGTGGTGTAACCCGCATCCCTGTTTTTACTTAGGATGTTGCTATTTTCATTGGAGAAATGTTGGAGGGTGTGGAGTTATTTGACTCCCGAAGCAATCCTGTATAGGGAAGGTGTTTTTTTAATGTTTAATATTTTACTATTGTCAGGGAACTGCCATCGGAGCTAGAGGCGGAGGGAAGGCTCCAGAGGGATGCCGGAGAGGGTCCCAGTAGGGAGAGAGGCAGCCCGTCCGCTGGGGAAGGAAATCAGCGTAACACCAGTAGAGAAGGGGGGCAGATGGAGGAATCGGAGAGGAGGCTCCAAGACTCCTCGCCGGAGACCAGCGGAGAGAGTACGGGTCCTCCGCTGCCCACACCCTCCCTGCGCAGAAGGCTTCCGTGCAGGGAGACTAGGTGGAGACTAGGCGTCAAAGAACTTTTGTGCTGGAAGAAGTTTAAGAAACGCCCACTGACGGATTCTGCCAGCGACTGAGACAGTCACGATGCTAGAGGCTGTTCAGTCAGAAAGGGTTCAACCAGGTAACCTAGCCAGGAGCGGCGGCAACTTACGCACGAGCAACCCCTAAATCCATTACAACTATGTTTTTATATCTATGTTGGACACTGCCCAGAGTGGCTGGGGCAACCCAGTAAGATGTGTGGGGTATAAATACTAATATTATCGTACTATGCAGAACTGGCGAAACTGACATACAAACTGCGAGATAAGGACAACTGTGACTTCAAAGAAGAATGGGAACTTTTTACAAACTACTTAAAAAGACAACAAAATAAATTGGGCTCCTTGGCAGGTTTTGAATAAACATACACAAATTTATTGATTGTTAACATAACAGACAGATAATTTTAGGATTTATATAATTTTACAATATGCAGAGAATAACATGTATTGAGAAATCAGATCGAGGAACTGAGGGAAGTCTTGGGGGGAGGGGGAGGGTTTTTTGGGAAGGGGGAGGAAAAAAAGGGGAGAAAAATAATGAAGATGATTTGTTTTAATAATTTGTTATGTTGAAACTCTTAATAAAACCTAATAAAAACTAAAAAAAAGTAATATTATCATTATGGAATGGGACGTCCCTATTTTCATTGGAGAATTGTTGGAATATGTATGATATTCCTGGTTTTCACTGAAAGACTGGAGAAGGGCATGGTGCCCATAAATGCACAGAATCCGCCAGTTCATTTAACTTAATGGTTATCTGCTGTCATTCATGTTGCTGCTTCTCCAAACAGGAGCTGGCGGAAACCAAGTCATCCATCAAGAAAGAAGAGAGAAACTAAGCAGTTGTGCAAACTCCCACAAATCTGTGCTGACTTGAGGCTGCCAGCAGCCAGTCACAGAAACCAGGTTGCATTAGAATAAACAAGAACTCCACCTACATACACTTGCAAAATTCGGTGGAGAGGGGAGAGAATTAAACGCAGCAGACATGTCACTTCATGTCAGATCATTTATACTGCTGCTGAACTACAACTCCCATCATGCCCTGGCCATTGGATATGCTGGGCTGGGGCTGATAGGAGTTGGAGTCTAGCAACATTTGGAGGGTCACGGGTTTTGCAACCCCGATTTAAGCCAGCAGCCAGGTGAGGTGGGTGTCTATTTACAACCATTAGGTCCAGTCGTGACCGACTCTGGGGTTGCACGCTCATCTCGCTCTATAGGCCAAGGGAGCCGGCATTTGTCCGCAGACAGCTTTCGGGTCATGTGGCCAGCATGACTAAGCTGCTTCTGGCGAACCAGAGCAGCACACGGAAACACTGTTTACCTTCCCACCAGAGCGGTCCCTATTTATCTACTTGCACTTTGACATGCTTTTGAACTGCTAGGTTGGCAGGAGCAGGGACCGAGCAATGGGAGCTCACCCTGTTGTGGGGATTCGAACCGCCGACCTTCTGATCAGCAAGTCCTAGGCTCTGTGGTTTAACCCACAGCGCCACCTGCGTCCCTTCAACCAGGTTATAGATTGCTAAATATCCCTTGAAAAGTAGAACCCAGGATAAACCTGAGCTCTGCTGGTAAATTGTTGATTATTTTGCTTGGCTTTACACATGGAATTAACTGCCACTTTAATAAGAGCTTCCTAAAATAACATTATAACGTGGTTATGCTGTGAGCGTGAGAGGAGATTTAAGTTACGTCCCCGTTCCAAGGTATTATTTGCATAACGAGAGACAAGTTATATTCCACAAAGTATAAACATCAGGGCACCAGGATAAAGGTATGTGGAGCAAAGTTCATTTGTTGCAAAAACTGTTTCACAAGTTCCCTTGTATTTTACAGTGGCTGCAAATCCAGCTCTAGAGAGAAAAGTTGGGATTCTGCCACCAGCCTCAAAAAGCAGCAAAGATCTACGCAGTTTGTCTTGACATCTGGATCTTAAACATAAATGAATTCTATACATTTCCCAATTTTCCACCGCAGAGGAGCAACGGCACCATTATAGCCCAGGCAGAATGATGCCTTTGATTACTCATCCTTCTGATTATACAGTCCCAGTGCTGCAACAGGCAGACCATTTACACGGCAGACACCATGCTACTTACAAACTTGCTCTGCAGTGAATGGATGCCATTCAGTGCAGAAGCTTATTCCAAAGCCAAGCCAACAGCCAGAGAAATAGAAGCTTTAAGGGTGTTTATGATCTAATGAAGAAACAGGAAGAAGCATCTTGGCTATTTGGGCAAATGGTTAAACCTCTCGCCTAGTAAAAATACAGTGGTACCTTGGGTTACATACACTTCAGGTTACATACGCTTCAGGTTACAGAATCCGCTAACCCAGAAATATTACCTCGGGTTAAGAACTATGCTTCAAGATGAGAACAGAAATTGTGCTCCGGCGGCGCGGCAGCACAGGAGGCCCCATTAGCTAAAGTGGTGCTTCAGGTTAAGAACAGTTTCAGGTTAAGAATGGACCTCCGGAACAAATTAAGTACTTAACCCGAGGTACCACTGTAAAAGAAATCTTTCAAAAAGGCAAACCCCATTCCTCATCAGTTCGCACCATTTCCCTCTAAATTCTGGGATTCTGGATAAAAGAACACTTGCTTTGCTGGTCTGAATCAGCACATCATATCTCAGGTTACAGACACTTTGGGTTGCGTGATTTCGGGTTGCGCAGCGCGCCGAACCCAGAAGTACCGGAACAGGTTAGCTCCAGGTTTTGGCACTTGCACATGCACAGAAGCGCTAAATCGCGCTTTTCGCATGCTCAGAAGCGCTGAATCGCGACCCACGCGTGAGCAGATGCAGTGCTGTGGGTTGTGAACGTGCTCCCCGCACGGATCATGTTTGCAACCAAAGCGTCCACTGTAGTTAGAATTTCTTGGTTCAGGAGAAAACCACTCCCCTTCCGGGTGGGGCGATATTGCAGTCAGACCTCGTGGTCTCCACACAGCATTCGGGGTGTCCCTGGCTGCACTGTGGCCCCCAGCCAGCCAATCCAGGTGGCTGGGGGGGCATGGCTTACCCCGTTTAAAGCAGCCGTGCGACCAGGGAGTCCTCCTATTTGGCTCCCGCTTCCACGGTTCCTGACCTGCTTCCATGGTTCCTGTCCGAAGCCCAGGTGGAGACTAGGACCATGGCACGACCTTCCAGTGACTCTGGGGGAAGCTCTGAGCTGATGTGCATCAACCGGCCACCCCCTACTGGTGGTTAACCCTTGTGAGACTTCCTGCATGTCGAGCAGGAGTCAGATATCGCAGTTCAAGACAATGCCTAAGCCAATACAGTGGTACCTCTGGTTGCGAACAGGATCCGTTCCAGGCCCGTTCGCAACATGAAAAGAGAGCAACCTGAAGTGGCTTAGCTGCACAGGTGCGCAGTGCAATTTGGTGCAGGTGCGCATGTGAGAACCGTGATTTAGTGCTTCTGCACACGTGCGAGTGGCGAAACCCAGAAGTAACCTTTCTGGTACTTCCGGGTCGCTGCGGGATGTAACCTGAAAGAACGTAACATGAAGCAAACGTAACATGAGGTATGACTGTACCGCTCACATTCTGTAACCAATAAAGTTGTGTCCTAAATTGGTCCATTTAACCTTATACAGTGGTACCTCGGGTTAAGTACTTAATTCATTCTGGAGGTCTGTTCTTAACCTGAAACTTTTCTTAACCTGAAGCACCACTTTAGCTAATGGGGCCTCCCGCTGCTGCTGCGCAGCCGGAGCACGATTTCTGTTCTCATCCTGAAGCAAAGTTCTTAACCTGAAGCACTATTTCTGGGTTAGTGGAGTCTGTAACCTGAAGCGTATATAACCTGAAGCATATGTAACCCGAGGTACCACTGTATACGGTGTCAAAGTGTTATTATTCTACATAGGAGGGGAGCCTCAGGGTCTTGACACACAGCAAGAGGATCTAGCCAAGTCTTCCCCAACCTGATGCCCTCCAGATATTTTAGTGAGTGTTAGAAACTCAGATATATAAGCTAGGTGCCAAAAGGCTCCTTAAAACAAGGTTGTCGTTGCCTAAATAGAATGTCTCATTGCCATTTGGGGGCAAGATGGCTTTACATATGGCACTATGCCCAAATTGCCTCTTGGCATTTTAGCAAAGAGCTGGTTTAATATGCATGTGATTTCCAAAGGTTGCATCCTGGTACCTGATCATTCCCTTAAGGATATTTGGCAAGGAGGGCAATACCTACCTTTAGTACAAGGAGTTGGAGCAACACTGGGTGAGATTTTGCAAGCCTACTAATTCAAGAAATTTCAACAGCCAAGAGGAGCTGAAGTAATTTGCAAACTGATTTAATCTACACAGCAAAGTCTTTAATCTTGATTACTACTGTATTTAAATCACTTTATCTCCATTAGAGACACTACCCTTAATTGGCATATATCTGCAGTTGCTTCATGATAATGGGAACCTAACGTTTAAAAATGAGATCTTAATAAAGTAAGGTTTAAACCTTAATTCCATGCCCCATGTCTGTTTATTCACTTTGTACTGCCCCACCTCCTGTCCTGCCCCCCTCTCTAAAGGTAAAGGTAAAGGGACCCCTGACCATTAGGTCCAGTCGTGACTGACTCTGGGGCTGCGGCACTCATCTCGCTTTATTGGCCAAGGGAGCTGGCGTACAGCTTCCGGGTCATGTGGCCAGCATGACTAAGCCGCTTCTGGCGAACCAGAGCAGTGCACGGAAACACTGTTTACCTTCCCACCGGAGTGGTACCTATTTATCTACTTGCACTTGACATGCTTTCGAACTGCTAGGTTGGCAGGAGCAGGGACTAAGCAACAGGAGCTCACCCCGTCGCGGGGATTCGAACTGCCGACCTTCTGATCAGCAAGTCCTAGGCTCTGTAATTTAACCCACAGCACCACCTGCTTCCCTCTCTACTTGCAGCAAAATTAGGGATACACTTTGCAGTTCCTTCCCCATTTTCTCTATGAGTAGGAATGAGCAGCCTTTGCTTATAATGAACACAAAATCTCCCCAGTCCAGTTGTTCATTTCTGTTAACAGCAATGGGAACTAGGGACTGGATAAGCTTCTTTCCCGGTCTCATCACAGGGCGAGTAAAATCCTGCAGTACAAGTAACCAACAGATAGGCACTTACTTGAAATAATATGAAAAATTCATTCTGTTTCCAACGTTCAGGACAGAGCGCCGTTACTTATAGGGCCACAATGGCACCACGCATGCACAAGAAGTAGACACCAGCAGACCGGGGGGTGAGGGGGTAGGTTTGCAGAGATAGAAAAAATATGTAGGGGGGGGAATCCTTAAGAGGAGTGGGGAACCCTCAAAGCAGCCCAATGAGGACTGAGTGTGCTTAGAGGCAATGGGATGCTGGTGCGAGGGAGAATGGAATGGAGTACAGTGGTACCTCGGGTTACAGACGCTTCAGGTTACAGACGCTTCAGATTACAGACTCCGCTAATCCAGAAATAGTACCTCGGGTTAAGAACTTTGCTTCAGGACGAGAACAGAAATTGTGTGGCGGCGGCGGCAGGAGGCCCCATTAGCTAAAGTGGTACCTCAGGTTAAGAACAGACCTCCAGAACGAATTAAGTTCTTAACCCGAGGTACCACTGTATCATGAAGAGGACATGGCTGGGGCAGCCACAGTGAACAGAAGCGCTCCACACCACAAAGTTTCTTACGAGTTTCACTCTTCAGAAATATGATCCCCTGAAATAAAAGGAAGTCCCTTCCTACTGTACATGGCTATGATGGGATACCAGATGAACCACGACTGAACTTTTAAATTGCACTGCCTGTAGGTTTCCTCCAAAGCCTTGACAACCAGGCAGAAACTGAAGAAAGAAAAAAGAAAAACCCCACCGTTATGTAACTTTGTAAATTTCAGCATGTAAATGTTTCTCTGTTTCCAGGGGAAAGCATTCACAAAGAGATTAGAGATTTGACAGCAGCCAATTTATGCATTTAATCCAGATCACAGTAGCTCTGAACGTTGCCCTAAATACAGCCTTTTCTGATGTCACAAAGTACAGATGTGTTGCTTTTCGACTGAAAAACCGAGGTACCCGTGTGCTCTTTTTCCACCTTCACATCAACCCCTGAACTTGTCACATCCAAACCATGTGTTTAAAGCACAACGGTTCCCCGCAAAGAATCGTGGGAGCTGCAGTTTTCCTCTCTGAATTCCCGCAGTTCCCAGGATTCTTTACAGGGTGGGTGAAGCTTTAAATGTATGGTGCAGAGGTTTTGAACAAGGTTCTTACAAGGCTTTCTTGTTGACCACAAGGCAAAAGCGTAGTGCTCACACTTCTCTTTGGCAACAACACCTGAGAAATACCAAGCGACGGTTGGTGAATGGTGAATGGCTAACATTTACAAAAGGTTTACATCGTTCCAGATGTCATTTTATTTCCCTAGCAGACCTTCGTTCTGGGAACACCTGAGGAACAGATTTGTTACAGATTGTTTTCTCAGCTGCAACCTGGTACTCAACAGATGTTTTTGACTACAGCTTCCATCAGCCTCAGCTAGCCAAAAGTCAGGAATGATGGGCGTTGGAGTCCTAAGTATTTGGCTGCCGCCAAGTTAGGGATGGCTGTTTTAGGAGATCGGATAGCTTCTTTCTAGGTAAGCCATAATAGTGTTTGTTTATGGACAAAGGGAACTCCTTCCCCCCCCCCAAAAAAATACTTTGGTTTTCATAGCAAATGTCCTCTCCAACCCCACTTTAAGTTTCAGAGGATCATATGCTCTCTTTGCCGGTTTCCAGGATTACCGTATTTTTCACTCTATAAGATGCACTTTTCCCCTCCTAAAAAGTAAGGGGAAATATGTGTGCGTCTTATGGAGCGAATGCAGGTGGGAGGCTCTGCTCAGCGCTCCCTTTAAAAAGCCGCGTGGAGCATGTGTGTGGCTCTTGGGGGAGCCTTCATCCCGCTGCCCGGGAGAGGTTGTGTACGGCTAACAAAACTTTTTATTTATTATTTTGATAAGCGTAAATTAATACACAATTCACATAAGCGACAAATTGTTAATATCACATTTTTAGCGAAAATTATTAATACATGTTTAATTTGGGGTTGGGACACAGGAGGCACTGTGGGTTAAACCACAGAGCCTAGGACTTGCCGATCAGAAGGTCAGTAGTTTGAATCCCCGTGACGGGGTGAGCTCCCTTTGCTCGGTCCTTGCTCCTGCCAACCTAGCAGTTCAAAGTGCAAGTAGATAAATAGGTATCGCTCTGGCGGGAAGGTAAACGGCGTTTCCGTGCGCTGCTCTGGTTCTCCAGAGCTGGCCACATGACCCGGAAGTTGTACGCCGGCTCCCTCGGCCAATAAAGCAAGATGAGCCCCGCAACCCCAGAGTCAGCCATGACTGGACCTAATGGTCAGGGGTCCCTTTAACTTTACCTTTAATTTGGTGTTGACAATAAAAATATTGGTACCATACTTCAGTTTTCAAAACACTCTACTCTTTATTGTTAAACCCCTTAACATACACTTTGAGGCTTCAAAGCACATACATTTCAGTAATCCTCGAGTGTCAGCCAGGCACAAAAAATGGCACCCAGACTTTTTGAGGTGCTCGAAAATGGAGAATCTTTCAGCGCAAAATGCATCTGGCACCCTGCTAATTTCAAACCCTGCACAAACCCCGCTTGAGGGGTTACCTATGCTCATTCTTGCCGGATCCTCATGCATCTGCATGCGTCACTGTTCTGGGCATACATCTTGAATGTAGGAATGACAGTCCAGAGCAGTGGTTCATGAACAGGGCAACTTCTTCAAGGCAGATAACGATACTTGCATCACAAGCGAGCGAATGGGCCTAACACAACCACTGCAAACACATGGTAGAATTACCTGCCCTCAGAAGAGGCTTGTTGGAAAAAGACGCAGCCAAAACAGTGAATCACACAGAGACACAGAAGACAGACTCCTCTGTGGATGGGCATTCTGGCCTCACGGGAGCCATTTTATAACTCAGGACACACCAGCATGATCTGGCACACTGGGAAAATACAAGGGTAGCCTTGCACATGAGAGTTTTGATCGGAGTACATTATTAATTTTTTATTACCAAATCTTGCAGATAAACCAGGTTGCAACAACAAGCTGTCTGCAACACCCTGGCACCACATTGTACAGAGTTTGATGGATTGTATCACCACGTTGCAAAAGCTTGAATTATGTTGCACTCCTCAAACACTGTAAACATTATTCCAGTTTATTGACAATGGGCAACAGCGGCAGCGGGAGGGTGGGTGGTTGGGGAGAAAATTGTTACAGCACTCCTCACCTAAAATGAAGAGGCAAAACGAATGTGTGATTATGTGTAATCTGGGAAGGCACTGTGTCTGCTGTTAGATTACAAGAAAGCTAGTATTTCTAGCAAAATTCTAGAATAAGGGTAAAAGTGTTCCCCTGTCACTGCCAGGACTGTGTATTCTTTGCACTGCTGTTAATTTCTTTTGTATGATTTTTTTAAAACGCAGTAAATAAATAATATCTCCTGCAGTATCTACTGTGGAAGGTACAGTATCCCTAACAGATAACCAGCCAGTCTCTCCTTAAACGCTTCCAGTTGGGCACAGCCCGCCACCTCCTGAAGCAGTCTGCTTCACTTTCGAACAAAACGGCAATGGTGCCCACCTGAAAGGTGCTGGATCTGAGTTCTGGTGAGCTCCAGCTGGAAAAACAATTCCCGATGCTACTGCATATACAACAGGGGTAAGGAAGCTTTGGCCCTTCAGATGCTACAACTCCCATCAGCCCGGACCAGTATGGCCAACGGCCAGGGATGATGGGAGTTCCGTGTCCGAAATTAGCCAGGCACCAGGGTCCAGACTGACCTGGGTCCAATTGCGGCCATGTGGAGATCTTTGGATGCCAGGTGTGTCACTGGGGACAGCAGACTGGTTTGGACTCAGTCTGACCCTCATGTTTCCCTCCCCTTATGGTTTTGACTTTTAAAATGAGGCTGCATTTTAAATTGCATTTTAACCTGTATTTTAAATTGTTTTCTTTTTCTTTTACTTTTTTCATATTATGTTTTTACTGAAATTTTATTGGTGTTAGCCGCCCTGAGCCCGGCTCTGGCTGGGGAGGGCGGGGTATAAATAAAATTTATTATTATTATTATTAAAATGCCCTTTGCAAGAGGATCTGAAATATTTCCCTTGAAATCTGAATTTGTTTCATGTTGTAAATCGCGTTGAGACATTCTATTGTGGTGACCGTAACATAGCTTTAAGGTGCCATTCGGCAATTAGCTTACGCATCAGAGTTTCTGACACTGTGAGTTCTAGTTCCGCAACATCTGGAGGGCCAAAAGATACTCAAGCACAACACAGGCTGGAATCAGTTCAACATTACCTGTGATGCTCTACCTGTCTTTTAAATCAGAACCAGTGAAAGCAGTGAAGGTCCTGTGTGAGAGTCTGGAGGCGGTTGGAGGATGGATGGCAGCTAACAGATTGAGATTGAATCCTGACAAGACAGAAGTATTGTTTTTGGGGGACAGGAGGCGGGCTGGTGTGGAGGATTCCCTGGTCCTGAATGGGGTAACTGTGCCCCTGAAGGACCAGGTGTGCAGCCTGGGAGTCGTTTTGGACTCACAGCTGTCCATGGAGGCACAGGTCAAATCCGTGTCCTGTTTACCAGCTCCATCTGGTACGCGGGCTGAGACCCTATCTGGCAGTCCTCACCAGAGTGGTGCATGCTCTGGTTATCTCCCGCTTGGACTACTGCAATGCACTCTACGTGGGGCTACCTTTGAAGGTGACCCGGAAACTACAACTAATCCAGAATGCAGCCGCTAGACTGGTCACTGGGAGCGGCTGCCGAGACCACATAACACCGGTCTTGAAGGACCTACATTGGCTCCCAGTACGTTTCCGAGCACAATTCAAAGTGTTGGTGCTGACCTTTAAAGCCCTAAACGGTCTCGGTCCAGTATATCTGAAGGAGCGACTCCACCCCCATCGTTTTACTCGGACGCTGAGGTCCAGCACCGAGGGCCTTCTGGCAGTTCCCTCACTGCGAGAAGCCGAGTTACAGGGAACCAGGCAGAGGGCCTTCTTGGTAGTGGTGCCCTCACTGTGGAACGCCCTCCCACCAGATGTCAAAGAGAACAACAACTACCAGACTTTTAGAAGACATCTGAAGGCAGCCTTGTTTAGGGAAGCTTTTAATGTTTGATGTATTACAGTATTTTAATATTTTTTTGGAAGCCGCCCAGAGTGGCTGAGGAAGCCCAGCCAGATAGGCGGAGTATAAATAATAAATTATTATTATTATTATTATTATTATTATTATTATGCTACCTGCTCTCTCCTCCTCACCAAGCTCCTGGATACTGGCCCTCCCAGGACAACACACTTCTCACCCCATACTGTGTTGTTAGGAGAAAATGATCTGCAAGATCCTAGAAACTTAAAATACTCAGCAAGGCTGAATCTGTAAGCACCTTGATCTCCCTTTCAATACACACAGAAGCCCACCAGAGAGAGGACCTCCAAACCAGAAATGGTCCTCCTCTGCAGTTGAGAAATAAGCCTCTGTCTTTGGAAAACCAACCCTGAACTTTGCTCCTGCTTGACAAGCAGGCCAAGCAGAGGAGGGGAGGGAAAGAAAGGCAGGCGATCTGAACAGAGAAAACAGGAGAAGACAACAGGCAGAGAAACGTGTTTTTTTAAGACCACCAAGAATAAATGGAAAATGCAATCCAACACACTGTCTACTCAGAAGTCAGTCCCACAGAGTCCAGCAGTGACTACTTGCTAGGTAAGGACTGCAGCCTTTGAAATAAATCTTTAAGCAAATCAAGTGCCGTTAAGCTTAATGCTGGTCTTTTTATTTTTATTTTAATCCCCAGCAAACTTGCAATCTCAAACTGAAGTGTTGCCACATCCATGGATGAGTAAGCATGCAATCCTAAGCAAAATTCACCAGAAGTCAAGGCGGTTTCCTTCTTTTGAAACGTGGCGAGGAAGGGAACTGCGAGGTCCTTTTTACGAGGGACACATCCCTGCACCCTTTCCATATTATTTATATATAAAAAAAAGAGAGAGAGAAATTTAAAGTTGGGCGGGAATCCTTTCCCCAAACCTGACCCTTTAACGAGCTCCAAAAGTGACCTGGCCCGCACCTGCAAGCCCGCTTTGGAGCAAGAAACGGGAGAGAGGGAGAGAGAGAGAGAGAGAGAGAGAGAGAGAGAGAGAGAGAGACGTCGCTTAGGATCGCGCGCAGCTAGAAGCCAAGGCCCCGGGCAGTAAGAGCAGGGCGACCCTCCCCGTATTTTACTCGTCCTGACTGCAGCGGGGGCTTCTACTCCCAGGAAAGCGAGGTTAGGCCCGCCGCCCCGGGGCTTCTGGCCAAACAGGATCGGGCTGCGCGCCTCACAGGATCGGGCTGCGCGCCCAGGCAGCCTCGACCTTCGGCCCGCTCCGCCCGCCTTGCAGAAGAAAGCCCTCCCTGCTTCCTCCCGAGCAAGCGCGGCCTCCTGGCCGGGCTTCCTCTCGAGTAAGGAAGCGGCGAAGAGGCGTCTGCGGCTCCTGGTGGGGGAGGCTCCGCGGACGCGGCGCTTACCTGCGCGGCAGGAGGGTCGCGAAGCGGAGAAGGGCGCGCGCAGGTTAGGCGCCCCGAGACCGGCGCCTGCGAAGCAGCAGCAGCAGCAGCGGGGGCCGCGCCACTCTCGCTCCGCCCACCGCCCAGCTGGCCGTTCCCACGGCCCACCCACCTCGGGTCGCAGCAGGAGGCGGACGCGTCCCTTCCTCCCGCCCTCCCTCCCGCCGCCTCGGGGGAGACTTGCCTCCGCCTCCGCGGCTCGGCTTCTCCATCGCCCTCTGCTGGGCTGCTGCGGAGAAGCGGGGAAAGCAGAGAGCAAGCCTGGGGGGGGGGGAGCGGGGTCGTCTAGTCCAAGGGGGCCCACTTGAATGAAATACTGATTTTATTGATCAATAAAATCAATAAATCAATAAAGGTCAATGGCAATACATAGCAATCTGAGGTTCTGCCCCTGCCCTAACAAAAATCCTGCTTACGGCGCCCATGCTCCCCCCCGGGTCATCTAGTCCAAGGGGGCCCACTTGAATGCGATATTGATTTTATCGATCATTTAAATCAATTGAAATCAATATTATTGCTTCCCCAAGGGGGTCCTAGCCTCGTAAGGAGGACCGGACCCTCGGAAGGAGCACTGTTGTGGGAATGCCAGAGACCACACCAGGATTGGCGAAAAAGCAATGTCTGATCTTTATTTTCAAAGAACAGAAGACTGTTGGACGGAGTGAGAACCTTGAACAAAGGAACTGCCTTTACTTAAATACCTTTTCATTTCCATACTGATCAATGATACAGAAAAATGACAGAAACGGAGCGAAGAGAGGATTAACATAAAGTAAGTGGGATGTTGTAAGATCTTGGATGGTGTTAATGAAGATGTTGTCCGCTTTCAGGTTGGGAACAAAAGGTGGTTTTTCCTTTTCAACAGATCTTGACTAACAGTTCTGTTTTTTGCTTCATTTTCAGAAGGAATTCCGGAGGTTTTAGGGTGATCGGTATGCAGATTAAATGGCTGGATATTTGGAAAACGGTTGTCAGTGTTGGTGTGAAGTTCCGCTCTGCATACTTTTATTAATTAAACTGATTTTATGTTGCATTTTGTGTATACTGTATTCACGATGTCGTTTGTAGACCCAGTAGGTGGCGCTGTGGTGCTTGAAGGTATTTTGACAGTTCGTGAACGGCAGAATATTGACAGATCAAGTATACAGCAATGGAAAGTCACATAGAATATAAAATCTTTGGCTGCATTCTTCCAGCTACATTTTTCTATTCAAGTTACATTTTCTAGTGTAAGAAAACACTTTTGTAAGATACAAGAAGGTGATACATTTGATAAGAAAAACACTTTTTAGAAAGATACAAAAGGCGATACATTTGATAGAGTCAACAGTTGCATTCCTCAGCTACATTCTTTAGTGCTTTACAGCGATACAGCGATACAGAAGGAAAATATACAAGTAAAAAGATACATTCTTTTGTTAGCATAGAAATACGTAACACTGAGAGGTTCATTTATTAACTCCCATCTCTGATCATGGCTTCTCTTAAAAGGTAAAGGTAAAGGGCCCCCTGACCATTAGGTCCAGTCGTGACCGACTCTGGGGTTGCGGCGCTCATCTCGGTTTATTGGCCAAGGGAGCTGGCGTACAGCTTCCGGGTCATGTGGCCAGCATGACTAAGCCGCTTCTGGCGAACCAGAGCAGCGCACGGAAATGCTGTTTACCTTCCCGCCAGAGCGGTACCTATTTATCTACTTGCACTCTGACATGCTTTCGAACTGCTAGGTTGGCAGGAGCAGGGACCGAGCAATGGGAGCTCACCCTGTCGCGGGGATTCAAACCGCCCACCTTGTGATCGGCAAGTCCTAGGCTCTGTGGTTTAACTCACAGCGCCACCCGCGTCCCATGGCTTCTCTTATGACCCAATAAATCAATAAAGTTCAATAGCAATACATAGCAATGAGAGCTTCTCCCCCCCCCCCCCGCCCTAACAAAAATCCTGGCTATGCCCATGCCTCCCCCCGGTCATCTAGTCCAAGGGGGCCCACTTGAATCAAATATTGATTTTATCAATCAGTAAATCAATAAAGATCAATGGCAATACATAGCAATCTGAAGTTCTCCCCCCCCAACAAAAATCCTACCTACGCCCATGCCCCCCACCGCCAGGGTCATCTAGTCCAAGGAGGCCCACTTGAATCAAATATTTATTTTATCAATCAATCAATCCATAAAGATCAATGGCAATACATAGCAATCTGAGGTTCTGCCCCTGCCCTAACAAAAATCCTGGCTACGCCCATGCCTCCCCCCATTTTTTATATACCACCCCCAAAACTCCAACATCCAAAAGGAGGAGAGGGTTACAGCGGGCTTTAAGGGACTTAGAGATGTGGCAAATTGAGGACCAAAAAAGAAGTCGTGGCTTCAGACTCTACACAGCCACTTCTGACACGGGTCCGTCCGCCTGGCTGAGGAGACGAGGAAAAGGGCAGCCTTGAAGCCAGGAGGATGGAAACCAAGGCAGCAAGCTGAGGACAGTGAGACCAGCAGCTGTCAGGGAGGCATGGGGAGCAAAATTTGCCCCACAAGAAACTGGGCCCGGGGCCACGGCTCTCCCTCACCTCACCCACACAATACCACTGAAGGAACTACGGCATAAATCTATAAATACAGTGGTACCTCGGGTTACAGACGCTTCAGGTTACAGACACTTCAGGTTACAGACTCCGCTAACACAGAAATAGTATCTTGCGTTAAGAACTTTGCTTCAGGATGAGAACAGAAATCGTGTGGCGGTAGCGGGAGGCCCCATTAGCTAAAGTGGTGCTTCAGGTTAAGAACAGTTTCAGGTTAAGAAAGGACCTCCAGAACGAATTAAGTTCTTAACCCAAGGTACCACTGTAATAGAATTGTACAGTTGGAAAGGACCCTGAGGGGCATACAATGGTACCTCGGGTTACATACACTTCAGGTTACATACACTTCAGGTTACAGACTCCGCTAACCCAGAAATAGTGCTTCAGGTTAAGAACTTTGCTTCAGGATGAGAACAGAAATTGTGCTCCGGTGGCGCGGCAGCATCAGGAGGCCCCATTAGCTAAAGTGGTGCTTCAGGTTAAGAACAGTTTCAGGTTAAGTACGGACCTCCGGAACGAATTAAGTACTTAACCCGAGGTACCAATGCAGGAATATGCCGCTGTCCCAAATGGGGATCGAATCTGCGACCTTGGCATTATTAGCACCATGTTCTAACCAATAATTCAGATATACAGTGGTACCTCTGGTTGCGACCGGGATCCGTTCCAGAGGCCTGTTTGCAACTTGAGCAGAACGCAACCTGCATCTGCGTGTGCACGGGTCGTGATTCTCCGCTTCTGCGCATGCGCATGACATCATTTTGTGCGTCTGCGCATGCGCAAGTGGTGAAACCTGGAAGTAACCCTTTCGGGTACTTCCGGGTCACTGCAGGACGCAACCTGAAAACGCTCAACCTGAAGCAAACACAACACGAGGTATGACTGTATTTTCTCAGAGCAGTTAAGCTAACCTGCCACCAGATGTCACCAGCCACAAATAAAAGGGAACTGAAGTCGCTAGAAACAATTCCTTAAAAGCAAATTATAGACGGACTCAGGTTGTGCTGGCCCGATAGTGTCCTCTGCTAGTGAACTTTTTCACCATGCAAGTCAAGGGCAAACATTTACACAGTCTTCATTGTAAATTGATAGTGTTGTTTTCTGTTTGGTTGTTGTTGTTTAAAAATATTCCTACAAATATAAAAGCTTCAGTGATGAACCTGGAAAACCATTAAATCATCAAGTAAATATTTTATTTATTGAAATACTGCTACCTCACCAACTACCAGTGGCCAAGTATCTTGTCTTTCTAAAGCCAGGCAAGCAACTTTTTGCTTATGCTCTAATACTTAAATATTTTGAAACCCTTCCAATTAAAGGCCAAAAGCGGAGAGGTTGAGCTTGGTGCCTAAAAATAGATTAAAACGGTGCCAGGTGAACCTTCCTGGGAGGAGTCACAACTGAAAAGGCCCATTCTCATCTTTCCACCCTCTGGACCTCCTGTGGAGACCACAGATGGAGAAGGACCTGGCATGAAGACTGCAGAGTCTGGGTTGGTTCGTGTGGGAAGAAGTGGCCCTGAAGATATTAGGGTCCTGTGCCACATAAATTTGTGTAGATCAAAACTAGCACTTCGAACTGAGCCTGGAAACCAGTTGGCCACTAGTGCAGTTGTGCCAGAATTGGTGTTATACATCTGGACCATCCTGTCCTAGTCAGTGATCTGGCTGCCGAGTTCTGCAGGGGTTGCGATTTGGCGCTTCTGCCCATGCGCAAACGAGATTTAGTGCTTCTGCACATGCGCAAGTGCCGAAACCTGGAAGTAACTCATTCCGGTACTTCTGGGTTTTGGCAAGTCTGTAACCTGAAAATGCGCATCCTGAAGCGTCTGTAACCCGAGGTATGACTGTAATAATAATAATAATAATAATAATAATAATAATAATAATAAATTTATTTATACCCCACCCATCTGGGCAGCTCCCAACAGAATATTAAAAACACAATAAAACATCAAACCTTAAAAACTTCCCTAAACAGAGTTGCCTTTAGGTGTCTTCTAAAAGTCAGGTGGTTGTTTATTTCTTTGACATCTGATGGGAGGGCGTTCCACAGGGCGGGCGCCATTACCCGGAAGGCCCTATGCCTGGTTCCCTGTAACCTCACTTCTCACCATGAGGGAAACGCCAGAAGGCCCTCGGCACTGGACCTCACTGTCCGGGCAGAACGATGGGGGTGGAGATGCTCCATCTACAAAGGCAGCCTCATGTATAACTCATTGCATTTATCCAGCCTAGAAGTTAGACCATCCAGCTGGTTCACCCATCAAAGTTGATGGGAAGCACTCCATGTCACCAAGGCCACTTGAGCCTCAAGGGACAGTAATGATCTCCAAGCTACAAACCTGCTCCTTCAGAAAAAGTTTAACCCCATCCAAAGCAAGCCACAACCCATCCATGCATTCTAGAGAATCACCCACAAGCAGTACCTCAGTCTTGTCTGGATTAAACCGAAGTACATTGGTTCTCATCCAACCCTTGACTGAGACAAGGCATCAGCCTAGCACATCTCATAACTGCCATAACTGCAGGTATAGAGGAGAAGTAGAGCTCTGTGTCATCAGACAACGTACTCCAAAACTTCAATTGACCCCACTCTGTGGTTTCACACAGATAATTAAACAGCTCGGGGAATTACAGGTCTGTATCTCCTTTTGCTTGTTGGTGAAACTGCATGGATATGAAACACGTAAAGAAATAAAAGAGCCTCTTATCTCATTCTCTAGATCCATTCCAGCACAGAATTAGTCATACCTTAACTTGCCGACAAAGGTCCATATAGTTAAAGCTATGGTTTTCCCAGTAGTGATGTATGGAGGTGAGAGCTGGACCATAAAGAAGGCTGATCGCCAAAGAATTGATGCTTTTGAATTATGGTGCTGGAGGAGACTCCTGAGAGTCCCATGGACTGCAAGAAGATCAAACCTATCCATTCTGCCCTGAGTGCTCACTGGAAGGACAGATCCTGAAGCTGAGGCTCCAATACTTTGGCCACCTCATGAGAAGAGAAGACTCCCTGGAAAAGACCGTGATGTTGGGAAAGATGGAGGGCACAAGGAGAAGGGGACGACAGAGGACGAGATGGTTGGACAGTGTTCTCGAAGCTACCAACATGAGTTTGACCAAGCTGTGGGAGGCAGTGGAAGACAGGAGTGCCTGGCGTGCTCTGGTCCATGGGGTCACGAAGAGTCGGACACAACTAAGCAACAACAAAAGTCCATTATTTAACTCTCCATGAGATTGGGGCTGTTCGCTATTGTGGTGAAATGTCATTTCCAGAAGTGCTGTCTGGGGTCAGCTGGAAAAAACACCAAGGGGGAAATTACAAAAATATTCAATTAGCCCTCACCCCCCAGAGTACAATGTGCTTTTTCAGGAACTTCTAAGCAGCTGTTTTTCCCTTAAGGATTAGCTATGGGGCAGTCTCCAAAGTACTTAACTCATCAAAAGTTGAGTAAATTGTAAATGTTACAATTTAAACGCAGAAGGAGAA